TATTATTATTATCATAAAAAGCATCAATTTAATGAAATCCACTTTTTATTGAGATATCATTATCACTATGAAATAAATTTCTTATGCCCTTATTGTTTTCAATTTAAGAATAACTTATGCTATTAAAGTATCTTATGCCTTCTGATGGAACTAAAAGCTGTGTCGAAACATTAAAGTAGTTTCTGTAAACTCTGCTTCAGGAGTAAATGTGTTGCTTTAATCAATTACATTAATTTTTATTCTTTTTTTTCGAATGCTTTTAGTGAATGAATATAATATTATAAGAAAGATTAAATACACCATGAATAAAGCAAACACATATGGAGTAATTAGCTAGTATTTTTAACTGCGAAAAAATAAATACTTAGGGTATTCGATAAATAAATAACATCTTGATTCAGCAATTACTTATTAGAACTAAAAGTAGATTAGTTAAGGACGATTAAACTTATATTATAATAAAGAATAAGTTTAATTAATAAAAAATAATAATTAAGTTATAAAATTCTTTTCTATTTTTATTGATAAAATCATTTATTTCAATTTTCAATCTTATCTAATCTAGCTGATTAGATTACTTGATTGGAACTGGTTTTCCAAGGACTAAAGTTAAATTAATACAATTACATTGAATTAATGATTACTTCGAATATCTATGATTCAAATCTAGGTTTAGAATAATTTAAGTATATCTTGTAGTTGATTCCTGAAACAATTTATTCTTAAACGCTAATAACTGATTCGAACTGATATCCATCTTATTAAGGATTGAATTTATTATTAATTTCATTAATGGCTTCTTCAATGATCATTGAATTAGATTGTTAAAGTTCTGCAGTTTCAATTTATCTCCATGATCCTGAGGCTTATTTCTTTAAACCTCTTAATTGATTGAATTGTTATTTTGACTCTTCTACTGTTGATTAAGTGTGGGTTGTCTAACTTGAACCACCATAATCATAAGGTTAATCGTCTCTTTTATAATTATATGAGCGGGCAGTTGTGACTTTGGAATCGATGGTGTCCACTGTAGAGTTTGGTCCACTAGTGAATTATGAATTAGTTTGATTTAGAATTCCTTGATTTGATCCAGAGATATATGAATGGGTTTAGTTATCATGATAATAAGCATACCATGATTGGGATCCTTCTATATTTTCATAGGTTTTGTTGGAAGCTTTATAATAGGTGCTGGAATTATCAAAAGAATCATTTTTGATCTCATTTAGAGTATAGTTGTATTCCAAAATAGTCTAATTTGATTTGTAATTAGATTTGGAGTCTGAATATGATGTTTTTAATTATGTATCACGTTAATCTTTAGTTTCTGCTTAATATTCATTATATCTTATAGTAGTGCTATTCGATTATGATTAGTTTAATTATTAATAGTTGTCTTGAGTATTTGAAATTGTGCCATTTGTTCTTTAATTCCTGGTTGTTTATTCTGTATTGTTTTTGGTAGAAGCCTTTTGATAGTGAGAGATTGATGAGTTATTTCCTGAAGTATAATCATTGGATATTTAATATTGGGTTTGCTTTTAAACTTCATTTGAGGATCTGGTTGAGGCATTTTAGTCGCGATTTATCCAAGCGCTGCCTTTTCTTAAATCATCGTAAGTATATTCATCGCTATTGTATTCTGATCCATTAGTTTACCTTTAGTTAGCACTTCCGAAGTCGATATCAAGATATTCATAATTTCCTATTTAATTAGAGTATTTTGCTTTTCCACTAATATCATAAACTTAACTTTAATAATCAGAACCACTACCATCATTGTTAGATACAAGTCTATTGTAGCGTCCTTACGTCTTATATTCTGCAGAAATTGTTTGATTTGTATAAACGAGTGTTCCAAAGGTTTATTGTTACTCGTTCAAATTTGAGTTGGTAGACTTCTAGGTTACGATTAAAGAATAATTAAGGTTGAAGTTTCTATAAATCACATTACCCTAATCATCATATTCCCTCTCTAAAGTAACTACTTTACTATTCTGATAGTAATAATACTCAGATTCAGTATTATTTTCTTAAGTGTCAGTGTTATTATAAATAATGACATATTCGTAAGTTCCACTAGAGGCGTTGTAAAAAGTAACATTTTAGGTGTTTTCTTTGAGTTATCCCTATTGCAATTTTGAATTGTTTCTAACTTTTAATTGTAGTCTTGACGGAATATATCTACTATTTATTGTATTATTGTAATTTGAGGATCCATTGACATAATTAATAGTTGAAGTCTAATTTGTTGCTTTTTAGGATGAGGAACTACTGAAACTATTAGACGTGGATGGATAAGCGTAGTTTTAGGTAGGGTTGCTTTAAGGATAAGATTCATTTGTAGTGTTTGATGTATTTGATGAATTGCTTGAGTTGCTAAAGGTCGGATATTGGTTGGAAGATGACTGATATGTGTAATTGTAACTTGTATTTGGATAAGTACTTTTAGTTAGGTTCTATTCAGATTTGATTACTTTAGCTAATAATATCGACTATTATATGGAATCTTCTTAATATGATAATTGATTACCTTTGTAAAAAGATGGAAGCTAGTCCGATGTATCCTTCTGTTACTTAATATCCAACTCTGCTTCAAATATTGATTTAAGAGCATCAATATCTTATTCTAAATGATATTAATCCTTAGTTTATTATAATAACTCTTGCACAGATTCTACTCTTGATAGTGCAGTCAAGCACAACAATGACATCACAAATGATAAATATTTCATTATTTTAATATTAATCTTTGAAGTAATCTATTCCCTGTTTATATAATGCTTAATCTCTTAAATTTTATTTGAAGCCATTATTCAGTAAAATTGATAATAATATGAAGATGATTCCACATATCTGGAAAGTTGGACATGTAAGTCTACTTTCACACCTCAAAATTCAACAAGCCCTTTAAAATTTAAAAATTGACTTCTTCTGCTTACTTCCGATACTGGAAATCCTTTTTTCCGAGGCTCTTCAATTTTTTGATAACACGAAAATGTACAAGCACTATATTACCCATTGCAAACAATGATCATTATAAGTGGATCAAGTGCATTTGAGATTTTTATTTGGAATTATGTTTGTAGAATGGATTTGAAAAAATTGATGAAAATGTAAAATTTATATGTATAAACAAGATATTTAAAAGGAAGTGAATACCCTTACCATTAGCTCAGTAATTATCTATTTTATCTAAATGAACAGGATTTAGCAATTGGATTTTTTAAATTAAAATCTAGTGAGAACAATCTGCACATCACTCTGCTTTGTGATTGACTAACCTATCCTTAAATGATGTTCTAATTCAATAAAATGGTCGAGATTAGGCAATGTTCATAATTATAGAGATTAATCAATAATAAGTCCATTATATTAATATGATAATTCAAAAAAGAGACCCAACCTACTGAGGTTTATGATAATATCGACTTAAATAAATTATTTAGCAAATGAAAAATTTTTTAAGTATGAACATATCCTAATTACATAAATGTACAAGAATTGTAAACTTAAGCAATTTAGTTTAATTAATTAATGTTTATTTAAATTATAAATATGATGAATATAGAATCAAAATTGTGGAATAAATAGTTAACTGTAGAATAGAGATTATTAATTGGAAAAAGTGACCTCGAATAACAAAAATCAATATTTAAACATTTACAATGTTGAATTTTATCTTTTAATTTATAATAATTAACTTACTTTTTTATATGCTTTTGAAATATAATTTATTTGCAACGAAATAGTAATGATGAGATTACCAAGTAAATTCTATGTGTTCGGTTGGATTTCACCTTTGATAAATTTCATCTAAATGTGGTTTCAATAACTAATTACCCTAAATAAAAACCTACAAACAGCAAAGACTATAATTGAGTAACAATTCATAAATGAATTCAGAATGTAGAACTTAATTAAACAATAACAATTCAGATGCACTAAAGGATTAAATGAATTAAATGTGGTATAAAATTCATATTCTAAATGATTATGAATAAATAGACTTTCTATCTGGATAAGTGGTTTCTTAAGATGACTGTAAAAACTAAAAAATCTGTTAGTTTCTTGAACTCGCAAAGATTGTTATTTATTGTTTTTTATTTATTTTAATATTGATACAATATAATATCGATTTGAAATTAATAATAAAGCCGATTTTGATACTCAGAATAATTGATTACTTAAGTTTTAGATCTGCCAAAAATAATGATTAATGAAATTATATTTATTAGCTATCAAATAGATGGATTACATTTTTCCAATTTTAATTATGACTGTAATAGCAATAACTGTGTTTAACATTCAGTTAACTTTTGAAAATGATAATAATATGTTAAATATTTAAGTTATTTATCACCAAACATGAATTTCATGATTAGAGTTTTGGAACAAATAAAAAAAGGTTTAATAGAAGATTGAATGCCAAAGCTAAAACAAGCAGCAGAAATTATAGTCTATATTCCAGTAAACCTAAAACAAGAGCTTCAAATTGAATTAATTTATGGAGAGCAAAGTACAATATTTAGTTTAACTATAATGCTACCAGAAGATAAATATTGATATATTTTATGGGAATTTAAATGAGAATTGCTCATACTTATGAACTTTATCATTTTAAAATAATAATAAAAATTGTGATGTCAATTCTTAGTAGCTTTTTCTTTTTCTATTTTTTTGATCATCAAATTTAAATAGTTCTTTAAAATTGGTTACCCTTTTGCATTTTTCTAAGTAAACACTTTTTTCATTTATTTTCTTTCTTTTTTTTTGTTTATGTTTTTCTTAATATCTAAACTATTTTGCTTTTGATTTTAATTAGGCTTAATTTCTTAATTTTCTTGACTTTGATTGTTGTCTTACTCAAAAAGCTTGATTGCTCATTTGAATTATATACCTATTTATAAAATGATTGTTTTTTTTCAGCCAGAATGTCCTTTTCAAGTTTTTCGTTCAATTCTTAATTAAAGTATTTTTCTTTTTGTCTAAATTTCCTTTATAATGAACACTCTTTAATTTTTTCCTTTTGAATTCCTAATTTACTTTAAAAATTACTTAATCGCTTCCTTTCCTAAAGAATTGCATTGACATCCATTAATATAAAAAATAAATAATTCAATTAAAATTTATTTCACATTTGTTTAAGGGCCTTCCTGCAAGTGTTTTTAAACCACTGCTCATAATTTCAACTTCGACAAAATCTCCAATAGCATAGCTATTATTATCATTCTGGAATACAACACTTTTGTTGGAATCTGTTCTGCCTTTTAGTTGATTAGGTTTATTCCCTAATTATTCAACCAAAACGATATGTTTCCTAAAGTATTAAAATTCAATACTTTCCAATCTCAAGTGAATTCTTATAATTCATAATCTTATGTTATTGTTCAATAAGCTTTTCAAGACGACTTAATTTGACATTTTCAGGTACATTATCCTATAAATTTCTATAAGCATGTGTTTTTTCTCTCATAGAATAAGCAAACATAAAGGCCTAATGAAATGGTAATCTTACATTTTCAAATTAAATAAGTTATAACAAACTTAAAGTTTATTCAAAATCGTATTCAGTCTCATCACAAAAACCAACAATTACATCGGTTGACAAGGTTACATTTGGAATTAAGGTTCTTACTTCATGACATAAATCCAAAAGTGCTCCTCTTGTGTAATTTCTCCTCATTTTTTTCAATATTTCATCTGAACCTGATTGTATAGGTATGTGGATACTAAATTACAAAATCTGTACTTCTTGCAAATATTGGGGTGTTTTGCAATTACTTCTAAAACTTTCTTTGGAAAATTCTTTGGATGAGGTGAAGTAAATCTAATTCTAGTTTTTGGAAATTTAACTGCAATTTCATTCAATAGTTAATCAAATCTTAAGCCATTTCCAGATCTCAATTTGTACAGTTCTGTGAAACCAACAGTGTTTTCATGTTAACTTGATATTTTTTCATCTTGAAAAAAGTAACTATTAACATTTTAACCAAGGAGAGTGACCTCCTTTATTCCTTTTTAGGTTAAAATTGCTATTTCTTCTAAAATACTTTCAGGATTTCTGCTTCTTTCTCTTCCTCTTGTGAAAGGAACAACGCAAAATGAACACATATTATTGCATCCTCTCATTATGGAAACATATGTTGTGATGCTATCAGTAGGATTAATAGGAAGAATATCATCGTAAGTTTCTGTTAATGAAAGATTTGTGTCAATTTATTTATCTCTTGTTAATTGAAAAGAGTTTAATAGCGTAGGTAGGGATTTATAGCTATCTGGGCCTACAATAATGTTTGCTCCTTAAACGAATAACTGTTCTTTAAGTCTTTCTGCCATACATCCTAAAATGCCTAAAACTTTATTTTAAGATTTTAATTCTGACATTCTTTGAAACACTTTTTTCTCTGCATTTGCTCTTATTGAACAAGTATTTAAAAATATGATATCAGCTTCAGAGATGTCGTTTGTATTAGAATAGCCCTCACTTGACAAAATTGATTACACAATTTAAGAATCATTTGCATTCATTTAACACCCATATGTTTCAATAAAAAATTTAGGCCCATTATTAGTGTTATTGACTTCAGAGTCTTACTATTTCATAAATTCAGATAAAGAGGGAATTTCATTGATGTTTCTTTTAGAAGTTGAAAAGTAATTTCTGGGAAACCTTTGAATAAATTTTCTGAACATATAATTATTTATTTCACGACTTATTAATTGTAATAACATAGTTACTTATTTGTTATTTGATATTTTTAATAAATAATGTAATACACACAAACGCAGCTAGAAATCAGCTTAGCTAGTTTTAAGGATATAAGAAACAATTTGAAGGATGAATTTTAAGATTACATTCTACAAAATAACTCAAAAGACAAGGAGACACCTAACAATTTTGGAATTATCCTAAAGGAGTTAAAAAATAAGAATCAATAAAAGCAACAGTAACTAGCGATGAATTCCCTTCCTGATTTTTCACAAGCGTCTACATATTCATAAAATGTAATTGGTCGTAGCATTTATTTAGTATTAATTTTCAAATTCAGGTGATGAAACCGAAAGATTAACAAAAGAGTTAGAAGTTCAAAAGTCTTTAATTCAAAGTGAAGTAGAACTTAAAAAATCTATCAATTTCATCAAAAAGCAAATTTATCCTTTACAAGAATATGCTAATCAGCTGTCTCTATAGTAAAAGTAAGCAGAAAGTGAAAGTAAAACAGCTGAGTCTGAATCTGTATGATTATATATTAAATTAGAAAGAATAGAATAAAAAAAACAATTGGCGAACTATAATCTTCAATTGCTAGGTTAAAATATTAAAGATAATAATATCGTGATTTTATATATGAGCAAAGTATGAAAGTAGAACAAAATCTAAAATAAGAACAAAGCACTCTTGAGTAATAAAATGAAGCAGTTGAGAATTTGGTCTAAACAATATCCAAATAGAAGGCTTAAATTGAAGATCTAATAAAATAATAATATGAAAAAATGGAAAAAAGCGAATAATAAAGAATTACAATATAGAACTACTTAACATTAACAAAATTATACGAATTTTGCACGAACTAGATAGAATAATTAAATGTGAATGATAACACATAAAGAATCAGCAGCGAATCTGAATCTTCAGGCAAAGATGATTTATACTCAGATTAAGAAGACTCAATAATCACAAGCAATAATTTTTTTTAAACTCAGGTTCAAACATCATCTTAGCCAAGATCAAAACAGCGAATAGCAACGCCAAAGAAAAAAAAGAAGGAAAAAAAGAAATTAACATATCCATAATTAATGGAGAAGTTTTAGAAATCAAAAGAATTGCTTTCAAAAATTAAAAATGATGTAGATATCAATATCATGGAATAATTTATTTTGAATCATTATTAAGAGTAATCTGAAATACAAAGGTAATTAGCAGATCAACATTAAGTTTTATAAGAATCAAAAGATGAGTATTTACATGAAATTTAGATGCTAAACGATAAAGTATTACTTATTGTTTATCTTAGCTAAATCTGACAGATGATGTGAGAGAAAAATTAGTAAGATGTCAAGAACCCACTTCTGAAAACTTTAATTAGAAAATCTTAACTCATAAAATAGCTAATACAAGTAATGAGAATGAATTGCAGATCATAAAATAAACTGATAAATTGATTAAGTTGGAGGCGTTATTCTTTACTTTGAATACTAGAGCCATGTCTCTTTTAAGAAGAATATGTTCTATTTTATAGAACATATAATAGATAAGCGAGAAGTTAGATAATCGAATCATTAATGTTTATTAAAATGCAGTGCTAACTGTTGGTCTACTAAGATCGAATAATGAGCTAGATTTGAATCAATTTCCCAAATTTAAGAAACTTTTAAAAGGAAATAATCTTACTTTAATTTATTGTGATTAGCAAGTATTTCAAGAGTTCTGTGAAAAAGTTGAAAATTTAACTGATGATGGCTTATCTACCAATTTTTCATTATTAATTGAAATGTGTATGACAAGAATAGCTGGAGAAACTTAATGTATTTATGAATAAATTTCAACTATTTGTAATTGTCTCAAAGATGAAGTAAGAAGACTATGCAATTATGGAAGTCTAAGATCTTTTAGAGACTTAACGAGCATGCCAATAACAAATTTAGCTAATTCATATAATGCCCCTACTATGAGAAAATTAAAAGAATATTCGGACTCTAAATAATCAGAAGTGACTAGCAAGAAATCAATGGAGAGATTTGAGTAATATTTTTCAATTTATAAGGAAAAAATCATTATTGGCCGATGAGTTTAAGTTTGTTATTGATCAAAACGAAAAAAGCTTAAATGAAGATGACATAGATGAATTCTATTATCAAATAAAAAAAGAAATAGAAGCCAAACCATCAACTAAAACAACAAGAATTGAGACAGCCAATCTTACAAAAACAACTCTGGTTTATGATTAACCTTAAAAAAATAAAATGACAGAATTTTTTAGATCAAATTCTAAGGTGTCTTAATCATTAAGAAGAATTTAATCATGTAAAGTTAATATTAAACTATTAGAAGGATAATTTATTGACGCTTAATCAAAGAACTTTAGGTAGTTTCTAGAGAAAGAATAAAAACATATTGAGTTATTGTCAAGAATGAATCGTACTGGGAGCACATCTGCATTTTAACCAACAACATTAAGACCGAAATCTCAAGAAAAAACTCGGGTTCTAAATATATTACCAAGAACAATCAGCGCATCATAACAATAAAGATCTGCAAGGAAGAAAATTGTTGCTTTACAACTTGAAAAGGACATGAAACGATTTAATGATCAAGTAGGTAGATTTACAAAACTAAAGTTGAATTGATTGGGATTGTAATTAATAATTTTATTTATGTTATAATCGAATCTAATCATTTCTTAGATGACTTTGTTCCTGATTTAACTGATTTAGCAACTGGATTAGATTTTTATGACTATGAATCTTTAGGAGCTTATTAAGACTATTATTATGACTGCTGTTAAATTTCGTTTTATTTTTTGACGCTTTAAACAGTGGGGAGTTCTTATTGTGCTTTAGCATTTATTACAGATTCGGGCATTTTCCAAATGAATATGGCTCCCTCTGCACCTACAGAAATAATGGATTTTTGATCTGGACTGATTGTAATCTAAGAATTATCACAAATAGTACTCTAGTGATTGTGCCAGAATGACCTTATCCTTTAAAATAGCAGATTCCTTCATCATAACCCCAAAGCTTAACTTCTTTATCTTCTCCTCCAGAAACAAAATGCTCTCCTTCTTTGGTGATAGCAAGAGCATTGACTTCTCCTTCTTCTGAACCATCTAACATTCTAATTGCCTAACCATCAAAGGTTTCCCAATAAGTAATCTATAGGTTTAGTAATAATATAACTAATTACTTTTCTGTCACTTCCAGTTGTGAGTAATTGACTTTCTTCTGGATGATAAAGTACCATTTTAAATAAAGTGCTTTCGAAAAGACACATAACTCTGGTAAATGATTTGAGATCCCAAATAATGCAAGAACCATCTGCACTGGCACTGACAGCCTATTCATTATTTCTTCTAACTTGAATCGACCATACTCTTCCTCTGTGTTCTTTCATGGATGACTTCATAACTTATGTTTGTTTGCCTATTTCCCAGACTCTAACTTCTCCTTCAGATCCTCCAGAGATTATTCTTTAGCAATCAGAAGTGCAGGTCAGAGAAGTGCATCCATGAATATGTGCATCATTTATTACATACATCAGTCTACCAGATTGAGGCAGGAATGCTCTGATTTTACCATCACTCCATCCACTCACTATACTTTTGCCATCATTCATAAATGCAACTGCCCAGCATTCTAAATTAGGGACTTAGATTCTGAGTAATTCTTATCTATTTTTAGCATTCCAAACTCTGATGTCGTTCAAAGAACTAGTAGCGAAGACATCTGAATAGTTGTGAGGAAAAGCAACATCATTAATTCTTTCATAATGACAAGTGTTTCTTAACTCAGGAATTAATTGCTCAGTGTCCAACCAATAAATATTGCTCTAAATTGTTCCTGTAAAAAAATGAGTATAATCATTTGTGAATGTTATTGAAGTTACTCCTCCTAAAAGTTCACTGCTTGCAACTATTTGCATGGTTTAAAATGACACTTTAGCTATCATACCATCGCCAGCACCAACGATAATATCGCCATTAGGTAATAAACCTAAACAATTAACTCCTTGGCTGAATAACTTCTTTACTGGAGCTAGTCTTTTATATATAGCCATATCCATTTGAATTTCAAACACATCTCCTGTTTTTGTACCACAATAGCAATATTTGTCATTTTTATCTATTGCAACACAAGTGAATGTACGCTTTACGTTACCAAAGCTCACATCAACAGATTAGATCTTTTCTTATAGGTTTATACTATACCTTTTTATTTTATTTATCAATTGTTAAAATTTAAACTCCAGTATTTAAAACTGCTATCATTTTTTCATCAGATTAGTTGTAGAACTGAACTTGATTGACAGGATCTCTATTAGGAGTACCGTACAAGGCTTTTCCTGCTTTGATATCCCAAACAATCAACATATTTTTATCATCAATTCCTCCTAATGAGGCTAAGTATAATTCATTGTAGGAAAAACTGAGCGATTGAATCAATACTTTATGTAATTTCAATCTGTGAATCATGCTTCTTTCCTTGAAATCCCAAATTATTATATCAGCTTAGAATCCCATGTAAGTCCTTTATCCAGAAGCAACATAATCACCTGAACGAGAAACTGTTATCACAGAGATCTAATTATCATGTCCTCTAAACAAGATTAATGTTAAAATATACCTTAAAAATGTTTAAGCTCTACTAATTATATGTCGAACAACAATAGTGGAACCCAATGGATAGATAATATGCTTTTAATGATTATTCAAACAATACCTCATTATCCGGATGCAATATCAAGCCCTAAGTAATTTTACCTGAAATGATTATGTTGTCAATATACCTGTAAATCCAATAACTGCTTGTATTTCAAGTTCTGATAACATTATTTGTATTTTTATTTTTCAAATTATATACTTCAATGTTTTAATTAAAAACTGTTGTATTTTAGACATAAATTTATAAATCTTATGAAAATTAATTAATCAAACAGTCCAGAACTCTTCATTTTCCTATTTTTCTACTCTTACTCTTAAGTCTTTATTCACATTTTCAAGAACCTAATTTTAATTTCAATATTTATTTACTAATTTCCATAAATTAGATGAAAAGTCGTCCTAATAAAATGATTCAACATCGTTCTTCTCCTTCTGTAGATTAATCTTTTTGCGCTCATAAACCACAGTTTAAATTATGGAATTAGAAATGCTGTCTGCTATCATTTTCTCTTTGGCTATTTGAACTTCACCTGAAATTTTATTTGATTTTGTTTGGGAAAATAAATTTGCTTGTATTTAGTAAAGCAAGAGGGCAACAGCTATAATACTCAAAAATACTAATATCTTAAACAAAACAAATTTAGTTTTTTATTGATTATTAAAGGACTTCTTCAACATTTTAGACTTACGATCATCATAATTGTTTGAACTGAGTCTTGGAGTCGAAGTAAATGAAGTAATGCTACTTTTTGGGGTTATCATGTTTTTTGTTGAGGATTTAACTTCTTAAATAGTTGACTTTGTTGTCTCAAAGTGTTGGGGAAATATGACTGAATTTGGAGCAAAAGCTTTTGATGTGCTGTCATTTTATTTAGTTGATAACTTATTGAAAGTTAGATTTCTGTTAGAAATATTTGAAAGTGGTCTTTGAATTGGGGAATTACTTCGATTCATTATGAATTCAAATTTTTAATTTATTTATTTATCGTTAATGTTAATTCTAAAAAAGAGATATTATCCATTTTCGTGGTTATTAGGAAATTTGCTAATTCTTTCGATATTCTATGAAGAATATCAAAGTCTTTCTTACACATCATAAATGATTGTATTACTCTTAAAATCACATTATGAAGGTTTTAGATTGAATATTTTCTTTTATGCTCTAAGTTTACTATTAGATGTGTGTAGATTGAAGATACTAAGTCTTGTAGCAATAATTCTCTATTTTTATTTGACTCACAAGTTAAACAACTACCATCTGCCAGATGGAGGAAGTCCTGTAGGTCATTTACATTTGAAAGGAGGCATACTTAATGACTACAAACACATTCCAGAAATGGCAATCTATTATCCTGCATCAATTGAAGATTGCAAAAAGCGTAAAAAAGGGTTCAAGTGGCTAAAAGTTAAGGATTACGCAAAAAAAATGGATGATACTGCGAAAAAGGACGTACGCAGAAAAAGGAGGGTTCCCTATCTCTTTTTTAAAATTGTAGTTTCACAATTCTATAAGTTTATGATAAATGTTTATGAAAACGCATAAATTGACATAAATTTTGCAGAAACATCAACCAATCTAGCTAAATTTTCAGTCATTGTATTAAGTCATGGATTGGCTTCTCATTGTGATGGATACTCTGTTGTGGCTAGATATTTGGCATAGTAAGGTCATATTGTCTTTGTTCCAGAACATATCGAGAATATTCGGAATATTTACCTAACTAATGAAGAAAATAGAGAATATAGAAAAGTGTAATTATTAGATAGGTAATGAATTACATCATTCTAACCCTTAGAATTAATACCGTAAAGCAAGTCTTAGATATAATATACAATGAAAAACTCTTCTCGGAACTTTTTAAGCATCCGGACAAAAAGATACAACCGGATTTTGATTAAATTTCAATCATCGGTCATTCTTTTGGTGGATCGACTGCATATGCAATAGCTCAAACTGAGAAGAGAATCACAGGAGCTTGCATTCTATATGATCCAGTATTGATTACTTTTATAACTTAGTGTCTGTATATTTTCGACTTTGAAGAAAAGGTAAAATTACACATTCCATTGATGAGCATAAATGCCGATGATTTCTATAGAAGATTGTATTCATTTATGGAGAACGACGAAAGATTGGAGAAGGCATTCCAATTGATCGATGTAATGATATGATCTATTAAAGGGACCTATTTCAGATCATTGTGCTAACATTTATATAAAAGACCAATAACATGCAGATTTTTCTGATATCCCAATTATCTGGAATGGTGAAAGTGGACTTTATAGCATATCTAAAAATGTTCATGAAGTGCATTTGAGATTCGGAATGATTTTATTATTGACGAAGATATTTTTAGAAGAATCGAAACAATATCATAAAATTAAACATAATAAACAGATGATAAATGGCAATGAGGAATTAAAGTCCATAATTCTAAAGGAGGTGGAAAGGAGTTTTGGTGCTCAAAGATTAAAATTGTTGAGATGGAAAGCGGTTCAAAATGAATGATTAATATAATTAAAAATTATATTATAATGAGCAATATTGATTAACTTTTGAGAAGTCGACCAAAAATTTTAAAAGGGAGCCAAAATTTGATATAGAACAAACCTACAAATGAATTTAGTCTTAATTTAGACAAAGCCTTATTTACAATGTAACCAGCTCCGAGATTGATTGTACCCAAGGAAGTCAATGTGAATAAGTAGAAGTATGAGGGATAAGTAGATCAAGTTGACATGTATTCATGATTGCTTACTAGAACTGAATAAGAGTTTGAGAAACTAATACCGAAGAAGCAGAAGGATCCTCCCATTACTAATAAGAAAATTGTTAATGATAAATAAGAAATGCCTACTTATATATTAGAGGAAGAGAAGACTAAATAAGTAAGTACATCAAATAATTAAGTTTGTTATGGAAGCATTGAGTGAGGAGTTGGCGAGATTGGATTCAAACACAGAAAATTTATTGAAGACTTTGGATTAAGAAAAGGAGAAGATGGGATTGATGAAGCAGTAGAACGACGAAATAGAGCAGTAAGTTAAGTTGATGGTTCAAAATAAAAGATTAGAAAATAGGATCTCATAGTTGGAGGACTAATTGAAGTATTTGATTTAGGATAATTTGAAGTGTTCCAAAAGAAATTAAATTAGATCTATTAAATGCTGATTGGAATGTGGCTAATGAGAAAATAGAATAGATGTTCAAAGAAAATTAAGAATTATTCAATGAAGCAGATTAAATTGCACATGAATTCGCTAAATAATAATTGGAATGTGAAAATGATTGAAATTTTATAAATTATATTTATAAATTTAGTTAACAAGCTCGATGTAGGATATAAAAACGAATAAACCAATGTAATAAAGTGATGGAGATGAAATATTTATTCATATTTAAAACAACGCAGATCAATATAACATTCAATCATCAGACGAAAAAAATTAAAATTAAATTATGATCCCAGATCAAATCACAGAGACCAAGACCACAAATCCAAAACCAATGACTTTTGACCAAATTAGATTGGTTTCATCTACATAAGTGAGTGGTGATGGACATGCTAAATCAGTTAGAGTGCAATGTCCGTAATGCAAATAAAAAGTATTATAATTGGTATCCTAGGTTGATACTGTGATTATTCGTAAACCAGGAACCTAAACATATCTTGCCTCATGTATTCTTTTGCTTTGTTCTTTTGGTTTAGTCTGCATTTCTTGTTTACCTTGTATTATTGATGATTGTAAGGATGTCTTACATTCTTGCCCTCAATGCAAAATTCCTTTAGGAAAGACATAATTCAAGATATTAGATTGATCCATTTATAAAGACACTTTATTAAAATTAAATTACAAATTAAAAACTGTTGTTTTTCATTACAAACTATTTAAATAAATATTGTATATGAAATAATTTCCAATATAACAAGCAAGAAATCTTGTGAATGAGTTCTTTGACTTTGTTGCCAAAGCAGTAAGTCCATTTCATGTCACGTCTCTATGTAAAGAGAGATTGGCCAAGTCAGGATTCAGAGAATTGAATGAGACAGAAAATTGGAAATTGGAAAAGGGTGGTAAGTATTTCTTCACAAGAAATCTCACAACTATTGTTGCCTTCACTGTCGGCTAATAGTTTGACCCAAATAATACAGGATTTAAAATCATAGGTGCTCACACAGACAGTCCATGTTTACGATTGGCCCCAGTCTCTAAACTAGATTCTAATGGATTCTTATAAACATGCGTTTCTACTTACGGTGGGGGTTTATGGCATACTTGGTTTGACAGAGAATTGACATTGGGAGGTCGAATTGTTTTTAAAAAAGATAATGTTTATTAGAGTTAGTTATTCCATCATCAAAAACCACTCTTAAAGATCCCTAATTTGGCTATTCATCTGACAACTGACAGAAATAGCTTTGCTCCAAACAGTAAATATTAATCAATAAAATTAGATGAATCAAATTTAAGACCTGTGTTTGCCTAAGAAGCCTATTAGACATTGACTGGAATTGAAAAACCCAGCAGTGAAGGGTAAACTAGTTTTGAAAATAAGCACTATAAATATTTGCTTAATCTAATTACAGAATAGACTGGCATCCCAACAGCTGACATATTGGATATTGACTTATACTTCTCAGATTGCTAACCACCTTCATATTTTGGGTTAAATTAAGAATTCATTTCGGCTGCTAGAATTGATAACTTATTTTCAAGTTTCTTCTCACTTTTAGCCATTACAAATCCAGAAAGCTTTGCAGAGGACTAAACATTTATCAACATGATCTGTCTTTATGATCACGAAGAAGTTGGTTCATAAAGTGCCCAAGGAGCTGATTCTTCATTATTATCCAATAACATGAAGAGGATTTATGATATCCTATCCAATTCCAATTAGACCTCAACTGATAGTTTTTATAAAGCAATTCAAAGGAGCTTCTTAATTTCTTCAGATATGGCTCATTCAATTCATCCAAATTATTCAGACAAGCACCAACAAAATCATAGAGTCAAGATGAATGAAGGCATTGTTATCAAAGTCAATCATAATTAAAGATATGCTACTGACGGTGTTTCATCAGCAATACTAAGAGTAATTGCTTAACAAGCTGATGTCCCTATCTAAGACTTTATTGTTAGAAATGATTCCCCTTGTGGTTCAACAATTGGCCCTTTATAAGGTTTAAATCAAATTGATAATTTTAGCTTCAAATACAGGCATCAAAACTATTGATATTGGAGCAGCCTAATGGGGTATGCATTCCATCAGAGAAACTGCTGGAGTTGTTGATGGTTATTATTTGGAAAAACTATTTGTTTAATTTTTCAAACAATACGAAAAAATAGATCATAAGTTGCTTGGAATTTGAGTATTATGATTATTGCAATATTAAGAATTCCATATACATACACCTAATTCAAAGATAACTAAAGTTTCTAATTTCGGATTTCTTATTTTTTTGCTTGTTATTTCATCTAATTTAGTAGGACCTTGCTTGTTTGATTATTAGTTATAAAACAGTTTTCAAAATATCTCTTTAGTACTAGATCTAGATTTGATCTTGATTCAAATCCTAGCATGATATATATGAATCTAAGAATATTTATAAAAGATAATAGAAAATCATCTTTTTAAGATTTTTTTGGTAGTTTTTATTACATTTTAAGATGAAAAATCTAGGAAATGATGAATGGTAAAATTATTAAATTCCATTAAAACAAAAATAGAATTCATTACTTTATAAATATAATTAATTGAAAAAGAAAAATTTATAAAAGCAACCGCACATATATACTATAATGGTATTTGAAAAGTTACAAACGTCTCAGTTTTTGATATTCTTATTATTTTTTTCATAATTTTGTAGATTATTTTGATTTTCAATATTCGATTTCTAAGACTATCTATCCATATTTGAGGGCGCATATTGTTAAAATTAATAATTATGAGGTTATTATTACTATATTTAATTCTATTTGATATTATCCTTCTAAGAGTCTTAAGATTCATGTTCATTAAAATTTTTTATTGCCTTATATATTTCATTTTTTTATTCATTTAATGTTATAAATATTCTAGCTATTTCTATATAATTGTTTATATTTAACTTATTAAATTAAACTGCAACTTGGTGTCTTGGCTGTTTATTTTCATTAATTTAGTATGCATTGTTTAATTAAATTTTTTATTGAGAGTTTTTCTAAAATAGGAAGTATTAAATTCCAGATAAGGTAGAAATGATAAACAAGTATCCTAAAATTCCTAAAAATATATATCCTGAATAATTATAATAAGACTCAATGGCAATAAAAAAATATAAAGCAATTGAATTAGTCAACAATAATTAAGCCAACTACTTTTTCCTTCCTACTTAAATTTATGGTAAATATTTTTTGCTGTTGTAATTCTAAATTTACCAAAAATAAGTCAAAAATGAAAAATTAAAAGTGTATATTAATAAATTACCACGTTTTTAAACCCATTCTATAAAAATTACAAAAATTACAAAGAACAATATTATACTTTAATAAATCACTGAGTATTCCCAAAGCTGTTTTCCATATGACAATATTAGATTGAAAAAAGTAAATAAAAATACAGCAAAATCTAGTATTTTTTAAAAGCCAATTAATCCTATAAATAATTTATTAACTTCAAAAAGATAAGGTAAGGGAGCCTCCAATTAACATTCATGATTTTTATCCTTCATAAAAATGGGTTTTTCAAGTTCCAATTCCAAAATTGTATCACCTTTTTCTTCATATTCAAATTCAAAATAAACGTTGTCTTTTTCCAATTAAAATGTCTCTTAACAATGTATATCGACTTTCTCATGGAATGATTCCAACTCGATTGAATGAGATTTATCATACCTCAAATTGTAAGAAATTCTTTGAGCTTTATTTCTAATTTGTATTTTATCTTAGGAGTTGTATATAATAGAAATTAGAATATATACAAAAACATTGAAAGAATAACACAAAGGGATTGGTAATGCTAAAACAGCATAAAAAGAAGATTATTCCAAAAGGTTATAGATCAGCTGGTAGGGACTATAAAAAGCAAAAAAAAAACCTAATTAAATTATTAATAAATTTTACAAACTGAAATTGCAAAATATCCTTAGATGTATTGAAATTTGCAGAAAATATTTTAACAAAGAATATTAAATTAGATTTTCCAATCAGAAGTGATTAATTGATGGTTTTGCATTTAATCTTGAATATTTTATCTTGTCTCAATAAACTATTCTATTAACTTAATTTCTGAAAATTTATTAAGACGTTAAATGATGATTGGCTCCCTTAAGATAAGCAAATCTAATTATTATGGTTGTGCTAACATTAACTTAGGTAAAATTGAATTTAGTTCCAGTGCTCCAAAATTCTTTTGTTAGGATTCTTATAATAGTGAGTAATATTCTGGAATCAAATTTGAAATAAGGCTCCATTTATAAATGCATTATAGAGGATTATGAAATTACTTTATTTTAAAAATAGAATGATAATCAATAATACTTTAAGGAATATCTAGATAATAGGATAAATGGTTCAGGTTTTCATCTTCAATTTGTAATTTTTCGTACCATTAAATACCAAATATCGCTTGTTCTTTACAAAATAGAGAAAAAAAATTTGTTACTGGAAAATCAAATTTAAAGTTGCTCTTTAATATCACAACATATTCTGGATCAATGAAACTCAATATTCCTACATATATCCATCGAATTAATTGCAATGTATCAGGTTACTTAAACAAGGCAAAATAATATGCAATTGCTTTATTTTCAAAGGTCTCTTCTAAAAAAAAGGAATGCTCTTTGGAAGATGAATATTTATTAAACTATTTCTTGTAAGCTTTATAAATATAAGTTTTATTAAACAACTATTAGAAAAGTTGTTTACTATTAATTAATATAATTGGAACTAATTAGTGTTTATTGAAGTAAGATATTGCATCATCAAGATCATCCCTTGATTCCCCTTAATATATAAGTATAGCCACATTTGATTTATAAATTTCCTCATCATTAGGTTGGTTATTTTGTATATTTTGATGTTTTGAGTTTTCTTCTTTTTACTGTGCATTTTTGTTCTCTTGTTTTTATTTTGCTTATAATTTCTTTAATGCCATATACTATTGATTTATTAAAACTTTCTAGATAGTACGGCCATTCATAGTTAGGTTAAAATATTAAGCATTGAATTTTTTTTACAATTAAATCATTTTAGAAATAGATTTATCTTTGGCGGTCTCTTACATAAAAAGAAAACTGCTCTCCAACATTTTAATTTCCTCTTTTAATTGCTCTTTTTTAGTATCAGAAATATGTTTCACAAATGATGTTTTCTCATCAGAAAAGGGACTGAAATATAAAAATTTACTCTTCTAGTCCTCATCTAATATCATTAAAGATATCCTGTCATTTTCTAACAATTCAATTACATAAAATTTAAACATTTTTATGAAAATTTGGAATTTTTCTCCAAATAAGAAAGTATAAAATATATTCTATTTCCAAATTTCGATTCTAAGATTATAAACAAATATTGGGTAACTGGAATAAGCTGATTTAAAGCATGATTAATTTTAAATGAGTTATAATTATTGATTTTACTATTCTAGAAATATTAATCTATTTTTCAAATATAAAGGTTGTCACACTTCGAAAAGATCAGTTCTAGGGAAGGCACTTTTCTCTACATTTCCTAAAGGAAGAAACCAATATTTAATTTCAGGACCAAAAACTTCCTTAAAGTTATCTATAATTCTAGGCTTTCTGAAAGGGTTCTATAAGTATTTATTAATAATTATGCGAAATACATTGGCTTTAATCTCATTTATGTGGTATTCGACAGTAGTAATGTTTTGGGCGATATGGTAGATATGAAATCCCAATAGAAATCCCATAACCAATACTAAGGAAAGGCAGGTTACATCACAAATTGTCAATATAAACTATTAATTTTTTGTCAGTTCCTAAAAGATGTTAACATAAGCATACTTGTAACACAAGCCTATCATTAACAAACAAATCATAAGAAATAAATAATGTACATTGGATCATGCACAAGAGAGCATAGAAATTGAATTGGCAAAAATACCTATGATTTTTCAAACCTACACAATTATTAACCCATGGACAATGATGGTCCTAATTATTTAAACAATAGATAAAACAATTACCATTCTCAATATACATTTATTGCATTCTTTACAATGGTGAGTTCTGGGTAATTTTATATTATCACATTTAAAGCAGTATGAAACTAATTATAATGCTTGAATAATATCGCTAGAACCATATAATAAAATTATTTTATTACAATTTCATCATCATGCTCATCGTGCATTTCAATATGATTTTACATCCTTCGCTACCTATGCTTATTAATTTTTTCAGTCATTTTTTTTGTTCTCTATTTTATGTCTTCCAAAGTTCTTTCATGATAATGTTTAGCCTAATCGATCACAAGAACAAATACTAAATCTTTTGGAGGATATCCAGGCTTGGTATATTGAATCATAATGTAAGCTAAATTCAAGAAGAGGAATATGATGGTAAATTCAATTCCAATCAAATAAGTAATACTTCCATGCTAATATGTATTTAGTGAAAAACGAATTACTTTATTAAGAAATGCAGGTAGGAAGATAAAAACAAAAGCATAATATTCGCTGAAGATAATCCCATAAACAAGTAGCACAGCGACGAAATCAGGTAGTTGATGTTACCCCTTAAACATTAATTATTATATATATTTTATTTAAATTAAATATTCCTTTTGCAAATTAGAATTTTTCTATGCAATATTCTTGAATTGTGACAGTACAAAGAGAAAAAGGAGAGCATATGAGAATTTTAGAATGAATCTTTAGTAAATTTCAATTATTTTAAAATTTGAAAATGAAATAGAATACTTGAAATTACAGAGAATTAAATTGATTATTTAATATATCTTGGTTAAAAGTAATGTAGGATAGAGATTGTATATAAATATATTATTTAATATTTGAAAAATAATGGAACCTGAATAATTGATAGATTAATTAAATGATATATTGTTGGCAGACCATTTCAGATTTATAGAGGTTATAGGAAGAGGCAGTTTTGGTGTAGTAGTGGCTGCGTTTTGTAGTAATCTAGATCGAGTGGTGGCAATAAAAGTTAATTCCAATATTAGAATTATCATAGATAACATCGAATGTTGATCAAGAGAACGAAGCCAATTTGCTTAAAGCTTGTTGCCATTAAAATATTGTTAAGCTTTACAAGGTATGCCATTTTTTTTCATTATAGGTGTTAGTAGCTAATAATCATCTTTATCTCATAATGGAGAGACTGGTTGGTTTAACTCTAGACAAATTGATGAAACAATCTATGTTGTCAGAATAGAGCGTTAGAAACTATATGACTCAAATTTTAAATGCTTTGGTGTTTCTTCATAGAAAGAACATTATCCATAGAGATCTTAAGCCAGGTTAATTTAACTACTATAATAGAAAATATCTTTATTTGTGAAAATGCATGCGTTAAATTAATAGATCTAGGCTTAGGATAAGAGATTGTGTGTAAAGGATGCGTCTATTAATCAGTTGGTACTCCTTACTTTATTGCCCCAGAAGTCATTTTAGGAAAGGATTAAAGCCAAGTATGTAATTGCTATCTCTAATTTAGGCTGTTGATATTTTCAGTTTAGGGATTATATTCTATATGATGATCAACAATTTGTAACATCCTTTATGGGACGGACAAATGAGAAAAAGACATTACTACGAATTGATCTCAAATGAATTTACGATTAACTTCCCCAAAACAATGCCTGAGTATTCTCTAAATATCATATTTAATAGGATGGCAAAAGATTTTGTGTTGAATACTGTTTAATTCAGGGCAGAAAACAGGATGACGGCCTTGTAATGCTTAGAACATCCTTGGATTAAAGGAAAAGCAGTTAAAACACATCCCATGACAACAAGAGAAATCATGTTAAGATACAACATTTAATAAAAGCTGTAACATGTAAAAATCATGAATTAATTAGGTAATTAAATCATTAATGTTTATAAAAACTCTTCAATAAACATGTGAAGAAGAGATTCACTACATAAAAACAAGCACTTCCCCTTTGAGAGATGATAAGGAAGAGGATCGAATCTCTCCTGAAAATGACTAGTAGGTCACTGCAAGATTAAGTGTTGAATTGACCAATAAAAAACAAAAATCATTTAAACTACATGCCATTCCACTTAAAAAAGTAAGTTCATATAAAGATCTAGTGTCTTTAAGGGAAAAGTAAACAAATCAAAAGAAATATCAATGTATAAACATGTATTTTAATAAGATATGATATCAAGGTTTAGAGAGAAATTGTCTATGGCCAATCAATTCAAAACCAATGGGCATCCTAACTTTGAATCTCCAATGAGTCATCGAAAATTAACTACTCTACCTTCAATTAATACTAATAGGTTATAAAGATAATCAACTTTTAATTTTAAAATTTTGTGAAGTGCTTTTTATAAATTATCAAATAAGAAATCAATTTTACTTTAATCTATTCATAATTTCATCTGCTTCTTATGCCTTGGTTTCATCATAAGGAATATAATAGTTAGATAATCTTGATTATGGATTGCTCATTGGTTTGTTCTATTCTCTGAAGATGTTTATTGATTTAATGATCTCCTCATTATCCATCTCAATTTATTGTATCATTTTCTTGATATCATTATTAATAAAGAACAATTCAGTGTTGTCTTATTTCAACAATTTGAAATTGGCTTGCATCTTTGCATTCTCTAATTTCAACTTATCGATTTGCTATTATAATTCATTATGCTTGTGATTATCAACTCGCAAATTTAAATTAGAAATCTCAGAAATCAAATTATCCACATTGTTTCTAACTATCTAATATTACTGATAAACTTCCTACGGTTATTATTACACTTAGTTTGTTTATTATATTGTCTTTATAGCGGATTTCAACTAGATTGATGAATCTTCCTTCTTGCTCTATTAGAATGACTGATTCTGACTCTAATCATCCTTAATTCTAGGAACTTTCGAAATTAATTCTTTGAATTATTCGTCTGAATTGTATATTTTTTCATTTTGAATCAATACCTTACTAATATTCAACTTTAAGGTGTCCAATTTATCCTGCTCATTCAAACTTAACTAATTTCCTTCTTCTAATCGTTTAATTATTATTTCCAATTGTTTTCCATCTTATTCTAATCGCTATTTATTCTTATCAATCATTTATATAATCGTTGTTGACTTTCCTTTGTCCAAACACATTTTAAGTATTTCAATTTCTGCCTTAAGCTACAATTTTAATCTTGTTAGAGATTATAGCATTTATTCAAAAATCAATTAATTATAACAATAATTTATACTCCTTATTATTATGAATTCCAGCATTTTTTTATACACACTTAATTTAAATTTTTAATAACACTCAGATACACAATAATTTTAACTATTAATTAGTATATTTTATTTATTTTCTCAATTATTTAATGGTCTAAAAATCAAAACATAAGTTAAATATGTTTTAATCGAAATTCGTGATTTTTATACTCAATATTGACATCACACTATGATAAAATGTTTAAACAATTACAATTAATTAAATAACATAAATATATAAATACAATCAAAGAGTAAATGTTTTCAAAGTTCAATTTCAAACTATTCTAATTAAATTGTTCTAGTAGGTTTCCTAAATTTACTTATGAAATCATTTCCTATTGCCTTGATAAATGGTATCAATATTAGCAAAAAGAGAGCGTAATTTATATAGTAAATGTGCTCAAAGATTAATGTAACCATTAGACGAGGAACCCCTTTCTCAAACAATTTAAGTATGTATCTCTATTACCCCTGTATTAAATAACAAAAGAAGTATAATGTTAATTTTATAATGTTGCTTCTGGAGAGCCAAAATCTTAATGGACTTTTATTAGGTTGTTCAGGTGGTTGCTCGTAGAGAATAAATAGATATAAAGGGAAAAAGATTATTGAGATATATTAAACATCTGAAGTTTCGAATTTCTTTTCGTAACTATAATGCCCCTTATGAAGACAGGTATCTTGTCTGATTATAAACTTCTTCCATTCCTCCTTCTCATCTAATAATTACTATGAATAATGTCTAAAGTAACATATTATCAATGTTATCAAGTAGAGTAAGGATAGCATAATACCCAAATTAATATACTTAGCAATCTTGGTGCATGTCTTTTCATCTTTAATTCTTTTAGCCTCTATGTAAAGAGAATGAATCAATTGTTCTAATCCACAGTAATAATAAAGGTATAACAGATATATTCCTAAGACCCATCCCAGGATAATTTAATTTAGAAAATGAACTCCAAAATATAAACGACCAATTCCGATCAAAAAAATAAATATTCCTAAAAAAAATTAGCATTGCTTAAAACTTATTGGCGAATTTGGATACAGCATCTTAAATCTCATATTACTAATATAGAAATAAAGGATTTTACCATGAGATTGACTATTGCATCTGCGTCAGTTAAGATTAATTATCTTTATAAAATTCGTTATCATCAATTAGCTATTTTTGATCTGGCTTATACTTTTTGCAAACGATTGTTTCTAAGAGTAGAACATAAAATACGAATGGCCTTAAAGAGTGACCACTCGGATCCCCATATCCAGTATAGCAAAAATCCAATTTTATTTAATCATCAATATAGAATGGTCTTGGTTAGGCAGCTATCATTTTAACCAAATTTCCCATTGATGAAGCCAAAGCATTCATTGTAAAAATCTTTAAAGCTTGTTCTTTGTTGGTAGCTTTGAACCAAAGTAGAATTGCAAGAATATTTGTTACTATAGCATCCCCTGCAGTTGAGAATATCAGCAAAAAGTATTCTATAAATATATTATATTGATACCAAATGTTCCTTACTCTTAACCATATTCAAATTTATTTTATAAAAACTTAGTTATGTTATTACTAAATTCATATGTATATTTGCTAAAAAAGACATCCAAAACCAAAATCAGGGTTGCTAAAATTGTTGAAAATGTGACTTTGCTCATAAAAAAAAATATATTTAATATTAAATTAGGAAGTCTAAGTAAATGAAATTTAAAGTTCCATTCTGATATTCCTAAAATAATAATTCCAGAATTCCCAAAAATATTCATATATATTATTGAAGTATTCAAATACTTCTAAAATAATGAAATCAATTAACTTGCTAATTTTAATTATGTTTATATTCATAAAAATTCAATTTGAGTATCTAAACATAAATTAATTTTGAACAAGTTTTAAACATCCCTATCAATGAATTTTAAAAATTAAATTGAATATAATAAATTTATTATAATTTTTTTTATTTAATCTTAAAAAAATATTGAAGTGAAAATATGATTGGATTACCAAAATAATATGAGATTTAACTTTGTTGAAGTTCTTTAAAGAAATCAAGATTTACTATGTTATGAAGATAGAAGCTTAGAGCGAACTATATCTTTATTTTGATCTCTTTGTAAATCAATCGATTTATGAAGAATCAAAAATAATAATACTATGAAATAGCCCGATGAAACATTAGGTTGATTATGTAATTATTTATTCTTAATTTAATCATTTAAGTTCATAGCATTTTTTGATTTCACTTTAAATAGTTTGCAACATTTATTTTTTCAGATTTTAAATGCTTTATTAATCAAATTAATTTAATTGAAAAACCTTCACTTTGTTTTGATTAAATTCACTATTTATAATTGCAGAAATTTCAGTTAAATGTTCCGACAATGTAACCAATATAATAACAGTCGGTAAAATTAGTTCTATTATTTACTGGTATATTAATACTATGTTAGAGAAACTATTTAAAATTATCAACGTCATAGATTTAATTTAAAATTAAGATTATGCCAACAGTGAAATCAGGTTTGAAGATTTCTGTTTATTTAACTATTTCAAAACAACAAGGAGCTAATTGAATATTATCTTGCAATTCAATTTATTTATAACATTTTGAATAATCTTCACAGATCTATTGAATCCCATTTTATTAAGTTGAAATTAAAAAACTATTCAATATAGAAAAGGAGAAATTACAATTCTTTATTTTATTAATTCAGTTTTCCTCCAAGCCCATACAATGAGGCTGTATTTAATTTATTATATTGTATTAGAATGGATCCTATAATAATAAGAAACTATTAAAAGATGTTTAATTAATTGTGGGATTTGGCATGCATATTCATGGAGCTTTTACTAAATTCCATGAAGATTAAGGTATGAATTTGCTTATTTTAGAGCCAAGAATAAAAATTTAATTCGTGCTTAATCTGACATGATAACAATTTTAAATGGCCACAGTTTTTCTAAAATTTATAATCAGAGTTACATGTTCTGGATTAATCAATGCAAATTATTTACTTGGAGATAGCATAATATCATGATATGACAATTCAATAAACCCAATAAATTTGTGTCTTGGAGGATTCTTTTAAGAGTGATCCCAACATTCGATTTTAAAGTTTTTGTATTCATCATAGAGATTTAAAAGGCCCATGTCAATGGAAAAAGGAACCCAAGAAGGATTTAAATTATCTTCAATGAATTCTGTTACATATACAAGTTTCCATTCATCATCATCCCATTAAAAAAACTGCAAAAATGGATCTGATTTGTTGAACATTCCATCTGTATTTAGCAGCTTTTCTCCAGCCCAATGTTGAAACAATAGAGTTCCCTTTTGCAACAAACTTGCCTCTAGCTTTATATTGAAGTGATTATTTGTTTTGACTAAAGTGCCATTTTGTATTAATTCTCCCAATTAAAACTATTGTCTAAATATAGATGAATACTTAAATGTAGCCAATAGCTGTATTCTCATCTACGCTTATATCGAGTCGATAACTTTAGTATTTATGAAATTCAAAAACTGCGTTGTAATTAGTTATCCATAAATCATCTTATTTATTCATGGGTATTGACTGATTTTTTATTTTATAAATTTATTCATTTGAATCCTTATATGATAATTGGACTTCAACTTATTTAGGTTAGAGTTCTTTGATACTAAGTTGAACTTCAATCTTGACGTTCTTAAATTTATAATCTTAGATTTGCATAATAATAATTAATATATTAATAAACGATTATCAATTGTCTTTAATATAATTGTACTAGTAGAAATTGATTGTAGAAATAAAGAAATAAGTGTAATGATATTAATATATATCACTTCCACTTATTTAAATAATAAAATATTTGACTACTTAGTAATTTAAACATCTATTATTATTATTCAAATCCATGCAAGTTGCTTATATCCACAAGGTTAAGTATTATTATAGTGATGAGAATGTTTGTAATTCATAGAGTTTAAGAATTGTTGATATTCTGACTCTGTATTCTTCTTATTGAAATAGTCTATTTAATTTTAGTAAAGCCTTTGAGGATTAAGCAATTATGACTTTAAGGGTTCTTCCAGTTTGAAAATTCTAAATTCAATGAACACAATTTGATTGGGATTAACTTAAGTTCTTTTAAACATCTATTTTTGTTCAATTTTACACTTAAATTATGCACCTTCATAAGTATTGATATATTAATCAAAATGTGACACCCCAGAGAGCGAACTCAAAGTAACATCACACCATAATTTTAAGGATGTTCCTATATCAAAAATGGATGGTAGAGTTTTAGTTTCATGAAGGTGATGTGAAACCATTTCTCTAGTTACGCCCATGAGAGCATGAAATTATTCATTCACTATTCTTTATGACAATGAACTACTGTCCTTGTTTACTTTTTGGATTATACAGTGATAGGGGTAATTTTAAGCTAGTTGTTCTACTTCTAACAATTCTTCATTTGAAATGTAATAATGTTAAGTATACTCATTGAGGATATTGAATCTTTGATGTACTAATTCAACTGCTAATTAAGCACATTGATCTTCTTATTTTAGTAGTAGATTAACTATCTAATCAATTGAGTAGTTAGGTTGGTCAAGTAGTTCTAGTGTGTAAAAGTAAACATCATCTAGTTGATCTGTTCGGGTTACTCTGTGGTTGTAGGTGCAGGGTGTTTCTTTAAGATTGCCTAAACAATGTTCAGGAATATAATTGAGAGCTAATTTAAGTTCCACTTCTGACTTTATGTAAACACGTTCTTTCAACCATTTTGGTACTGAAACTATACAAATTAATTGCTTTGTTGGGTTATGCTTTAGATTTTGTTTTCCTGATTGATTACATGAATATAAATATTACTCTTTTTGTTAACACTCTTCGAATAAATTGATAGACTTGTGGACTCATCATGCATACTTACTCGTTATTTGACTATTTTACTCATTTTTGTATTGGGATTAATAAATATAAAAATACTGTAAAAGTGACATACATTAAGTTGCTAATTATTTACATTAAGTTATTATAATTATTATTATAATTACACTTATTATTATTGTGTATATATATATATTATCAATTATTTTGGTTTTATGTGATGGGATAGAGCATTAATTCTATAATGTGATAAGGATAGGGTTAATAAACGATATTTGATGATTTAAGCTATTTAATTTTTTCTTATTTTTGATTGGCCGATTAGAAATGAAAAAAGATTAATTGGGATTTATATTTGTAATAAGGCGGGTTTGAAACATTAATAAATTAATCAAAAATCAAATGTCATCAGGAGGAAAAGGAAAAGCAGGAAAGGGAGGTAAAGCCGCAGGAGCTCATAAATCAGTTTCCAGATCACACAAAGCTGGTTTGTAATTCCCAGTCGGAAGAGTTTCAAGATATTTGAAATAAGGTAGATACACAGAAAGAGTTGGTGCTGGTGCTCCAGTTTATCTTTCAGCTGTTTTGGAATATTTGGCTGCTGAAGTTTTGGAACTTGCCGGAAATGCCGCTAAAGATAACAAGAAAAACAGAATCAACCCAAGACACATTCTTTTAGCCATCAGAAACGACGATGAATTAAACAAATTAATGGCCAACACAACAATCGCTGACGGTGGTGTTTTACCAAGCATTCATCCATAATTATACCCATCAAAGGAAGACCCAAGTTAAGCAGTTTGAAATGTTTAATTTGTTTTACAATTAACATATACAAATTTATTTTAATATTTCTAGTCTCCAAAACATATTAACCATATAATAAATGAACTTGAATATTGATAAATCAATTCTTCTTTGATGTGTGTGCAATTTTAACAGACTTTTATGCTGCATCATCTAAATCTGTTGCAGTTGTGATTGATACTTTAGTCTATGATTTGGCAAATTCATCCAACATCTTGGCGCCTTTTAATTATTGTCAATTTATTACCTTATTATGAGTTTGTTCCTGTTAATCTAACAACCAATGGTGTCTTTAAATCAACCAATTAAGCTGCTTTGATAATACCTTCAGCAATGATGTTGCATTTCATAATACCACCAAAAATATTAATAAGGATTGTTTCTACCCTTGGATGAGAGTTCAAGATTTCAAATGCTGTCTTTACTTATTCAACATTAGCACCACCTCCGACATCTAAGAAATTGGCAGGTTCTCCACCATATAATTTAATAATGTCCATTGTAGCCATAGCCAAACCAGCTCCATTCACCATACAACCAATATTTCCATCTAATGCAACATAGTTCAATCCTGCTGCCAAAGCCAATTCTTCATGAGGATCTACCTATTCTGAAGCAACTGATGTTTTTCTCAATTCTACCAACTACTTTTATCTAAATTTAGCATTGTCATCAACATTAATTTTAGCGTCGATGCAGAATAATTGATTTTTTGGATCTGTTGCCCATGGATTGATTTCTACTTAAGTAGCATCCAAAGAAATAAACATCTTATAAAGATTTCTCAATTATTCAACTGCTTATTATCTAACAGATTATAATTGAAGAGTGTCAACAACCTTATTGGCAATTTGATCTGTTAATCCTGTGTTTACATCAATTGGTAAGACAATAATACTATTTGGATCTGTCTTTGCTACTTCTTCGATTTCCATTCCACCATTTATTGATGCAACAATAGCTGGCTTTTATGAATTTCTATCCAGAATAAATGCTAAATATAACTGACGTACTATGTCTACACCTTCGTGTACAAGGACTGCATTCACTTACAAACCCTAATTTAGTAAATATTAGTCAGTACTTCTTTTGGTGTCTAATGTGTTACCAATTTATATCCAATCATTTGTTTAGTGTAGTTGGCTACTTCTTCTGGAGTTTTGCAGATCTTGACTCCTCCCTTCAAACCACTTGATAATGTTCCTAGAATTAAGCTTTATTCATACCCTTTCCTCTTCCACCAGCATGCACTTGGGATTTAAGGATCAAACCACCACTTGGATCTAATGTCTTTGCTACTTTGGCAGCATCGTCAGCATTCAAAGCGATTGCTCCTTTTTACACTCTGACATTGAACCCTCTCATCAAGTCTTTACTTTGATATTCATGAAGATCAAAGCATTTAACAACTTTGTGTTACAATGCAGCCAACCTTGTAATGCGATTGAACATTTATTTTAAATCTTTTTATTTAATCAAAGCACAATAACTAATCACTTAAAAAATAAACTATTTTTAGGATTCAATAAAGCAATCTATACACACTCCTCTTAGAAATAAGATTAATATAATTAATAATTACAAAAGAAAAATGTAAAAACCAATGAATCAAAAAACTATTTTTCATGGCTTTTTCTTGATATCATTCGATTGCAAAATCGATCTTTAGATTGGATTCTTGAAGTTGAAGTAAACTGATTTGAAATGGAGTAGATTGTATTTTATTTCTAAATCTTGATTCTCTCTTTCCATCAATTGCTATTCAGCTTTCAAGGTCATACCTGGATCATGTTCGACTATACCTTCAAAGGTAGAAATTTAAGCAATTTAAATGTTTTGTTGATGTACACCTAATCCTTCATGCAAATCGCTTAAGGAATATCCCACTCCAATACTCTTTATACTACCTTAATTAGTTATTGCACTGTATTATTATGCACTGCTCCCGTTATCCGATGTTCCGACTAATTCATCTTAAGCACCAAAGGTTTTAACATTTTGAGGTTACAAATTCTCTCCTAAGAATTCCCTATATATTTTTAGTTATTTAATTACCTTCTTATCGTACCACAGCTTTAATAATTTGAATTTTATGTGCTTTTCAATTTTTTATGACCTTTTTGCTTATGAGACCTGCTTTTTTAAATAGTCCAATCCAATCCTTAATCTGAAATATTGTGTAAAGTCGTAAGGAACAGACCCCTTAGCATTGCATATGATGGTTTTTATTATGACGACAATGCTTTAACATATCTCATATATCTTAATTTAATGATATGGTTACTTTAAAATAGAATTTGGGCATTCTGAACACAACTCTTCAATTTTTGTTTCTTATTTTAATTTTCCTATTTTTTCTAATCTCTGTGTATCATTTTTTTCGATATTCATCCATGGCAAACGTTATTTTAATAAGTATATTAACAAGTAACCTAAAGATTCTAAGTCATCCTTTGCTGTCTAATCTATCCCTTAATGAGCAGCCAAACTTGCATATCTACTAGTACCAATAAAGGATATCTTCTTTTTTTTCTTGGTTTTTTAATTTATATTTCGAGATATTCCAAAATCAATAAGAAAGATCTTGTCGCTATCGGCTTTGCTTAATATATTTTCAGGTTTGAGATCTCTATGTATTATATTCCTATAAATTATTTATTAATTAACCTTTTGTGTATTTGTTCTAAAATCCATAGCAATTAGAAAGCTATGTTGTACACACATTAGGTTGAAAACTTCTAATATTGCTTTTAAAAATATGTTAAATCGTGTCCAAGCATTCTTGTTATCATAACGTTGCATTTCTTGAATTGACCATACCAATATAATTCAGGAATCTAAGAAACTCCTTCCAATAACGTCAATATTTCAATCTAATTTGACAAACTATAATACTTCTTTATTTAAACTACTAAAACTTGCCATTTCTTGCCTTTCCACCTTTATTGCAACATTTTTGTTTCTTTTCATGCATCTCCCAATATACACAATTCCAAATGAACCTTATGATATTCTTTTAATTATTTCATATTGATTATCAATTACATCTCCTTATTAAATTTGGTTCATAAATTTATTAATAGAAAGAATGATGATGTATTTTAAATCAATTCTTAAAAATAATAATTATTTATGATGGACTTTTAATTTACATATTAGACTTTTTGGTAATGATATCAAAAATAATGTTGTTGCAATGAACGTAAAGAAAAATTTTATTTACAAATAATACTTAAAATTTATGTCATTTATCAATTATTGATAAGTTGGAAATAAAAGTTGATTTAAAAAAGAAAAATTGCTGAATTACTTTTTTATAATAATATAATTTACAATTTCATAAAAAACCGAAGTTGAGGAGAGGAATATTTTAATCATCATTAAATAATATATTCAGTTAAAATAATTTGTTAAATTATAAAATAAATATATTTAATTGAATGTTTTAAGGGCAGTACCAAAATCTGATGATCAATTAAAAAGATCTTCTTAATTTGAATTTCGAATGTATAAACTGAAATTGATTAATTATAGAGAATTACATCAAGATTGGAAGCGGCTATTAAGCAGTTAGAAGAATTTTCAAGAATGTGCAGTACGATTAGTTTGAAAAATAGCAGTTGAAGGAGTTAAAGGGATTTATGGATTCAATTCCTATTTAGTATTTAAAGGAGTATGTTTAGTGATCATATTTGAGGGTTCAGGACGATTCTGTATTATTGCGATTTTTATATGCTCATAAATTCATGAAGGAGGAGACAGTTAATTATTTTGTTGATCACTTAGACTGGCTTAATAATCCAGAAACAACTATATTAGATGACCTTCCTCAATACGATAAAATCATCTAAATCATAGGTAGGGATGATATGTTAAGACCCGTATTGCACATAAATTTATGCCAACCTTTGGATAATCATTTTATCAAGGCCATAACCAATAAACTAATATTGATGGAAGACTACATGTTTGCGTCAAGTAAAGTGGAAAGTTGGATAATAATAATTGATATGAGCTAATTCAATCCTAATGTTTAGAAAGAGTAAATTGAATAAGCAGTTAAGCATTTTATTACAAACTTCCCAATGTCATTGGAACATATCTACTTTTTGGATGCAAGTGAAATTTTAAGATAGATAGGTGAAAATTTGTTGAGTTAGAAAGAATTTAAGATATTTGATTTGGATGACAAAATTTCTATTATGAATAAAGCTGAATTTAAGAAGGATAAGTTATAGTTGCTATCACCTGAATATAATACTTTATTTATTGTTGAAGACCCATTGTTTTAGTAGGCATCTCAAAAGTCTTTGTCTTAATTAGTTATCAATTAGCCACAACCTACATTATATGGCTAACCTTAGAAGGCCTAATAAAATGCTGATCTAATTGGACCCTTGTATCCTTTGGTTGTTTATGCAGTATCGTAACCTTAACCTTATGTTCCTGAGATCCATGACAAAGAATTACAATAGTACACAAATTAGAAATAAATTCCCACCTTCTTTTTAGACACTTAGAATTAATTTTGCCAAAATTATCAGCCTCATAAATATAATAATACAAGTGTACCTTAACATTAGTAACAGATTGATACTATACCTTAACAGTAAACTAACAAAAGAGTTGTCACTCAGTTGTAATCCCAAATGACTTTTCAAAATACAGAATATTCTATGTATTAATTAGATAATTATATGTAGGAGGACAAAATACGATGATATCATTGAATAATACAATTGGAATAAGTATGGTATTGCCTAGTAATAGCCTATAGCAGACACAGAGAAAATAATCTATGATGCAACATATCATGATTCATCATAACATCAAATCAATACACCATATTTATAGTAAACTCCAACTTTACCAGGAACAGAAAAAACTATAAAGAAGTTTGATATCCATAATACTCAAGATGTTCATTCAACCGGAGGATTTTTTGAAGATCCTATTCTTCCTTAACATGATTATAATAATGTTCAGCCTTCTTTTTACAGTGATTAAAAACACTTGCCAATCAAACATTTTGATTTTGAAAATAACTCTCCATAGTTAACTCAACAATAGAGGAATATGTATACAGATCCACGATCTCCACTCGAGATCGATCAATACCCCCCAATTCATTAGTAAATAGAAAAAAAATTTGATTTTGGTCCAATTCCAGTAAGACCATCTGAATAATCCTACACACCCTCTTATATAGCTTCAGATAAACCTTATATTCCAGAAAGGATCTCGGACATTCCAATGTATCAAAACAATTATTTATAACAGCAGCCATTTCAAAATATTCCTTCATCTTCTCTACCTCAAACTTATGGATATTCACCTTATCAGCCATAAACACCCTTTAGTCCTCTTCCAAGTAGTACTAATTTATATGTTGCTCCAACTTATCCATTAACAACTACAAACAGATCCTACCTTTAGAACTCAACCTAACCTAAAATAATCGAATAAGACGGAATCAAATTTCAGGATGAAACAATGGTTGTTGGCGACCCTGATCAAAGACCAACAAAATCTTCAAATAGAGATCCAGCACTTGATTAATAATAATGTTAAATTTTTTGATTTTGAATATTATTCTTAATTTTTTATCTCTGAATTTTATTGCTTGTTGCAAAGTTAAAAATTTCAAGATTTGAAAATTTATTTCTAAATGTGCAAAAAATGCTATTCAACATTATATATTTTTATTATAATATTAATAATAGTTTTTATTAATAATTTTGTAAACTAACTATTAGGAGTAGGTGAATTTTTGACATTAACTATGTTTATTATAGTTTAGGCTATCAATATTCAAATTTAAGCCTATTTGATCTCCAGAATGAACAATATCATTTTTACTTTAGCAATAACATTAATTAATCAATATTATTTTAGTTAAAATATAAACATTGTTTAATGAAAGTTATATTCTTTGTTTAATCAAATTGAAAATATTGTCTTGAACCATGTTTTAGATGAGGATTTCAATGCATTTATCAATTTATTTTGCTTTTACTATATTGCAGAAAATGGAATATAATTTATTTAAAATTTACTGACATCATCTTCAAATGGTATTTAAAGCCGATTCATAACTTTTAATTAATTAAATTAATCTAATGGGTTGCGTCTAAAACAAAGCCAAACTATCCATGTCCTAAAGAATTATACATTTATAAGAAAAGTCTGCTTCAATTGCAATTCATCATTAATAATTTCAGATCAAAGATCAATAGTACAATATACTCAAAAATCCCATAATGAGGAGAAGAGAATAAAAGAAAAGCAAAATCTCTTACACCAGTGCATGTACTCCCATTATGAATGACTGAAAATTTGAAAGACCTCATGTTCATAATATAATATTTATTTTGTATTTTCAACTTGCTCAATCTACACTGATCTGCATGTCCCTTTCATTTCCTGTCAATCTTCATCTTTAATTTTTAATCGTTTTACATACTTATATTGTACCGATAAACCAATCATATATAAATCAAAAAATTAATCATAGTTATTATTTCAAGAATGTTTTATATATACTTTTTGACAAAATTTAATTATTATCTGAATGCTTTTGTTTAGCTTCTCTTATGCAAACTAATCAGCTTTATCTTTCGTATTCTTGAGTCGTTTCTTATTTGATGACAAAAACAAAGACGACATACCACTATTGTAATTAAATCGATAACAAATGTTATTCGTTAATTTCAAACCTAGTCAAAAGCAATTTTATCTTCTTTCTTTCTACATCACTCCTTTTTAAAAATTAATAAAAGTTAAAGTGATTATACGTGAAGAGATAAATATAAAACATAGATCAAGAGAATTATCTTTACACATATGAATTTTAAGCTTCTACTTTATTCTAATCATTGATTAAACTTGGTGTTGCAGTGTGAGCTCTTCTTTTAACTATAGGATTCTTTTATATTTTGTATTTTTCTAAGCAAAACTGATTAAGAATTTCTCTTTCGACCTCATCTTCCTCAATTTGTTTTGAAGTTAGTTGAGAAGCTAACTACACAGATTGAAGTTTGTCAATTTTATTCTTGGATGCTAATGAACAACCCATTTAAAAATAATTAATTAGTTTCAATCGTCGTGTTTAATATTACGAAAAATAACAAAACTAAGTTCTAGATAGTATCTATTAACTATGCTGATTATTGTTATTCATATACTGTATTTACTAACCTAGCTAATTTAGCTGTCATATCTACTCATCTCCTCCAATCAGAGAACTTTTTTAATCTGAACTTTAAATTTATATAATCTAATTTTTAAATTGGAATCAGATCAATTTTATGCCATTTGGAGATATTTTTTCTTTATAACATATTGATAATTTAATCATTACTATCACTTTCATTACACCAATATCAATACGAGTTAATTTTAAATCACAAATTTGAGTCAGGTCACAAAACATAAATTGGGTGCGTGTTGGCGTTTTAGTTAATTAGTTTAAGATTATTCTTAGATGTTTATTAATATATAAACCCAATTAAAAATTCCTACTATCTGAAGCATTGGGAAAGAGTAGATGAGAAATGTATCAATTACAATAAAACAGTGATTAAATGAGTTGATTTCTTAAAAATTTTGGCAACATCAAGTACAATGACATAATTAATTAGATGATAATATTATTATATTGAAATCAAATAAAATACTATTGAAGTCGCATAAGGAAGTGCTATTGATTAAATACGCATAAGATTGAGCTTAAGGAGACAGTCATTAGTTAAATTACTGAATTGCACAGTATAAACCTATTTTTTAAATTAGGTTGATTTATCTATTTTTAAGTTACTTCCTTGTTCAATATGCTATGGTTTCAACTTAAATGATAAATAATGATTCTGGGTTATTCTTAAAAATTATAGAAATCAATTTAAATTTAGAAAGTTAAAATAAAAAATATTGTTATCCTAATATAAAAAAGTAATTGTATTATACTAAATATATAAAATTTCCCCTTCTTTTTTTGTCCTAATTCATCCATAAATAATTTTATATCATAGTAAATTTAATAACTATATTGTATTTGAAATTGAATAAATTTAATTTTTAGTTACAAAAAAACTTTCTTAATTTTATGATCAAATCATGTAAATAAAATATCAATGATTTTATTTAATTGAAACTCATTTTTATTTTAAGTATTACATAAATAAACCACTTCTAGAAGTCTTAATTGAACAATATAATTTTTAGAATATAGTTATATTTTATAAATTAACCTCTAAAAAGTAGAAATAAATGAATAGATTATTAAATAGATTTATTATGTATTCATAGTAATTAACACATTAACTTTCAACCTCTCCTTTTCCCAATAAAGGTGCTATGAGTAATAACTAAGGCTATATCTAAAAATTAATATAATTTTACATTATTAAGTAAGATATAAATTATTAAAGTAATCTTCTAATTTTACTAATCTTTATCTTAATATTTTATATGACTTTTCATTGTAAATTCCAAAAATTAACATTTCGAATTGTGTTTCATTGCAGTTATCATTGTTTATTTGGATGTAGATTTAATTAGATATATTGCATTCAAAAATTTCGATTAAAATGAGAAATAGAGCCTCTTTGTACCCCAAGAAAGTAAAATCTAAAAGATTTTTCGACAAAATAATCTATTTTTACGAATACAACAATTTTAAATTAGAAAAGACTTTGCTTAAATTTACTTACTTGATTTACTTCTATTCCAATTTTTCTTATAAATAGTGATATATAATCAATTTAAATAATCCTTTTAAATTTGATGTTTTATGAATAAGGATTCTTTTAAATTATTGATATATACTTTTTAATAAGACTCGATATTTAAATTGGAATTGCTATTCTATCTTTAAATTTTATTGTTCTCCTACGATTCTGCTACATTTGCATTGGTCAATTTTTATCAAAATAATAGGATTGGTTCCTGAGAATATTGAATATGTGATCTCTTAAGCTTTCTAATTCAATTCAATGATAAGTGATTGATTTATGATGTTATCATTCTACTTGTCGAATTTATCTATTTATTTAAATAGAAAATTTTCTAAATTTATTTTTTTATGAAAGGTTAATTTCGATTTCCTTAAGAAATTCTTCAAATCCTCATTGGTATCACAGTTGACAATGAAAGAAAAAGATCCTTTTACAATAAAAGTGTGTCTTAATTGATCAAAATTAAAGATTACACAAGGTTCTGTGACCATGCTTAATAGAATCTTATCCCATTATTCATTTAGGAGTGTAAGTTAAAATTTAGATCTTTCTGCAGCAACATTTTAATAAAGGGAAAATAAAAGCAGGAAGCAAATCAAGAATGCTGATAAAACAAATGCTTAGGAAAAGTTTGGTTGGTAAATTATAAAATAAGCTAAGTAAATTGAAAAAATTGATAAGACCTAAACTAATGCATCTATAAATTCTCCAGAAGTAATGATTACAAATTAAAATCCTACTATCAATGCAGATGCTAATTAATAATGAAATTAATTTTTGCTATCATCAACTCTCAAATAAGGGATCATCATTAAATAGGTAACAAGCATTAATGCATAGCGACAGCATTGAGGCTTTATCATTAGAATTGCAATTAGACATAAATCACTAACAAAATAGCCTATTGTTCCATAAATTTCATCAAGGCTTTAGGTAATAATAGAAAAAGTCCCTTTAACCAGAACGACAAGGAATGTTAAATATATTATTTTTTTAACTAAAGGTTTCCTTTTTTCTCTCAATTAAATTTCCTAATACTTTTCTTCTAATTTTGAATCCTTAAATTGCAAGGTGTATCTGTTTATCATAAATTTGTGAACAATATATTATTAATATTTAATTTCATCAATTAAGAAACACCATGATAATATAATGAAAAACAAACAATTTATGATATAAGGTCAAAACTTTGTAAATTAATCAAGCTGATTACATTTTTGAGATAAAAGAAAAAATTCGAAAAAAGAGGAAAATTATAATCTTGCAAATTTAATATTCTTAAGCTATAGCTCAGAATTGTTATTGTTTTGCATAACCGAGAAACAATATCAAATTCAACATATGGGTAATAGTTAAATTAAAACATCAAAAATATGTTACACCAAAACAACCTAATATTCATATTCAATTTCCAATAATAATTTAGATCTAAAAATAATTTTTTTAATTACACAACTTATAATTATTAAAATGTTACTCCATTAAAATGTGGCTTTCAGAATCTGCAAACAGTCTAAATTGCGTTTTTCAACTAATTTTCTATGGAAAAATACGTTTGATTTAAAGTAATAAATGATGTTAAATAAATCAATCCTATTTGACTTAGTCCTAGAAATATAAAGTTATACTAGGACTGTTTAAAGTAAAGCACAGAAATTTAATATGCATTAAAACAAATTGATTAAATGTTTATTATTTATACAATTATAAAATAATTCAAATTTCAAAGTGATGCAGCCAGCGAAATAATAATAATAGTAGTTATCAGTTTAAGCATAAAAAGAGAGGGGTATTTAATGAAATGATAGCTAGATCGATTAAAAGCTTAGCGAGAAGGGCAATTGAATAAAAAAGAATAAGCCTTAAACAAATTAAGTGATGAGGAAGTGATAGTCTAATTAAAGGCAAAGGGATTAGGCGTATATGGAACAAAATAAGAGAAATTAGATAGATTGAAGAAAGCTAATGGTATAATTGTAATGAATATAAAGGGATTGAAATTAGTAATAAGCAAGAGCAAGTTCCTTAATAATAATAATAACAATAACAATAGTAATAAGCACAATAGGTAGTTGCATAATAATAAGCACAACAACAGAAAGGATCAGTTGTTGATAATATCAAAAAGATGGAATAACAACGAGAAGAACGTCGTAAAAATATGTAAGAATTGAAAAGAGAGAAGGCAGAGAGAGAAGAATAGAATTAAATATTGGGTAAAAATGTCGATGTAGAATTTGAAATCATGATTGATAAAACAAGACTCAAAGGAGGATTAATATAAGAACATTAGACTACATAAAATATCAAATTATGTGTGTGTGTTAGGAAGAGACCGATCTTTAAAAAGGAGGAAGTTGGAGGGGAAATCGATGCTATCAGTTGTGCAAATCCTATGATTAGAGTGCATGAACCTAAATTAAAAGTAGATGGCATTACAAAATATGTTGAAAATCATGATTTCTAATTTGATAACACTTTCAGTGAGGTAGAATAAGGCAAAGACATTTACGAGGTTAGTCTGGCCCCATTGATGGACTTGTTGGTGAATTAAGGAGTTGTAACTTGTTTTGCTTATGGTCAAACAGGTTCTGGTAAGACATACACTATGAAAAGCATTTAGGAGTTATTGGCCAGTGATTTATATAAGTTAATCAGTACAACTCCTTCTTATAAGATATTCGTATCATTCTTTGAGATTTATGGTGGAAAATGCTATGATTTGTTAAATGGCAAGGCACCTTTATAAATAATGGAAGACAAAAATAATAACATATAGATTTAAGGATTAGTTGAAAAGCCAAGCGAATCAGAACAGGAGTTATTTTAGTTAATGGAATTGGCTAACTCGGTTAGAACAACTCATGCAACTGTTGCAAATGATACATCTTCGAGGTCTCATTCTATTTGTTAAATTGCAATTAGATAAGGGTATTCAGACATTGGTAAATTAATCTTGGTTGATTTGGCCGGATCAGAAAGAGCATAAGATACTTAATCAAACAATAGATAAAGGAGATTGGAAGGAGCTGAAATCAATAAGAGTTTATTGGCTTTGAAAGAATGCATTAGGGCTATGGATTCAGGATAAGGACATGTTCCTTTCAGAGCCTCTAAACTTACATTGGTTTTGAGAGATTCTTTTACTGCTAAATCAAATAAATCTAGAATTATAATGATTGCTTGCATCAGTCCAGGTAGTTCATCTGCTGATCATTCATTGAATACTTTGAGATATGCCGATAGATTGAAGGATAAATCAAATTAAGCTAAGGTGTAATTGGAAGAAAGGGAAGTCACAAATGAGGAATTATTGTATAGATAATAGTAAGGATAGGATAGGTAATCTGATAAGAATCTAGATAATAATAATAATAATAATAAATAATTGGATAAGTAGAACCCTCCTCTACAATTACCAAAAATAAATGATCCAAGAAATCAAAATAATTAGAATGCTGGTAATATCAAAAAGAACTCATCCTAAGTTCCTGAGAAGGAAAAACCTAAATCTTAACCAGTACCTCCAAAACAATAGAAAAAGATCAATACTGTATAAGAGGACTCAGACGACGATGTGGCAGCTGAAGAATTAGTTAATAAAAAGAATGGATAAGTCAAAGAGGATGTCAGATGCATGAAGGAAACTATGATGAAAAATGAATAAAACAATGCTAATGGAAATGGAAATGAATTCTTTGATTTTCATGAAAAAGTCAATACAATTCTGGAAGAACAAGATGAAATACTAAATATTCATATGGCTGCCATAAAAGTAATGTATCGCATTTAATGTTATAGGAAGATGCTAAATTATTACAATAAGAAAGTGAATTGATTCAGTCAATTTAGGGAGTTGGGATTGTAGATTATGATGTCGATACTTACGTTGGCAATCTAGAAGCATTCATTAGAAAGAAGCTGAAAATTTATAATTTGTTGAATAAAAAACTCTTAGTATTTAAGTAATTTATCAATTTTATGTAATAGGACACATTTGAAAGAGGAAGAAGAAATCAGTTCTAAGATGAAGAATACCTTCTATTATTGAAAATATATCAATTAATTATATTCTAAGACATCTTTAGATATAAAAACAACTAATTTTAAAGGGTCTATCTAAATATTCCCCTATCTATAGGCTATATAGTAATTCCCTTAAGCTTTATTTTATAGACATCTTGGAATCATGTTGAATATGATAGAAGATAGGAATATAATAATTAATTTATTTATATATATTATTAAGATGGATGAACCATAAGTAGTAAAAATAATTGTAGTTGGCGAATCATATGCCGGAAAGACATCCCTGTTATAGTAATATTGTTATAAGGAGTTTGATCATAATCACAGTGCAACAATAGGTTGTGATTTCACTTTAAAGTTGATTACAAAAAATGACACAAAACTGAAGTTATAGATTTGGGATGTGGCTGGTATCAATTAATTAAATTCAAAGGATAGGAGAGATTTTAAAATTTGTCTAAAATGTTTATCCGATAAGCAAAAGGTTGCTTAATCATGTGTGACATTACTAATAAGAAATCCTTGGATGCCGCTTTGTCTTGGCGTAATGTTGTTAAGGATATTGCTGATGAAGTTCCTATATTTTTAATTCAAAATAAAACAGACTTATTGTAAGGAGAAAGAGAAGAGTACTAAACCGAACAATATTTAAATCAATTTGCACAACATAACAATTTTACTCGGAGTTACTAAATAAGTGTGAAATTAAATCAGAATGTAGATTTGATATTTTATGAGCTTGTGGAGGCTATGATAGAGAAAGGAGTCATAAAATTAGAAGACAGTGTAATCAAGAGGTATATTTTTAATTAACATTAAAGTTCCTTTGTTATCAAAAACGATAATAATGATCGAAATAAAGCAAAGAAAAAAGAATGTTGTTGAATAAATATACATCATCTATATTACTAAATCGTATAAATACTTATTAACCTAAACAGATGTAATCGATATCATCATTCATTCATAAACATCACAATATGCTTGTCTTGTTAAGATGTTCGATCTGTTAATTATTCTATTTTGAGAACAAACTATAAATGGAGCAGCTCTGTCCTCAATCTTTGTAATTTCTCCATTTGTAATAATAACAATTCCTGGATCAAGAGTACCAATAATTAAGGATAATTGATCTTAATTCTCTATAATTGCAAGTTAGACAACTGCACTTCCCATTTGATATTCATAGAGCTTAGTAAATTCTGGGTATGAGGACAAGATAACTTTGCCACTTGAATCTCCTGTTAGAATTTTATTTCCATGAATATAATGATGCATTATTTATCCCTTATGCCCGATATCCACAGTATTCTCATTGTATGATATTTTATTTCCCATTATATATAATGTATCATCATGAGATCTTAGTTAAGTGACCCAAGGCTATTAGTTTTGAGTGCATTTTAATTCAACAGTGTCTAAATCGTATATTAATAATTTATCTGATGTTGTACCCACATATAGTTGATCCTTATGAACGCATATTGAAAGAGGAATCTCAGGTAATTAAGTTACTTTAGGTTCTTCGTCGCCTTTATATATTTTCAAAGTTCCATTTACTGAAGCTATGATGTGATATTCATCATGAATCAAAGCATCTGCAATTGCATATTCATTTCCTTCTTTCTTGTATAATAATTTCAAAGATTCCAAGTCCCACACTGATAAATCGTGATCATTGCCAATACTAACAAAGGCATTTAACTTCGGATGTTTAACAAACTTGAAGAGAGTGCCATGCAAAGAAATATCAATTAATTCAGAATGAACTCTTTTTCCTTTAAACATAAAATAATATAAATAACAAAAAACATGACAAAATTTATTCTAAAGCAAAACAAGCGTATTGAATTTCTAGAATTTTGAAAGGAAATTTCATTTATTATTATGTAGCAATGTTGATAAAAGTAAATTTTACTCATTCTATTGATCTAATTAGTGAAAGGATTACATTACTTACATATTTATAAGATCATATACAGATATATCAAATTGCCTCACATGAAAATAAAATTATCCGAGAAGGATGAGTATAGATTGATTTTTAGTAATGATCAAAGTGTCTGCAAACAAGAATAATATAATATCAGAATTTAGTTTTGCTCAATAATAAATTGAAATGTCAGGAATCTCAATTATATACTTCAAATAAATTAAAAATGAATATTTAAATCGAAAATGCTAGTTCTTTAAATACTAAAATCGTAACCATATTCAATAATATTGAAATATTTTTTTTGATTGATAACTACATCAGAATTAACAAGAAATCAAGTTAATTATATTGAAATAGAATTTAAATCAAGTAAAATAAAGAATTTAGAGGTATTCTTTGGATGTGAAAACAATTAGTAAATAGAAACCGTTGAAATTAATTCTAAAACGTATTTATCATTTTAACAAATTTACCAAATAACTGCAAACTATTTTTATTTTGAAAATTATAGATTCTGAAAAATAACATCTAAATTAGAAACAATAATCAGTGATCATGCAAGATTCTCATCACTAACCTCCGAAAATAGTTCTTAGGAGTTTTAATTTGATATAGGGTTAAGTTATAGAATTTTAATAAATAAGATACAAATCTCATAATTCTATTAAAAAGTATTGAAAATGAGTTGATAGAATTCAAAATATTTATTTCAAATATCATTGTCTTAATATATGGAAACTGTGGAAGTTATAGAGCCAGGTTATGCTAAAACTAAACAGATTATTAGTCACTATGGAAAAAAATACTATTTGGGATACATTAATTATGGAATCCAAGGCATTAAAGAAGAGACTTGTGCAGTGAAAATCTATTAGTTAGAAAGCATGGTATGAAGAATTTCTAATGGTAGTAAGACAACATTGATGCTGAAAGAGAGAAAGAAGTACTGATGAGTCTGGATCATGAAAATATTGCCAAAACATACAAAATTATATAGAAGGACAAGTAGATTTACATTTTTAGGGAATATGACGCACAGATGACTTTGAAAACTCTTATCGATAGATTAGAAGCTGCTAAATAAGAGATTGATTGCAGTAAGAAGTTCAATTATTATAATAGGGCTTATATTAAGTTTAGGTGCCAGAATGATCGATTGTCTCAATTACATGGAATCATTATCGCTTACAAATAGAGATTTGAATCCTAGCAATATTTTCCTTAATTAGGAAATGAATTTTAAAATTTTTGATTTCGGATAATCTAAAATCATAGAAAAGGACGAAATAGGACTTACTATGGGTATTGGTATTAATGATGTATAGAATCTAGTATTATTTATAGTATTTTATGAGTCCTTAAATGTTGGGATTAGAAGAAGAAAATGGTGAAAATATAGAACTTAATTATTACAAAAGCGACATTTGGAGTTTGGGCATGATTCTCTATTATTTCGGAGAATATTAATATCCTTGGAGAAGAGAATTAAAATAGAGTGAAATGGAATTTGAATTGGAAATTCAAAAGATGAAAGATCCTAATTATAAACTGTAATTTAGAAGAATTACAAGTCCAGAATTAAAAAGTTTGATTTCAAGAATGTTGATTTATGATTAGGACAGGAGAGCTTCTGCAAAGCAATTACTAGAGGAACCTTTCATTAAACCATATGTGAAATAGCCATCTCCATAGGTATTCTTAAATTTACCATATCATTTAGATAACTAAATTACAATTTTTGTGCGAATTGATTTAAAGGTTGAAAGATATGAAAGCTGCATACGACGTTGATGAAGTGTATTAAGACTTAATTTTCAATCTTTTAATAAGATATTTTACTGAAAATAAGAAGTTGCTCAATAAGAGATCTAAATTTTATAACAGTTACCGTTAATTATTGGACTATCAGATGTTCAATAAAAAATAATTGTGGTATATTTTTAAAGTCAATTCTTAAACCAAACGATAACTTAAGAATTATGTTAATGAATATAGAAGGTAATCTACATTAAATCATCGCTAACAAGAGGAGTTAATGCTATTGTTATAGGCTATGAATAGTGAAAAGTAATACCCAAATAACCCTTAACAATTAATTGAAGAAGCAGAGAAATATTATTTAGAAAATTGAAACCTATAAATTTCACATTTATAAAATATTTACATGAGAATATATAAAAATTTCTAACCTTATAAATATGATATCTCTAAATGAGCAAGCCTTTAAAAAGCTATACAAATCTAAGATAGCCACTCTCCTTGCAGACTATAAGTAATTAACTAATAAGCATTAATTTAAAATCAAAACTATATAAATCATTATAAAAAATGTATTCATCAGATTTCGTTATTGAGTTGTTAAGATATTTTTGATTGCTATTTTTATTTTTGATTTTTAATTCTCTAGATCACACCCATAACACTTCCTATTTTTAATTGATGAACTTTTAAGGTTTCATCAGGAATAATTAGTTTGTCTTTTCTTAACATCATTTCTAATTTTGTTGTTATGATATTAGAGCTTTTCTTTTTGACAAATTTGATTGCTGGGGTAGAGATCTTCCTATTGCTTTCAATAGATTATTATGACACACTTCTTAATTTAGCAATTCTATTCATAAACTCATCAATTGCTTATTTGCTACAATTGCTATCCTTCAATCTTTAACGAATTCCTGTCATTATTGCTTGATTTTTGTCAGGTATATTCTTACGTAATGATTCGTTTAATTGTTCCATAGTACTCGCTTCAATTGAAGCCTGTTGTTTTGAATACAAATCTGCTGCACTTTGATTGTTGGAGATGATTAACTCTATCCATAATGCACAACTTTACTCTTGTGTATGATTCTTTCTGGGCTTTGAGAAATGAAAGTGTTTCCATCTTTAGGTGGCGATTGTTGCTATGCCAATGTTCTCTCCGTTATTGATTTAATCTAATGATGATTCAATTTTATTATTCTTGATTTCTTCTCATCTCTCTCTTGAGTTTTCTCTCTGTATGATATTATGCGAGGTTAACTGTTGCTTGTTATTTTCTTTTACATTCGCTAATCCAACAATGCAATAATCTCATCTATATTCTCTGGCTCTGTGCAATCAATTGATTTATCTTTTAAATTCATTTTTGCTATTTCTTACTGCAATTTTTTTATGTTCATTACAATCGAATGTAAATATGAGAAATAATCTTACTAGCATCTATTCGTAGTCACATACTCCAAGTAACTAACCTTCTCAAATGCCCTTTAACTTAAACCCAACTTGTTCAAAGCAATCTGTGTTGCTTAAGAATCAAAATCAATTTTTTATTCTAAAATTTGCTTCATTTCATGAATTGCCATTTTATTCATATTTTAATATTATTATTGTTATTATGCAAAATACTGCAAAAGCGCTTACATCATAAAATAACCTATACTTTTGACAGCCAATCAAAGAATACAACACTAACCTAGAATGTCTAGAAGCAAATACGATTTTTATTTAATAATTCATTAATAATCTACTTAACTTCTAAAAACTGATTTTAAATTCTGAAAACTAACATGTATACTAAGATATTAATTATGAGATAAAAAGATATCTAATACAATCTCTTTATTTAACTGACAATATATAGGAAATAAGAGTATTATCATATAATAGTAAATATTCAGACAGAATGAATATTTCAAATAGATACATGCCTATTGTGATTATAATATAGAGGATATGTAAATATTTAAAAAAACAGCTATTCTAATTGAAAAATCTCTGGACTGAAACTTCTTTAAAACAAAAATTCAAGAACATTAAATAATTAATTCTTAATATAATTTAAGAATACCAAATATTTTATTTATATAAAATAATTAATAGATTAATATCTTCAATTCATTGTATACTCCTATCTCTCATGAGATGGTACCAATTGTAATTTTGGCTTGATATTCATTGCCAGAAGTTCTTAAAATAATAATTTACAACAATATGGCAATCTAATTTAATAAACTTTGTCTGTGTTACAACCTCTACACACCGAATCACTCTTAAACATTCCGCATATTTCACAGACGTAAACATTGAATGGATCACTTGAAATCAATAATCTCTCTATTAATAGATTTGAGGCTCCATAAGCTAAAAAGCAATCTCTTTCCATCTCTCCAATACGTTGACCTCCATCTTTGGCTCTTCCTTCAACAGGCTGACGTGTGAGTTTCTCCATGGGACCTTTGGCTCTGGCATGAATCTTATCGATGACCATATGCTTAAGTCTTTGATAGAAAATAGGTCCTTGATAGACATAACACTCCATATATTCTCCAGTGATTCCAGAAATCAAACAGTCTTTTCCTTAATAATGGAATCCTCTTTTCAATAGTTCTTCTCCTACCTAGAGTACATTCTCTCCTCCAAAGGCAGTACCGTATTTGAATTTGCCTTCCAAAGCTCCCAACTTACCGCACAATAGTTCCATTAATTTAGCAATTGTCATTCTTGATGGATAACCATGAGGATTCATGATGAGATCAGGACACCATCCTCTTTCATTGAAGGGCATGTCTTCCTAATTAACAATGAGACCAACAACACCCTTTTGACCATGACGACTTGAGAACTTATCTCCAAATTCAGGTCTTCTGATTTACCTGAAGATTGTCTTGATTGTTTTGATTTTCTCAGTTCCATCATTGGTATTATTAATAATCAAGACTCTATCCACAGTATATGGCCATTTTTCTTTGAAAACAGAGGGAGTGTCTGCTATTTAGACATTATCAGTCTACGGATTATCTGGAACTTGTGGCGTCTTTTTATTCACATAAATATCTCCATGATGCAATTGGGCTCCCACCTTCGTAATGCCATCATTGTCTAGAGCATGGTATTTCTTAATAAACTTCTTTTTGGTATTATGAGTTTTGGTTGGTGGTTCATCAATCCTCTCATTGAATCTGCTCTCCTTATTCCTTTGATTGATTTCACATTCAGTCACTGACTTTTTATAGACTGCAGTTCTACCGAATCCTCTATCCAGTGAAGATTTATTCATAATCAAAGCATCTTCGATATCGTAACATGAATAACTCATAACTGCCACTTATGCATTATGTCCAGCTGGTAATCTGTGTTAGTTGACAGCTTCCATGGATACTGTACGAACTAAGGGAGTTTGTGGGTATATCAATTGATACAATTAAGTATCACATCTGATTTATGTATTCATTCCAATAATACCTAGAGATTGTTTACCCATTTGACATTAAAATGTATTACGTGCACTCTGATTGTGATGTGGGAAGGGTACTAAACCAGTCACACAACTAAGGATGGTCATTTAATCTATTTCTAAATGAGTAGTCTCCATCGTCACATCATTGATAGTCAAAGCAATAAATGCATTGTCAGATTCATTAACATCCAGATATTCTATCTTCCCATTTTTCACATAACTAGAAAACACTGTTTTGGCATCATTCTACTTGAAATCAATCATATCAATTTAGTTTAATTGAGGTTTGCCATCTTTCACAAGAATCAATGGTCTAACCAATCTACCACTGTCACCAGAGATGTTTACTACTTTCCTTAAATCATCCTTATGAATTGAAACAAATTCATTGATCTTTCCTCTCCTTCTTAAAATTCTTAATTGATCAACAAATTCCTGAGGTCTAGCATGCATTCCCACTATGATACCATTTAAGTAAACAATGTAATTCTTATGAAATTCGCTTGGTTTAAAATGACATATATCCTCTACTCCCATAGACAATATGATCTTATAAACACTATCTTGTATATCCTCCTAAGTGATATGTGTCAATAGAGCCAAAGTCTTAACCAAACCACAATCTTCACCATCAGGAGTATCTGCAGGACAAATCATACCAAATTGAGATCCAACCAAGGCTCTTGGTCCACTTACTTTAAGTGTCTTTTACACCTGACTTCTCATTTTGGTTAACATACCCAGAGCAGATGTATATGATATTCTAGCTAGTAATTACGTAACTCCTTGTCTATCCATGTGAAATCTTTGTATTGTCCATTTTCCAGTTTTGATTGCTCTATTCAATCCCTTTGTGATATCAACTCCAAATTCCTTCATTTTCATCGTGACATCTTTAGGAGTGAATTTGCAATTGGCTTTGCCTAATTCCTTTTTGAGAATGCTCGATATCGTAGAGTTTAATCCTTTGAATAAATCTTCGAACAACAATTCAAGAAGGTTGCCTGCACATCTCATTCTTTTATTTCCGTAATAATCCTTGTCATCAACAAATCGTTTGTCTTCCATAGCCAATATCAATCTTCTGACCATTTGCCCTAGATATATTGCTTTCGGATAGAAATCATATTTTTTGCAATTGACGTGAGCCAAAAAGACTTATGCTAATTTCTCTCTGGCTTGATCAGCTAGATTGGATGATTGACCACCGAATTTACTGGTAATTAATTTTCCAATATATTATAATGCATCCAGTTGTGTTTTTATTTTTTCATCAGAGGAATCCTAAAAACTCATTAGCAGTTTCTCCACGATGCTTGGTTCAGTTCCAATCAATTCAATGATCTCTTTATCATTGACTATGCCTAAAGCCTTGAAAACGATAAAGAGAGGAGCATCTTTGAAACTTGAAGACTTCACATAAAATTTATTCTTTTTTAAAATTATCGATGCTTTGGATTTCGTTTCCAATTGATAAGATTGAACTGTCGACACATACTAATCTGTCTTATTGTCAACATCCACAATAATTCTATTATCTACGACTTGTTCCAGTATCAGAATGACCTTCTCATTGCCTTCAATGATGAAATACCCTAAAAGTCTAGAGAATGACATCCTTACCTTTTGGATCGTATGGGCATTCTCCATATTGGAAAATCTCAGCCTCCGTCTTGCCTGATAAATTGCACTTCTTCGATCCCAACATTATTGGCATGCGTCCAATTAAAACATCCTTCTCTTCGATTGGCTCTCTACCCTTCATATGAATACGCACATTCACACTATTTAAATTGTAACAATTCTTACTAAATGTCTCCTGCGTAAGTCTGATCATTCAATCTGCATTCGTGAGGATACAGGAGACTTTTCAAGGAGTACTTATCCCAACTGCTGGTGAATGTTGGATTTTCGACTCTGATTGATAAGTACCTAGAGGATCATAATGGGTAGTATGTTACTCCAATAGGAAGGTGGAATCACTTTCACAGGTAATCCTCTGATTCAAGGGAGACTTCACTATCTATTCTAGACGTTATTCGATGAAGTAGTTGAAGGAATCAATGTGTTGTTTCTGTAATCCGCGAAAAGATAAATACGAAGTGATTAGTTTATCCTTCTCTGAAATCATTAATTTTATTAATTATGGGTGACAATAATCCCAGCAATTCGGATGGAATGCAATTATTGAAGACACTCCTCACTGCAGACGTACCTCAGGAAGGCTCTGTTATGCAAGCTATTCGCAATGTATAATTGTTTCTAATCATAGAAAGTGAACTCATTGCTCAATAACAAATAATAGATATCCATCCTATAGGAATTACAATAAGCGTATTTAAATATCATCATCTTAGAAATCTTGACAACGAATTCAAAGAGATGAATGACAATACACTGATGGGACTCAATGCCATCTATTTTTCATCTGTTGTCCTCACGCAATTTATGTTCACCAGAAAGGTCAGCAAAGTCGTTTTCCTTCTCAGTTGTGCTTACTTCAATTTCTACATCATCCAACCCATTGAGATTGAATACAAATTACGCAAATTGGCATTGTAAAACACTCTTGCGGGTCAGGAAGTCAGAAATCTGTACAGATTCTACTTTAAGGATCACGAATTTACTAAGGAGATGACAGAAAAGTGTAAATTGTATACATAGGCTGATGAAATTAAAAAATAAATTTATTCCCGAAAATTGTGATGTTGACTATTCTCGTGTCTTTATATTTTGACTTCATTTATAAAGATGGTAGAATTAGCCAATTTATTTACGACCACTCAAAAGGCGTTCCATATCGATATTTCAATATGAAATTCCTCGAATCGATCTACATTCATTCATTCTTGTTCTATATTTATATATTTTATAATGTGACATCATTCTATTATGGTTTATAATTATAATGTCCAATAAAGTCTTACTTGCAGATTACAATAATCACGGTAATCAGCATTTCGAGTACCCAGAGCAAGACGTCTATTACACAGGTACCTAAGTGCATCTCATTATTTGAGGTCGTAAATTGAATCAAGATTTGAAACATGGACCCTTGGAACAAAGAGGCTGCCAAGACCTCCTATGTGTGATACTCTATTTATCAGTTTGGGCCTTGATGATTTTTTGCGCAATCAATTCGTGGGAAGCAGGAGATGCCTCCAAAATATATTTGCCATACGACAGTGTAAACTAAAGCCATGATAATAGTAATAAAGACAATGCGGAAGGGGCGATCTCAAGAGTTACTCCAACATCTACATCTTAAGCTAGTAGGAATCTTATTGCGTCTCGAGTTGTCCTGGAGAAGGTGGAGTTGGCAAAGAACTTCCATGCTATCAATGCTCGGGTCAAACAGCTCCCTATGCTAGCACCCAATTGCTAACTCTGTGCTTCCCCACTCTCTAGGTCGACGAGAAATACAAAGAATTGATAACCAACATTATTGATATTAGTGGATTCCAAAGACATTATGCAGATATCGAAGAAACATGGCCAATCATCTTGGCTTGTGCTGGAATTGCATTTTTTATGGCTATCATACTAACATTTTTGATTAGATTGGCTGCAGGCTGTATAGTGTGGGGAATGATCTTGATTTATTTATTGCTATTGGGAGTTATTGGAACAGTAGCATTCTTGCAATCTAAGGGACAATATTAAGAGTATAGAGTTTTGGATGACGCCAAATAGTTGGAAATCATCGCCTACGTGTTTTGGAGCATCGGAGTCTTGTCCCTCTTGATAATTTTGTGTTTGGCCAAAAAGATTTCACAGGCTATTCAAGTTTTGAAAACAGCTGCTGATTTCACAAGAGAAGAGTGGTAGGCTCTATTTGTCCCTGTCTTTATCCTCATCCTAGTATTGGCATTCTTCGCCTATTGGATTATCTTCTCAGCCATCATATATTCAACCTCAAGTGATATCAACAAGAGTTAATACAGTCCTTATGTGGAATTACAATGGGATGCAAAGACAGGTTGGCAATTGTGTCTTTACTTTTTCGGCTTGATCTGGAATGTTTGTTTCTCCTTGGCTCTTTGTCAATTTGTGATAAGTAGTTGCTGTTGCTTCTGGTATTACAGTCATCAAGGTTATCCCTTGAGTAGCAGTATCCTAAAAAGTTTTTGCCGTGGATTCACTACTAATTTTGGTAGTCTTTTGTTTGGTTCTTTGATTTTGGCAATCGTTTGGACAATTAAGTTTGTGTTGGAGTTCTTGCATGTAATTTCAAATATTTAAATCAATAGAAACAATTAAAATAATCAGTGCAAGGTGACAATAATGCACTTGGATATGCTTTAAGATGTGCCAAATACTATGTCTCATGTTTCGAAAAGTTCATAAGATTTTTGAATCAAAATGCGTATACAATGATGGCTTTAACAGGACAGAGTTTTTGCAATTCTGCATATGATGCTTTCTATCTGATCTTGAGAAATGCTACCCGTGTAGCCATCACTCATGGATGTATCAATTCAATTCCATTCTAATTCTAGTGGGCGAACTCTTTGAATTTTTGGGTGCCGTATTTATTTCAGCCTCTTCTTCCTTCATTTGTTACCTAATCATCACCAAGGCTGATGCCTACAAAAACAATATCTTCAATCCAGTTGCTCCCACTTTGGTAAGTCTTATTGTTCATTACTTTTAGGCTTTCATCTTGGTTTCATATATGATCGGCAAGATGTTCATGAATTTATATGGAATGGGAGTTGACACTTTGCTGTTGTGTTTCATTGTAGATACTGAGATGAACAAAAACGAAGGAGGTGCTAAGTCAGTCCCGCATTCCCTTAAATAATATGCTTCAGAAATAAATTGAATTTTATAAGCCATAATTATATACACCCTCAGATCTCCTTAAAACTAACAGGATCGACAGAGAACTCAATCTCAAAGGCAGTGGGCTTAAATCTCTCATTGTACACCAATTGGAATCTTGGCTGTCTGATTGGGAACATCTTGTAAGCATAGAGCGAATGCACCTTATAACCCCTCTCCTTCGTTTCCTATGTAATCACTCTCAATGTGTTCAGATAATGTTTATAGCAATTATTAGCACATTTGTTCTACAACATCGATCCATCAAAACATGTTTCGAAGCACAATGCCACTAAATCCAGTATTATTCAAAAATACCCTACTTTCTGGATGTCATCAATTAATTCTTTCCTCTCTTCATTATTCATTTTTATAAGGGTTTTAAAATAAATATAATAACAAAATTAATCACTCCTTCTCTTTCTATTCAAGTTTCTCACTCAACTCCAATATCACATTGTCTCGAATTTCAATTTCATCCTACAAATTACTGAATTACGCTTCAATTGCTGCTATTCGTTCCCTCAACTTAAAATAATCTTTCAAATATTATTACAATATCATTCTCATCAAAACAATGCTTCAATATTAATTTATGCAATTTCAGTTATTGAATAAGTGTCTGCTTGTCCACGTTATCCAATTACAACTCGTCCAATGAATTTTTCACATTGTTAATTTCTGTGTTTGTAGGTACAAATTGTTTCTCAGCATTTGCACTCTTCTCCACTTTCTCCCCAAGTGTTGCTGATAGTTTATCCCCCTTGTTCACTTAAGTTACATTAGAAAAAGGTATTCTGGCAGTAGCCATTTAATTTATATTATTAATAATTGTTAATTTTAAACCCGCGCTTTCGATTCAATAATGTCCCGCTAATTCATTTCCTTAATATTTGTAATAACATTCCAATACCCTTAAATTCCAAATTGTCATAATATTAGAATATTAGAATAAATAATAAATATCATTATTGAGGCAGTGAGTCTATCTCTTCCTAAAGGATGTTTTACACGCATTTTGGATATTCGTAATTCTTGTACCCCCGAAATAGCGGAGTGTATTCTTTCTATTTGAAATCATATCATTAAACATATGTACTAAATATGCCAAGATGTTTTTAGCCATCTGATCCTTCTTTATTGTGAACGAGGGAATTATCAAATCTGGCATCGTTGGCACATTTTCCCTATTATACACCCTCAACTTATGTTCTTCGGGATCCATCCTTCCATTCCCCTTCGAAATCTTATTTTTCGATGTGATATTCAAAATGGGAGGCTTCTTCTTAAATTTCTCATTATAGATCATGTTATATTACTGCAAACAACACTGGGTTTTATCTCTTTTCGTACATCCTTTGAAGTGTGTGATCATAGATCTATTCTCTCTTTTTTACTGCCTCAGAATATGAAACCTTCTCGCTGATTGATATTGGTTATTGAGCCTCTACTCTTGGTTCCTCAGACAACAAGTCTTATTCATCCTCTTCTTACTCTGGCTCTGGCTCTTATTAATCAATTATTTAGGGATTTGTCATAAAATCTATGGCTCTTTTTTGATCCTCCTCTTACTCGTTTAATCTCTGCATCTCTTGTTGTTCTCGTTGCAATTTCTCTTTTCTCTCTCTCTCCATCAATCTGCGATAAGCCTTGATTTTCTTGTCTATCTATTTGATCGCTTCAGGTATGGGGATTGGTTTTGGAACATACTAAATAGAGTTAAATTTTATATTAATTACTGGTTGAGCATACTGGATAGATGGCTGAGGAAGTGTAATCATCTCCTAAGTTGCCTTTGGTTTTCGACTTTCTTGATAAACAAATTGGATTACAAAAACCGTTATGCATTTCTCATCTGAGGGGGCTACTCACTTTCTTCCTTGTCATTCAGAAACCTTGTTTTTTAATTTTAAGATTTCGCCTTGTTTTCAAATTTCTGTTTTTTTGTAAAGAACTTTTCTGACATTTATTAGTTATTTTTATTATATAAAATATGTAATTTTTATTTACAATATTTTCAGAACAATGCCCAAAAATTTAGTATTACAAAGTGATCCTAAACCCGGATGATATCATCTAATATTCACAGTCCTACATTCTCATCTTGTCCTCTGCTGTCATTTTTATTCGTATTTTAATTTAACTCTTGTTTGAGTTAGTTCTTAAATCTAATTCATCCAATTCATGTGGAGCAATTTCATTAAGCATTCTGAAATATAGGAATTGCGATATTAAATCACTAAGTTTTTAAGAAATTTCAGAATAGTGATATCTGAGTATTCTGATTATGAAATGGATAAACAACAACTAAAACCATTATGATTGATGTGATTTCATGAGTTCCATATTCTCGCAAGAACAGATATACATTATATTAAAAGAGATATTGTCGAATTAATTATATAGACTTATTATTTAATTATAATTTCTTTGCTAAAATCGAAATCATTTATAATGGAACACATTTTTAAAGATTTTGTAAATTCTCTCTAAGGGTAAATTAATGTGGAGACTCACTTTAGAAATAGTTGCATGTACTTAATATGTTGGAAATCTATAGATGAGGATTTGGATTAAATTGGTTCTTAAGATGTCTACAAATATAGACTGAATAGTACAATACACATTTGCTCTATATAAATACTATATTATTGCATAATCAAAATCATAAACTCATACTAAAGAGCACCACCCTTGTTTTTAGTTCTAAGGATCTTCTTCAACCTTTTTGAATTATTATTTTCTTGCATTCTCCTTTTATTGGATAATATCATTTATAAGGCCAGTAAACATCTAATTGACATTGGACCCATTTTTGGCTGAAGTCTCATAAAAGAGTGCTTTGAATTAGGCAGCCAACTACTTGCCCTCATCATAACTAATGACTCTCTCAGAACCCAAATCAGTTTTATTTCCAACAATAACAATCGAAGGTACATATTCTTATTTCTCAAACAGCTATTAAAATAACAAGAGAGTATTTTTGATATCTTCAAAACTTTCTAAAGAGTTTACTGCATAAGTGAATATCAACCCTTCTTTGTCTTTCATCCATTGAGTTCTCAAGGACGTGTATGCTTCTTAACCACAGGTGTCAGAAATCTTGGTTGATGGATATAACAATATACCTCGATTTGGCATTGTTAATCACCCACAATCACTCTTTTTGTATATTTATCCAAAAGAGTCAGACTATAATCTTCAAAAAATTCGTTATTAACCCATCGAGTTGTCAAATTAGATTTTCCAACAGAACCCATCCCCAACAATGAAATCCTGTATTAAACTAATTATTTTGATTCGCCATAAGAATTTTAAAAATTAGAATTATAATTATTGAACTCCTCTCCCTATATTAATAACACATTTTAGCTATACACTAGATATGAAATAACTTGCTCCCATTTATATGCTATCAATGTTCATTATCTCTTTTCCTGATTGATCAAATATCCGGGATGCTCTTAGATCTAATAATTATTATGTCCAAAACCTAAAACTGCTGAGCACATTTGCAAAAACTTCCTACGATCAGTTTCCTTTCTCAAATAGTGCACCTTCATTGATTTACGTGCATCTGCATTATTGTATATCTGTATTGTAACATTATTGGTATTTATCATATAATTTATTATATTTTCTTTATAATTTTCATTATTCTAAAATACACAAAATGCAGAGTGAAACAACGCATTTTTCATATAATATCATTGAATCACAACATAAAATAAAACACTGGAGCCTCATTCATAATCCCAAGGGAGCACCTCAACTCATTATCCAATTATTTTTTTGATCCAACTCCTCAACTAACCATCCAATCTAAATGCTTACTAAAATATGATAATGATATCTATACAACCATCAAATGAGCAATTAAGATCTGAAGTTGATTTAGTGCTTTTTGTATTTTTACTTATTTTTTTGTATTCAAACATCTAACATTGTATTTGGTAACTTTTATTCCCTTACTTCATAGAATATGTGGTTGAGGAGAATAGACTTCTTTTTTTGAATTCCTTTACGTATTTTGAGAACAATTCTATAAATACATTTCTAAGATTACAATTAGATTAACAAGATGTAGTTATCAAAGGATTAAACAGATTGATTTTTTATTTGAAGTTCTTGATTCATTCTAAAATGTATTGACTATATTCGTCGTACTTCTAACCAACTTAATTGTGTTTATTCTTATTTGTGATAGACAAGCGTTTTTAATTTCTTTTTTGATAATGTATTAATTTAACTCATAAATTACAAAATAATATTTATAGATAACATCAAAAATGTATAAATTTAACGAATTAAACATATTATTAACAACTACTTTATTAATTATAAGCACTAATTAACAAGTATTACAACTAATTTTCAAAAAGAAATTTGTTTTTAACAATTTCCATAAAATTATAACAAAAATCAGTGATGGTATTAGAGATTCTAGTTTGTTTGGCAATTAAAAATAAGGTGAATAAATTGTTTAAATTGTTATATCTTGTAATTAGAATGGATTGAATACTAAATCATTTTATTATAAAAACAATGCTTCAATATTTTAAATGATTTAATGTTGTTAATATTATAATAATATTTAGAATATTATATTTTAGTTATTTCAATATTTAGTTTAATCCTTATAAAAAGAGTGCAAACTAGATTATTATTAAAAATTTGGATTGAAAAATGATTCAGGTTGTGATGATATTAATGATTTTACATGATTATAATTCTTATGTTTTATTTGTATTACACATTTATTAATTTTGAAATGATTTATTTTCAGTAATCATGTTTAGAAGAAAAAAAGTAGGATATGGTGAAGAATTAAGCATCCCTCCTAAGTCCTTAATAGCTGGAAGATACTTTAGAACGCATAAAGGAAGTATATAAATAGATTATAAAAAGTGTCGAGAAGAATTTATGGCTTCATTGCAAGAATACTTAACAATTAGACTGTCTAGTGATGATTAAGAACCTTGTGAGGAGGTATATTGATCTAATGATCAGAGTAGGTGATCTAAATCATCAAAAACCTATGTACCAAACTTGTAGATAAACCTCTCTGGAATTTTAAGGAATTAGTTGCTGAGCTTGAATTGCAGCTGGAGAGACACATAGGTATTTGTTGAGTTTAAAGTATGAATTTTTTTAGACGATTATATCGTGTTTAATTAAGTCAAATAATTGATTTCCAGTTTGAATGCCCAATACTCAAACAAGTTTAATTAAATAAGTTCTTGTTATTTAAAGAGTATAAAAAGTGAAAAGGCCATCCCGAAGCAACAAATAAAGAGAATTTGTCACTATGATGAAGGTAAATGTAAGCCCAATAATGAAAGTTTAGGAATTGATACCAAATGCACAGGATAGAGTGGAGGAAATAAACTAACATCTTTTATCATTTATCCAGTATAAACTTATTATTTCATTTGATTAGTCATGACAGCCTAATGCAAGTGGATCCGTGGGGTTGTCCATTCTAATCTTCATTTGGCGTAACTCTAACAGATCAAGATATTTCATACAAGGCCAAAAAATTGAATGTTGACATAATTTTGATTGATACTTTTGGAATCAAGTAAAGCATCTCCCAAAAGCTGTTTCTTCTGTTCCCAAACTATGAGACAATTTTACCCCAGTTGTCATCTTCGATCAATATCAACAAGGGTAATTTATAGCAAGTAATGTCGAATTTATTTTCGATAGGCTTTATCAAACATTTATGATGTATCCCATGTCCTTGTGGATTGGCCTAACATACTCACATTGAAGGGGAAAGGAGTGTTATGCTGTAACTTCGATGGATTTGTGAGCAATGAATTTATCAGCTTTTATTTTGGAGAAGTGTACACTCCTCAGAGATGGTTTGAGAAGTAGACAGTTTTCAATAAGAGAATGTAGGATGGAAATAGAAAGTCGTGTTTCTAAAGTCCATATGCAGAATTCCTCATCAATGACAATCTCTTAGTAAAAAAGTTAAATATAAAAAAAGTTTATTGATCCAACTAGGTATGGAAATATAGCATTACACATCTCATATTCTTGTGATCCAAATTGTAAATTGGTAACTGTTTAAATCAATTCTTCCTATTAACTTGCTATTTTTACATTGAAAAAAATTAATTATCTAGAGGAGTTGACTCTCCCCTTCCCATCGACATCAAATGACTTGTGTTTGTGCGGGTCCATCTACTGCAAAAGACTCTCGCAATTAGAAGCATTCAATAATCGACTAACTCAAAATTACCCTAATTATATTCAAAGAAATGCCTTACTATTATAATCAACTATTTGTGGAAAAATCAACAATTAAACTGCAATTCCTGATTGGTTGAGCAATTGGGAGAAATTAAACTCAAACTAAGATCAAATCAATATCCTGACATGTGTAGATAAAGTTAAATTCGTACTTAATACTTTGAATGTGAACACTCCGCCATTATATCTTGTTTTTGATACCTTCGAAATATTTTGGAAGAATTCCGACAATAACAAACCTAAGAATGAACTTAAATAATCTATTTTCAATGAAGTCAAAACCATGTTGATGAGACATTCAGACAGGAAAGAATGTCAAGAAGGATTGGAAATCATACAATTAATGAAATCAATTATAGAAAGTAAAGATAAATATAAAATGTAATTGACAAGACTCCTATTGCTTGTCTTAAGCGAACTGTTGTTGAAGATGGACTCAGCTCCATTTCATAACGAAGGTTTGTCTACAATTTTATATTTTATGTCATTCACTCATACATACTTCTCATCAACGTAATATGAGGGATTCATTGGCAAACCTTACGAAGAAAATGAATTTTAATACATCCCATAACCAAAAAATAAGTAGAAATTAACCTTGTCCAAAATGTACACTCCATAATACATTTGGGGTCAATTAATTAATTGGAATAAGCAAACTCTTCAAAATCCTTAATCTTCAATGGCTCAAGAAAGAAGAGGAGTCCTATGTTATCCTTCTTTAATATTGTCCTTTGACAATAAGCATAAACTATTTCCATATTAGTGCAAAACAAGGGAAAAATATCTAGAATACTTTTACACTAAAAGTGATATCCAACCTGATCTATCTATTTGGTCATACAAAAATTAGTATAAGTATATCATTCAAATTAATTAATTTAGTATCTATGGAACAATATTTTTCGAATAATGCTTTTCATAATAAATAGTGGGAGAACAATTCATAGCTGAGATTTCAAAATGTGGTCAGGGATCCTTCGTAAACAAGTTTAAATTTTGGTTATCAATCGAAAGTAGATTCAATCAGGATAATCAAATGATAGAATACTTAAATTTCATCTATGAAAAGTAATTGTATCTCTAATGAAATTAGATATTTTGTAAATATCGACAATTAATTAAGTAAATTCAATTCTAATTCTGAATGCACAGAGTAAATAACCAAAAAGATAAAATAAAATAATCACTCAACAATTATTGAGGAAACTTAATAAGGATAATTTTGAATTTTTTTTTCGAAATTTTTTCAACAGAATAATAATTAATGTATGCATTTTTTAACTTCGAATTTATAAATTTGAGATTAAATTATTTTTCACTTATATTATTTTAATATAACTCATAAATCTACTGCTTTGGCACTTAATTCCCACAGCTATGTTTCCAATCCACATTCCCTCACTAATTTAGTCGATTTAGATAATTGATTTTTTTAATAATATCCTGATGGCACTAATTCTTCATATGGCTATAAGATTGTATACTCGGTTGTTCTTGAACCTTGCTCTTCATTTAATGAAAATTAAGACATCAGACCTATAACCACTATGGCGATAGCACTTAAAAAGCGATTTGATCCATTTTTAGAATGAAAAATCTCTGTTCTTACAAATCCAGGATGTAATGATACGGCCTTAATTCTTCTATTTTCCTTATCAAATTTCTATTATAAGGCTTAAGTGAACAAAATGTTGGCGAACTTTGAGGTGGCATAAGTACTCATTCCCATACTTATTTCTCCTTTGATTGCTTTCTGAAAGTCAGGAGCCGACCTCAAGAATTCATGAGCCCCACTTGCCACATTAATTATTCTAGACTTGTCACTCATAACATCCAAAAGAAGATTTGTCAAAAGAAAATGGCCCAAGTGATTTGTGGCAAATGTGAGCTCATGGTTCAAATTGTTTTTTTATTAGTTAATAATAAATATACCAGCATTATTGATTAGGTAATCACATTTATTAAATCTTTATTTAAATTCTTTAACGAATTATCTTACCGAATCATAATTTGGTAAATCCAAATTTATATAATGTAAATTATAATTCTTACTTGTCTTTGCTATTTCATCAATAATTATTAGGGTTTTTTCCTTGCTTCTGCATGCAAATATCACTGTTGCACCTCTTTAAGCCAACTTCCTGGCTGTCTCTTTGCCAACACCAGCAGAAGACCCTGTCACAATAGCGATTTTGCCTGTCAGATCCACATTATAACTTCTCTTCGGTCCTGCCTTATTCATTGAATAAATAAATCCACCCAAAACAATGGCTATTAAGATTATCACTATAATCAAAAATATCATAATTAAATTATTTAATCATATATTGAATTCAAGAAACCTTTATAGTTGAAACAACGCATTAAAGTATGTACTATTTAGTATCTAATTGATTTGTGTACTTGATGCGTATTTAATCTTTGACAATTATAAAGAATAGCATTATTTGAGAAAATAGACTAAATTCTTATTTCCTAAAAATAGAGGTATCCGAATTTGTAATTAAAATTCTATATCCATCTTATGATCCTAAGTCCATTCAATTTTTTGAGATTTCTTAGTGGTTGGAAAGAAAGCAATGATTTTTTGTTTAATAATATTATTGAAAATTATGATATTATATATAAGAAGTGGAAAATAATTAAAATAATACAGTCGTCATCCTTTCCTAATGTTATTGCATTTAAGTAGGATTTCTTCCCAAGCGTCACTGGACTTCTTCGGTCTTCTTCTGAAATTGCTTTCTATCATTCTTTTTAGCTCTTTAGATTTATTGCTTGAGGGAGTCTGAGAACTATAATCTGGATATTCTATCTAGATCTTGTAGAGAGATGGTTTAGGTTGTTTGGTCTATACTTGATTCTTGGTTTGATTTTCTTTGTCGTCGTCTTCTAATTACCATCGAGAGACTGTGAGTTCTTTTTCTTGGAAGAATTCGCTTTCCGTTGATTAATTAATCATTATTTAATTTATAGAGAATCGATAATCAAAATTAGTTATATAATTGTGTTCTTTCATACTTATAAAAGTTGTGGGAGTCCTTCAAATCCTCCTTTTCCATTCTCTCTTTGGATTCACATATCTTATACTTTTACCTTGAGAAATTGTGATTTTTCTTGAACTCCTTGAACTTGGATAAATCAAAATTGCATCTATTCAAATTGCAGTAATATTTCAATTGCTTGCTAACCAAATACATTTATGAATATATTTCCTAGATCTAATTAACATCATGGGTGCTGGTTAATTTGGACAATAAGTCAACAGTTTGATTCTGATACGAAATGAGGTCTTTGAGGATTAGATCAAAACAATAACGAAGTTTCTAATTTCTCTATCCTTCAATGATCCTTAATCCCAAGCATTAGATATTTTAGATGACGAAACAATCTATTATGGGGATTTCACAAAGCTGTTGCATGCACACTCTCTTCAAATAGATGTAATAGACTTGCAGAATCTGCTGGTAAGTTAGAGGATCCCTCAATTCTTGAAATTGGACTTTCTTGTCTGTTACACTCTTTCTGCATTCCGGTTCCTCCTTGAAATAATTTTACTCCAATGTCTATTTGGGTGTGCTATTCCAACTGGGTGCCACATTCATACTTCTGGAAATTGTCAAGTTTAATTCAGTAGGTAATCTCTCTAAAGCAAAACTAGTATCGAGAGTTTTTGTTATCATGCTTATGTTGCAATCAGCAAATATTTCCTTTGGAAGTGAACATTATTGAATCATCCAATGGAAGACACTTAAGAGTCGAATTATTTATTCAGGTTGCAATGTAGAATCAAATGGTTTTGATAGTTCTTGGAATACTTTCTGCAAACCTATCGAAATGCTATAGAAACTATACCGATACTGAGGATCTACTCCCCAGAACTCCCTATCTCCTCATTTTTCTGATTCATTATACGAATTAGAGTGGTTTTAATCATTTTTTAATAAATAATAAATTTCAGGAAATGAATCTCCCGGTAATGGGATCTCTACTGCCTAACCTATACTAAGGAATCTCAGAAGTATTGAACGATTGATGCTTCTTCTCCGAAGTCGGGTTCCAATAGTCAAAAGCAGAAGCCTTTTTTAATCGCTCTTAATTTGCCTATCGATCATAGCATCTTAAGCACATACTTCATGATTCGTAATGATATCATATTTCTCTGGTTTTGGATGATAAACCAATTGTCTTTGCGGTGGTTTGGGCTCTTGAGCAATCAATTAAGCAGTTTTATAATTGGGATGGTCATCCCCCATTACTATTTAAGTAGCCATCAATGTGAGTTTATCCCTAATAGGTTTGGCTCTTGGAGGATTCTGATAGTCCTTGTAGTTCTTGTATTCCGAATTGAAGTGAGTATCCTTTTTGTAAGGCACATTAATATGATCGATGTGAATGGTAGGTGGATGCATATTCGCACACTAAGATTGGATTAGCATATCTGTACATTGTCCCTCTTCACTATTTCTTTGTTTGGTTTGTAATCCACTTCGTAAACGGTTTCATTCGATTATTGCCAGGGTTTCCATCCGATGTTATAGTGATGTTCTCTCTATTCCATGCCTATTGGTGGAGCATACTTGCCCACTCCGACATCCAGATTCTCAGAAATCCCCTTGAATACTCCTTTGTACCCTTCAGTCTAAGGGCCTGGATCACGGTGAATTTTTCGAACACTCATATATTATTATATTTATCATAAAATTTGATTAAATTTTCTAATTCTCAATTGAATGGATGTTGTGACCAACTTCATTAAGAATAAGCAGTTATTTTGGTAGTACAATCAATATAAATCAACATTAATTATTAACTTCATAATTGATTCTAAAAATAAACATTTAAAACATCAATTTGTTATAAAATTAGTCTACTGCTGTTAACCTAATTCCATTCTTACCCTGTACATTATTGAATCAATGATATCTTCATTGTTTTCCTCTTCTTTTGAGAAGTACTTAATCTTCTCCCTATGTTGAAGATCCTTTAGATTTTCTAATTGTTTCTTCTCGTTCAACTTTTAAAGTTACTTTTCCTGTTTTTGTTTTTCATAAAGTAAATCACGAAAACTCTTAATATTATCCCATTACATACAATAATTGAATAGCTTTAAAATGGAGAGAAGGCTTGAACAACTTTCGGATTCATCTTTAACGGGACTCTTCGAAATTGTGATCCTCTTATTTGCCCCTTAGGCAAGGATATAATATCCTTGACATTTGGTTCAATTATCATTCTAGCATGGATCCTTTTGGTAGAACTCATATTTGGGCTTGTAACTATGTGCAACGAAGGAAGAGAAGGTTATGATTTTTAGTGCATTCTGAAAAATAGATATAAAAATTAATTAAATAAATCACTTAACCTTATAAGAGTCCTTGTCTTTTTTCTTCTTCTCTTCGTCCTTGTCTTCTAAAGGAATGACGCATTTTATTAAACGGTTGGATCTGTTAGAATTGTCTGTCAAATATAAATGTGTTGGTTTGATGAGAGAAAAACACATTCCAGTAATTTCTGGACTTCCTGGAATTAAAATATTCTCTAAAAGTTATCCTTGAGGATTTAACACAGATATCAAACCCATCTCATTTTCATTACCTACTGAGAATTCGAAACGAGCAACATAAAGAAAGTCTGATTGGGAGATTACAAGTGCAGTTGGTCCAAATCTGCCTGAGAATTGATGATAAACACTTAACGATAGCAATTATCATATACCTAAAAGCATAAATTCCAGCATTTGTGAGTACAAACCTTATGATACGATTCTCACAAGTCTCGCTTACAAATAGACTCTTCTCATCATGACTTAAAGCTAATCCACTTGGATGAGCTAGACATCTATATGCTAGAGCAGTTGGTTTAATTTCCTAACCATCCAAATCAACCATAAATACAGATCCAATTGGATTTTCAACGTTTGTTTCCCCAAAAGGGCCTGAATCTGTAAAAAAGAGGGCATCTAATATTACTTTCAGAATTTAGATTACTTAAGTTGTTATATGAGATGGCAATTTAATTAGGACCCAGGAAAGGCATCCCTTCATACTCAGTAACAAAATCCTTTGCTCCTTCCTAATTTTGATTGTTTGATTATTATTAGAGCTAATTTAATTGCCGATATGTAATCGACTAATGTGCCATATCAGCTATGTAGATCAAAATATGATCTCTTTCAATTGCTATTGATGATGGCTGTCCTCCCATTCTAGTATCAATGGTGAGTTCATTGTTCATTACTAAAATGTCTCCATTCTCAGATACCATATAGATGTCTCCATTAACTTCATGTGGTGAAGAGAGGGGATTTGAAAAGGAACAAATTTTTTCTACAGTTACTTACATGTTGCTAAATTAATAATTAATTATATATATGATAAATTAGGTTAAATTCAATTAATAATCTCATTTAAATTATTTTATGGGTATTAAACACTTGTTATTTGATGTAAGGTGTTTGGTCTATCATGGCATAATTATTTCGACCTGTTCTCCAATAAATTCAAGTCCTCTGGGTTCAGTTACTACTCTACTTCTGATTTATAATCAACCACTTGCCAATCAAAGTCAGGTTCCCCTCTAAAAACTTCTACTATCAAATAAACCAAATAGAGGAGAAATAACAATATGAGCAACACTATTACAGCAGTCATAGATGACATTTCCTCCTATTTTTATGTGTAGTTATAAAACCAATATGACAATCCACCCAAACCACCGAGAGTAATTATTAATTTAGATGTAAACATTATGATATTGAAAAGATTGATCTTTAAAATATAAAAGTATGATTACAAAGGTCTTTGATCTATAGATCTCCAATTGTTAAACCTTATACTATATTCCACATTACTAGCATGTGAAATTCTCTTGACTAAATAAACCTGGAGTGTTAATTATTTTCTATTTAAAGCAAGAGGCATGATAGTTAATCTATGAGGGTAATAAGAAAATAATACATCACACAAACATGGTTAGATAAGGTTCAAGTTATCTACATTTTCACAAAAATAACATGAAATTATCATATTATCATCTCTGATTCTTGTTTGTTGATTTATGGAGGTTTTTCTTAGAGTCCTTGTGAAGTTTTATTTGGTGGGAGTTAAATTGTTTATTGAATTACTCAAGCAATTGGAAATCATGATTTATTGATTGTTTTCAGATTCTAGATTTCTAGATGAATCATTCTTAAATTGTTGTATTTAATTTGAGAAATTACTTTTTGGTGTGAAGATTTTGATTTGAGAGTCGGATCTCATGTTGGAAATCATTTTTTTTATTATTGCCTTTGATGTCTTAAAATTGCCATTTTTCACTTAAAAATTGTAAAAATTATTTTAAATAATATATACGTTGAAAATAAATCGAATAAAATATTATTGATATGTAATTGTGAGAATTCTGAGAGTTTTTGATTAGTTTAATTGTTTTTGCATAGAATCAAGTGGAACTACAACTAAAATGGATGAATGGATTTGTGGGATGAAGGAAATCGAATTTTGACCACACCTTAATTAGATAGAATTTTGGAGGTTGTGGGGAAGACCTGTTAATGCTTTTGGATATTCTTTTTGGATTAAACTAACAATTACATAATGAGACAATATAAATAAACAATTAGAAAAATAATTTTTCCATATGTTCTAGAATATTCAATATATATATATTTAAGAAAAGTTAAAATCAAAATTAATAATATTTATTTTTTCACACGTCACAAATTATGAAACCAATTATCCTCATCGTACTTCTACTCGGAGCATGGGCACAGGAAAAGACAAACAAAGTTGAATGCCCTGTCATTGGTATTGATTTAGGAACAACATATTCATGTGTTGGAATTTATAAAAATGGAAATGTCGAAATCATTCCAAACGAATAAGGAAACAGAATTACACCCTCAGTCGTAGCATTTACAGATGAAGAACGTCTCATTGGAGAAGCTGCTAAAAACTAAGCAGCAATCAACCCTACCAGAACACTCTACGATGTCAAAAGATTGATTGGAAGAAAGTAAGAATCTTAATCTAATAGTATTATAGATTCACAGATTCCACAGTCCAATATGATAAAAAGTTTATGCCATATGAAATCGTCGATAAGGACACCAAACCATACATTAAGGTCACCAATATCAAGGGTCATCAATCCAAGATCTTTGCCCCTGAAGAAATTTCAGCTATGGTTTTGACCAAAATGAAGGAAATCTCAGAAACCTATTTGGGAAAGAAAGTTATTAATGCAGTTGTCACAGTGCCAGCCTATTTCAATGATGCTTAAAGACAAGCTACCAAAGATGCAGGAACCATCTCAGGTTTGAATGTAGTGAGAATTCTCAATGAACCAACAGCAGCAGCTATAGCCTATGGTCTTGATAAGAAGGATGGAGAAAAGAACATCTTGGTCTTTGATTTAGGAGGTGGTACTTTCGATGTTTCCATCTTGACTATTGATAATGGTGTCTTTGAAGTCGTTGCCACTTCAGGAGATACTCATTTGGGAGGTGAAGATTTCGATCAAAGAGTCATTGATCATTTCATCAAGGTCATTAAGAAGAAGCACAACAAAGACATCAGCGCTGATAAGAGAGCCATCCAAAAATTAAAGAGAGAAATCGAAAAATCAAAGAGAGCACTCTCAGCAACCCATGAAACCAAGATCGAAATTGAAGATTTAGTCGATGGTTTGGACTTCAATGAAGTACTCACCAGAGCTAAGTTCGAAGAATTGAACAATGATCTCTTCAAGAAGACTACTGGACCCATGTAAACTGCTTTGGAAGACTCTAAATTCAAAAAGACTGAAATTCACGAAATCGTTTTGGTTGGAGGATCAAGCAGAATTCCAAAGATTAGATAAATTGTTAAGGATTTCTTCAATGGAAAGGAAGCTAACACTGGTATCAATCCAGATGAAGCTGTTTGCTATGGTGCTGCCATCTAAGGAGGTATCATCTGTGGTGAAGAATCTAATGAAACCAAAGGTTTGATCGTTATCGATGCTACTCCTTTGAGTTTGGGTATTGAAACTGTTGGTGGAGTCATGACTAAGATCATTCCAAAGGGATCATACATTCCAACCAAGAAATCTCAAACCTTCACTACCTATCAAGATCAACAATAAACTGTCACCATCTCAGTTTTTGAAGGAGAAAGACCACTTGTTAAAGACAATCACAAGTTAGGAACATTCGATTTGACAGGTATCCCACCAGCTCCAAGAGGAACTCCTTAAATTGAAGTTACTTTCGAAATTGATGCCAATGGTATCCTCCAAGTTGGTGCCCAAGATAAGGGAACTGGAAACAAGAATCAAATTGTTATCACCAACGATTCAGGAAGATTATCAAAGGAAGAAATCGACAAGATGTTGAGAGAGGCTGAAGAGTTTGCTGATTAAGATAAGGCTGCTAAGGAAAGAATTGACGCCAAGAACTCTTTGGAAAGTTACATCTACTCAATGAAGAACCAAATTGAAGTAATATCTTATATTTATCAATTTAGGATCCAGAGAAGTTGGCTAACAAATTGTCTGATGATGACAAGGATACTATTAAGGATGCTTTGAAGGACAGCTAAGATTGGTTAGATAAAAATCAAAATGCNATTTCAGCTATGGTTTTGACCAAAATGAAGGAAATCTCAGAAACCTATTTGGGAAAGAAAGTTATTAATGCAGTTGTCACAGTGCCAGCCTATTTCAATGATGCTTAAAGACAAGCTACCAAAGATGCAGGAACCATCTCAGGTTTGAATGTAGTGAGAATTCTCAATGAACCAACAGCAGCAGCTATAGCCTATGGTCTTGATAAGAAGGATGGAGAAAAGAACATCTTGGTCTTTGATTTAGGAGGTGGTACTTTTGATGTTTCCATCTTGACTATTGATAATGGTGTCTTTGAAGTCGTTGCCACTTCAGGAGATACTCATTTGGGAGGTGAAGATTTCGATCAAAGAGTCATTGATCATTTCATCAAGGTCATTAAGAAGAAGCACAACAAAGACATCAGCGCTGATAAGAGAGCCATCCAAAAATTAAAGAGAGAAATCGAAAAATCAAAGAGAGCACTCTCAGCAACCCATGAAACCAAGATCGAAATTGAAGATTTAGTCGATGGTTTGGACTTCAATGAAGTACTCACCAGAGCTAAGTTCGAAGAATTGAACAATGATCTCTTCAAGAAGACTACTGGACCCATGTAAACTGCTTTGGAAGACTCTAAATTCAAAAAGACTGAAATTCACGAAATCGTTTTGGTTGGAGGATCAAGCAGAATTCCAAAGATTAGATAAATTGTTAAGGATTTCTTCAATGGAAAGGAAGCTAACACTGGTATCAATCCAGATGAAGCTGTTTGCTATGGTGCTGCCATCTAAGGAGGTATCATCTGTGGTGAAGAATCTAATGAAACCAAAGGTTTGATCGTTATCGATGCTACTCCTTTGAGTTTGGGTATTGAAACTGTTGGTGGAGTCATGACTAAGATCATTCCAAAGGGATCATACATTCCAACCAAGAAATCTCAAACCTTCACTACCTATCAAGATCAACAATAAACTGTCACCATCTCAGTTTTTGAAGGAGAAAGACCACTTGTTAAAGACAATCACAAGTTAGGAACATTCGATTTGACAGGTATCCCACCAGCTCCAAGAGGAACTCCTTAAATTGAAGTTACTTTCGAAATTGATGCCAATGGTATCCTCCAAGTTGGTGCCCAAGATAAGGGAACTGGAAACAAGAATCAAATTGTTATCACCAACGATTCAGGAAGATTATCAAAGGAAGAAATCGACAAGATGTTGAGAGAGGCTGAAGAGTTTGCTGATTAAGATAAGGCTGCTAAGGAAAGAATTGACGCCAAGAACTCTTTGGAAAGTTACATCTACTCAATGAAGAACCAAATTGAAGTAATATCTTATATTTATCAATTTAGGATCCAGAGAAGTTGGCTAACAAATTGTCTGATGATGACAAGGATACTATTAAGGATGCTTTGAAGGACAGCTAAGATTGGTTAGATAAAAATCAAAATGCAGAGAAGGAAGACTATGAAGAGGAACTCAAAGAATTAGAAAAGTATATCAATTTAATATATTCTTTAGAATCTGCAATCCNTGAGAATTCTCAATGAACCAACAGCAGCAGCTATAGCCTATGGTCTTGATAAGAAGGATGGAGAAAAGAACATCTTGGTCTTTGATTTAGGAGGTGGTACTTTCGATGTTTCCATCTTGACTATTGATAATGGTGTCTTTGAAGTCGTTGCCACTTCAGGAGATACTCATTTGGGAGGTGAAGATTTCGATCAAAGAGTCATTGATCATTTCATCAAGGTCATTAAGAAGAAGCACAACAAAGACATCAGCGCTGATAAGAGAGCCATCCAAAAATTAAAGAGAGAAATCGAAAAATCAAAGAGAGCACTCTCAGCAACCCATGAAACCAAGATCGAAATTGAAGATTTAGTCGATGGTTTGGACTTCAATGAAGTACTCACCAGAGCTAAGTTCGAAGAATTGAACAATGATCTCTTCAAGAAGACTACTGGACCCATGTAAACTGCTTTGGAAGACTCTAAATTCAAAAAGACTGAAATTCACGAAATCGTTTTGGTTGGAGGATCAAGCAGAATTCCAAAGATTAGATAAATTGTTAAGGATTTCTTCAATGGAAAGGAAGCTAACACTGGTATCAATCCAGATGAAGCTGTTTGCTATGGTGCTGCCATCTAAGGAGGTATCATCTGTGGTGAAGAATCTAATGAAACCAAAGGTTTGATCGTTATCGATGCTACTCCTTTGAGTTTGGGTATTGAAACTGTTGGTGGAGTCATGACTAAGATCATTCCAAAGGGATCATACATTCCAACCAAGAAATCTCAAACCTTCACTACCTATCAAGATCAACAATAAACTGTCACCATCTCAGTTTTTGAAGGAGAAAGACCACTTGTTAAAGACAATCACAAGTTAGGAACATTCGATTTGACAGGTATCCCACCAGCTCCAAGAGGAACTCCTTAAATTGAAGTTACTTTCGAAATTGATGCCAATGGTATCCTCCAAGTTGGTGCCCAAGATAAGGGAACTGGAAACAAGAATCAAATTGTTATCACCAACGATTCAGGAAGATTATCAAAGGAAGAAATCGACAAGATGTTGAGAGAGGCTGAAGAATTTGCTGATTAAGATAAGGCTGCTAAGGAAAGAATTGACGCCAAGAACTCTTTGGAAAGTTACATCTACTCAATGAAGAACCAAATTGAAGTAATAACTTATATTTATCAATTTAGGATCCAGAGAAGTTGGCTAACAAATTGTCTGATGATGACAAGGATACTATTAAGGATGCTTTGAAGGACAGCTAAGATTGGTTAGATAAAAATCAAAATGCAGAGAAGGAAGACTATGAAGAGGAACTCAAAGAATTAGAAAAGTATATCAATTTAATATATTCTTTAGAATCTGCAATCCAATCATTAGTAGAGTTTACTAATAATCTGGAAAATAATAATAAGCATCAGATGACGACTACGATTCCGATTTATGATTTATGTATATTTCTGTGTGTTTTGAATTAATTATTCAATTAAACTTTAGAGTCCTTACATTTTTTATAGCTTTAATTCATTTTGTGATATTAATTGATATTAATATTATTTAATATTAATAAAAAACTCACATGCAATAAGGAAACCTCATGTGAGCATAGTTCGGTGAATAAAAGTTTGGTTTATATAAATTGTATTACGACACGTACTAATATGGTCGATATATAGGAAGTGCCTACTAGGCTTAAGAATTATAGTGATGAAATTAAAATGGAGGATTTTAATAGACATTGTTCAAATAAGGAAGATTTTGGCTCTGCAATGTTGATGGAGCTAAAATTATTGAGTTGTTTACGTTAAAACTATAATATTGTTGGAGTTTCTGGGGCTTATTCAAATGGTAAAGTTTTTTATTAAATTCTAAAATTATTATTGACCTCTATTTTGATTTCTTCTCTAATTGTTGATCCAAGTTTTAATTATTCTCGTTTGGCCATTAATTTGAGCAGGAAATCATCAATCAAATTTTATATTGGCTAATTAGGATTCTATATTATGTGTAATAGCAACTCCCTCTCCTCATCATTCGATATCTTCAATAAAATGAGCATAGCTTACCTTCTCTTTTTTTAGGCTTCTCGTAATCCCATTGTATTAGTTCTTAATTTGGTTTTCGCTTCTACCTTTGATATGATGTTGAATCAAGGACCATCGTTTTCCATATTTATAGACCAATTGTATTAGATTCAATTTCTCTTTTGAATCCCACAAACTTTTTTGGATGGCTGGATTCAAGACATTCTTCCATCTTTCTCTTATCTGTTTAGGATATCTCTGTGTCCTAGAAAGTGAGTTAAATTTAATTGTCAACTCAGTCCAATTATTTTTATCGTAAAATTATCTTAAACATTAGTTCAATTTAATTTACTCGGCAATATCTTTCAGAATCTGGTCTTCCTCTCTACTCCATTGGTGGATCCTAAGATTAGAATGCAACAAAGAAATCCATTTCAGTTTTAATAATTATGAATCAACTTATAACACTTCTGAAATCATATCCCAATCTTCATCATCCTATAGATAAACTGTTTATTTACAGGAACCAAGTTTGCCCTTTGTTTCACTTAGAGCAGTTTTGCCACACACCAAATCAATAGATATTTGTCCATTTAATGCCACTTTTTTCTGTTTTTTTGGTTGGTAACACTATATTTCAATGTAGTAACATTTACTTTTAAAATACATTTTCGTAATAATCAATTAAGGAATGATCTGTAGGAAACTTGGTTAATTTGATTTTGACATATTGGCCAATCTTCTCATAATCAAGCTGATTAGCATTCCTTGTGTATTCCATGAATTTCTGCCATTCAGAAGATGCTCCTTCTCTCAATTACATAATAAAATTTAAATATTATAGAAAAGATTCAATACTTATTTTCTCATTAAAAATGAATTGTTTCAAGAAGATTTCTAATTTGTTCTAAATAATTACATTTATTTGAATTACATGATTTTAAGCTTTACATCTCAATTATATTATCAGGTTTTAGAATGATGTTGTATGTAAGCTTGAATTAGTAGTTTATCACATAAAATAGTAATTTTCCCTGAAAAAGACTTCTAAAATTGTTAGCAATCCCCAACTTTAACTTTTAGAATCCAAACAATTTCTAAATAGTAATAAGGTTGTCATCTACTCCAAATTCACATTTTAATATTTCCTTCAGCAAAATACCTGATTGTTCTATTTTTATGTTTTGCAAGTATTCAATCTCGTACGTTGAATAACATAAAATAATCAATATAATTGTAAGATAACTTTAAACAAAGCTTTGAAATTTTCTTTAATATGTACAATTTCCCAATACATTCCTTACTTTCAATAGGCATTAAGACTTGAAATATAAATAAAATTAAATAACAATCTTCATCATTAAGCAATCAAAATCGTTCTAAATAATATGTGTTGAAAAATTAGCTACATATATAGAAATATAAACTCAGAATATAATTTATTCACCACAGATAGTAAATATTAACCGTCAGGTTGTTATACATAACATTTCGAAACATTAAGACTCAGCTATTATATTGTATAATATTTCAGAATAGGCCCTAATATCTTAAAATCAAACGAAATTAAACCATCTTTTAAAAATTCCACATAATCATAATCATAAGTTTAAATCAGACAAAAATTTTAGAAAAAAAAATAATTATAATATTAATCTAAATAAAATAATAATAAGGTTAATATTTATTTTCTACCTCTAAATCTCAAATATATGTTAATTTAAATTCGTTTACACAAGGATATGAAATCAAAATAGGAATCGGTTCTATTCCTATATTTTATTCTTACTGAAGTTTAACCATTTTCACTTTTAAGCATGTACAAAACAAAAAGGTTAATCAAACCTTTAGTAAAATATTTAGATTAGGTTCCTTAAGAAAATTCTTTTGTTTAAGTTAATTAGATGATCATAAGTTTAAATTTCCCATTTGCTTTAATTTTGATAGTATATATCTTAATTTTAACTTTGCTAGTTTTTTTGATTTCTATTTTGTATGTTTTTAAAATTGCACACAAAAATGTCTCAAAGTTGAATATATTAGTAAATACAAAACTCTGAATTCATAAAAGCATAACACTATTTTAAAATTGACTTTTCAGGGAATTCTAACTTTTTTGTTGTTGTTATTATGAATGTTTATTAGTTTATTCGACAGGACTAATCGTAAATGAGTGAATATTAGATTAATTAATTAATAATTTAAAATCAAATAATGATAAAATTCTGCCATAGGTAAATAGTTTGATCAAAGAACAAAATTAATTAAATAAAATCTGTTTAGAATTTATTGAAACCTGTGAATTATATATATGATTTGTTTTCTATTGAATATTAATTAAATTTATTAAAGGCGCCAATATTATGAGCGAATAATAGAGAGGATTGGAAGAATTAGCAAGGCAAAAGAGATAGGCTCAATTATCAAAGAATCCTCCTGTGAAGAGAGAGAAAATAGAAGGAGATCTAGAAGATTTCATAGTGAAAGACATTTAGGAGGATGAATTTTATGCAAATGATGATTCCTAGGAAGAAGAAATTAAAAAAATGCCTGATAATTAACAATAGATCACTCAATATATGGGACAGAATAGAAAGAAAAAATAAACTGGTATTAAGCTAAGCGATGATGCAGATGAAATAGAGTAGGTAATTCAATAAGTAAAAGTTGAAAAAGTAAGTTTAAATTAAGTTGTCACTAACAGCGATGAACTATATAAAGCACAATTCAACTAACCTCTTAAGCCAAAATAAAAATAAGAAATACAAGAGGAAGATCTTGATGAAATTTTGAGTCTTTTGGAGAATTAAAAAGCAAAAGAATAACTAAAGAAAGAGGAATAGTAATAGGCTAAAGCGATGCAATCAAAATAATTGCCTATTCATAGGTAAGTGGAAGTGAAAGTAGAACTCCCATAAATGAAGATTGATTATTCGACAGTCAATTTGAATTAAATTATATAGGGAGATAGAGATGTAATGGATATTGTTGAAAAAAATGGTTCAATACTGTTTTATTGGATTGATATTTATGAAGACCAAATCAGATTTCCAGGAAGTTTATTTGTATTTGGCAAAGTAAAGAACCATAAACATAATGTCTTTGATTCATGTTCGTTATACTTTGAAGATTATCGCAAAACAGTATATTTGTCATATGAAAATGGGAAATATACAGAATAGTAACTAATTTAAGAATGTTAAGCTTTAATGAAAAAAGTATTAGGTTTAGGATCAAAAGATTTTACTTATTAATTTGTAGATAGATAATATGCATTTGAAATTGCTGACATTCCAACAAACCAACAATAATACTTAGAAGTGTCATATACTCTCAAGCATGGATAACAGTTGCCCGTTAGAATTGATAACCCTATATTTAAATATGCATTGCAATCCACTTAGACATTGGTTGAATAATTTTTGATATATAATAAGATACGAGGTCCATGTTGGCTCCAATTAAAATCATGTTAGACTCTTGATACAAAAGAGTTTCATATAAGAACATAACATGCTCTTTAATTGCCTCAAACTGGATTTTAAGTGTATGAAGGAGAATTGCCTCTTCCAAATTTGAAATTGCTAAGCTTTGCATTAACACAATGTAAGGTAGATAAAGAGGAGCAAATTATTGCAATTTCATATACAGTTTAGAATAATATAGATTTGAATGATGCTGAAGTGCCTGAGTAGGTAGTCTATTAAACACTTGCTCGAATGCCCTCTGATGCTCCTCTACCTCCTGGCTATATCAAGGGATAAAACAAATAAGTGAAGGACTTTGAATCAGAATATTCAATGTTGTCTTAGTTTTTATCGAATGTAGAAGCCATAGATCCTGATGGTTTAGTTGGTCATGAAATCTAGAAGAAGAGTATTGAACAACTAGTTGCTCGTATTGCTAAATTAAAGGTGAATGAATGGAACAGGATGAGTAGATTACAAAAGAGAGAACAATTGCCTAAAAATATATTTCTAAGGAGCAAATATCTAATAATCGGTAGATTGGTTATTGATTTATGGGTCCAAGCTAAAGACATGATAAAAAGCAATGATTACAGTATAACATACTTGGCCAAGGAGTTCTTGAAATAGGATTGTTAGCAATTGGATTCTGATGTAACAAAGAATTATACTGAGAATGCTCAAAGTTATTAAACCCTACTGCAATTGAGTTTAAAGGAGACCAAGTTTGTAATTTAGATAACTCAAAAATTGAATATCATATCATTGACTCGTCAGTTGACAAATATTTGTGGGAATGTTTGGAACAGATCCTTACTCAATCAACGAGCTGAAAGGAATGAGATGCTCTTAATGCATGAATTTTTTTTGAGAGGATTTCTATTACCAGATAAAATGAGTAAGATCAATTTGTCAGATGAGGAAAAAGATCAATAGATAAAAGAGTAGGAGTCTAAGAAAACTTATGGAGGTGGGTTAGTATTTGAACCAAAGGCGGATATATATACATAATACGTTTTGCTCTTGGATTTCAATTCTTTGTATCCATCCATCATTATGGAATATAATATTTGTTTCACTACTGTATAGAGAGATAAAATCAATTTCGAAGTTGATAAAACTCAATTGGAAGAGGAACCAACCTAAACTAAACCTTAGAAATCGAATAAGAACAAAAAGAAGAAAGATTAAACTCAAGATGAGAATGATACAACAGAGAAAATTAAGGATTTTATTGGGTCAGTGGATCCAGATGCAGGAAGTGGAATATTACCTTAAATAATTGAGAAGTTGGTTAATATGAGAAAGTAAGCTAAGAAAGAGATGAGCAGATCTACTGGATTAATGAAATAAATTTATAATATCAAATAATTGGCAGTTAAATTAGTTGCTAATTCTATTTATGGGTGTTTGGGATTCAGCAGTTCTAGGTTTTATGCTGTTGGAATAGCTTCATTAATTACTCAAAAGGGTAGATCGATACTTATGGATTCTAAAAATACTGTAGAGAGAAATAATGATGTGATTTATGGTGATACCGATTCAATGATGATTTGTGCTAGATAGGAGAAGAACCTGTCAGAGATATTGGTGTTGGGTACTCAAATTGCTAAAGAAATCAATAAGAAATATAAAAAATTGGTTTTAGCTATTGACGGTGTCTTTGATACACTCTTATTAATGAAAAAGAAAAAGTATGCAGGTATTAAAATTGACAATCTCGAAGACTTAATGACAGGATAAACTGAAATACCAAAATTGAAAAGAGAAGTCAAGGGTATTGATATTGTCAGAAGAGAGTTTTGTGATATTTCTAAGAAAATGCAATCCCATGTCTTGGATATTCTACTGGAAACGAAAAATCGAGATGACATTCATGGTGATTTGATCACGTTGATGCAGGAAATAAGATCAATGTTTGATGCTTTAAGTGGCAACTCAAATGCAGATCCTAAATAGTTAATTACTTAAAATAGATTTATTAAATATGAAATTCCAACTTCAGATTTTATTATTGTTAAATAATTAAATAAAGCTCCTCATGAATATGCTGATACTATTAGTGCTCCTCATGTTTAAGTGGCTTTAAGAATGGTGAATGAGTATGGGAGATCCGCGTAAAGTTTAGTCAATCATTTCATTCGATATGTGATTTGTGATGACCCTACTTAGAAGAACCTGTCATTCAGAGCTTACACTGTCGATGAGTTAATTAACAAGAATTTAACAATTGACTATTACTACTATCTCTCAACCTAGATATTTGATCCAATAGTTCGTCTTTGTAAAAATGTTCAAGTTATCTCAATTCCAGAGCTGGCTCAAATCTTGGGACTTAAAACATATCAATACAAAGAGTAAAATTATATCACTATTCTTTAGCAAAATAAATCATGAATTCCTCGATTTCAAGCTGGAGGAGGAATAGAAACAAGAGTTGGCTATCATAGATTCATTTAAATTCAAATGCCCAGTATGCAAAGATGAGTAGAAATACTCCTAATTTTTTGACCAATAAAAACTATTTGTTAAGCAGTTGATTTGCCAATCTAAATAATGTTCTTACAGTGTTGAAAGTTTAAAATCAATCTCCAACCAAACTAAACTGATGATCAAGAAGGATCTCTCCAATCAATATTACAAAGGATATGTTGAATGCAATAAATCAAAAAGTAAATCAACCAATTTCTGCAGAAAAGGAGTCTGTTTTGGCAGTTGTTGTGAAAAGCAAAAGGAAAAAAAGGTTAGCCACGTAATTGATGAGGAAACAGTCAATATTTAAGTTAAATTCATAACACAGTTTTTAAATAAAGTATTATCCGAAATCAACAAATAAACAATCTAATTAAATCAAAATAAAGCAAGAGTATATTAAATACAAGAGGAAGAATAATTCCATCAACCATTTTGCTATATCAGATTAAATGACATATTTAGAAGAGTTTAAATTTGAGATTATATATTTATCATCAAACCTTTGTTAAACATATGCAATTATAATCTCTTCCTCTAAGTTCCTGGTTCTTAATATTCTCAGCTCTTAGCGATGCAGCTCTGCTAATCTTCTCGACTCCTCCGAACAATCTTTATTGTGTATTCTGACCAGGATTGATAGTTCTCTTATGCATCCATTTAGAATCCATCTCGAAAGTCTGATAAGGATATTATCCTAATTTTCTGGTATGATTGATTTGAGTCAGACTATCATCATATTTCCTATTATCAAACTCGATGTTAGGATTGGCCCTTTAGTATTTTTCCAAGGCTGAAATCACATATATATATTTATACATTATTATCTATTGATAGAATGAATAATTCGACTTTCTTGTTTTTACTTGTATTTCTGATTCTCTTCTTTGTACAATTCAGAATTTTCAATGGTTGGATTGTCAATTCCGATTATTCCTGATCTAATGTTAAAGGTTAATCTACTTATAAGCTTATCTGATCTTCCTATAGGCTTTGTTGGCTTCGCTGAATTCTTCTCTCCATTGATGATATCTTTACAATTGATTATAAAATTACTTCTTTTGCTATTCTTAGGTTTCTTTTAGCTCAGCCAAATATCCTGATGGTTTTTTGAGTGTTATTACTTGTGACAATGCGAGATTTTGTTACTCATAATTTTTTTCAGGTACTTCCAATCTTTTGGTGATAACTTCTTGTGAATGATTGACTGGATGATCAGAAACAATATGATTAATTTTGCTCATGTTCAAGTAATCAATATATTCTGGTATTATTCGAGGTTGTTGTCTACGAAAAAAGAAACTCTGATTCTAACCACTCCCAACCAAAACTGCTTAGTTGTCGAGATCTTAGGTTTATCTCATGCTTGAATATTTGCTATGTTTGAGAAAGGTGTCTAAGTGTTTGGCATCCCAACTGCTTCCAGTCAAAGAACTCTGATTCTCCTCAATCAAAGGCTAACTAATAAAATTCAAGCAATAGGTAACTTTGTTGACTTGGATAGACCAGACTGAACACTCGGCATCATTTTAACTGTTTTAGTTTGAGCTTCTTGCTCCATTCTATAAAATTCACGAAAATTGCTTCTTCCGACGTCTTATATCTTCTCCTTCTATCTAAATAACATTTAATATCGTGATTTTATATTACGCCTAACAAGTTACAATACTACTGTAATATATTTTAGTTCACTCTCTCTTATATTCCTAATCAGCCAATCAAATTGCAGAATAGACACATTAAGTATTGAGTATTCAAGTTTATTTTCAAATTAATAAAAATGGCACCATCAAAATCACCAAAGGCAGAAGCCGCAAAAAAGACAGTCAAGACAGTCAAGACCAAGAAGGGCTCAGATGACAAGAAGAAGGCAAGAAGACGATAAGAGACTTTCGCTCTCTACATTTACAAGGTCTTGAGATAAGTCCACCCAGAAATTGGTGTTTCAAGAAAAGCTATGAACATTATGAACTCATTCATCAATGATATCTTCGATAGAATTGCCCTTGAAGCCAGCAAATTGGTCAGATTCAACAAGAGAAGAACACTCAGCTCAAGGGAAATCCAAACCGCAGTCAAGTTGCTCCTCCCAGGAGAATTGGCCAGACATGCCATCTCTGAAGGAACAAAAGCCGTCACCAAATACACAAGTGGTTGACTTATAAAAATTTAATTCATGTCAAATTAAAAATGCCCTCCATTTTCCCAATTTTCACACTTTTAGAATCCTTTCTATTCCTGCTTCCAATTACTATTTTTCCCAAATTTCATACATCCAGCAAGCTATATTTCCACTTCAATAAATATCATCATGTTTCCTAAGGCACACAAACAAAAAATAAAATTTTAGAATTTTGTATATAACGTTTCTCTATAACTATCTTGAAGATATCAATGAATTTAACCCAATAGCAGATAAATACATGGAGAATTATTTTCTGCAATTATTATTAAAAATAATTATATAAAATCATGGAATTATAATAGAAGATTGGAAGATTCGCTATTTTATTTTCTTTGTTGGATTTGCAATATTTTAATTAAATAACCTCTTAGAAGTTATTGAAAAAAAAAATTACTTATCCACTCAGATAATTGACTACATTTAAAATTTAACAGAATTCTAATCTTATATGAATTTTATGAGATTAGAGCAATACCCTGGAGTTGTGTATTGGTGTGCCCTATTAAATATTTATTTGGCCCTTGGATTTCTACTTAATTGGAAGTATGTAAAATCAATTGGTATTCTCTATTTAATTTTTTGTACACCTTTTGTAAATAATCCTATATTTTCACAATCTATTGCAGATTCATATTTATTTTAAGGAATCATAGGAACCTTAATGTTGGCTTGATTTATGAATCAATATATATATTTTATTAATCCAATATATTAATGATCAATAGAATCCATGATATATCTTATTTTTGTTGTACTAAAATTGAATGAAATCTCAAGAACTCTATTCTCTACATGATTATATAACAAAATACTCATAACTTTTAACAATAGAGAATTCAATAAATATCCAAACTATAACTTTTAAATTATTCCCTTTAATTTGAATTTCTTAAATAAAAATTAATCATTCTAATTCTATTGTGTAAGTATGAATTTAAGTTTGCTTAGAATATTAGAGGTTCCTCGCAATGTGAATCATTAAAGTAAGTAATTTTTAAATTCAACTGGATTTCTCTATTTTTACCATTTAAAGAGCTAAGGTATTTTTAGTTATCACAATTTTTAGTGGGAGAACTTTTGATTGCAAGATATCTAAAAAAGATGGATAATATTTTATATATTTTTAGAATTAAATTTCTCCTTGAATAATTAATAATAAATTATGAAATTAGTGAAACCGCCTCTCTAGGTTAAGGAAAAATAATGGGATAATCGTTTTTATTTGGGAAAGCTGAGTGATCACGAAATTAAGAAATAGTTTATGATTAAGAAGAAATCTGTAAGAAGACCAACATCAACGAATAAAATTGTAGCAGATGAAAAACCGCAAGCAATACGGCTTTATGAATTACAATTATTGTGGGAATAATTCCGTATTCCTCAATTTCATAGGGCATACTTTCTTCAATATAATGAAAAAGATCTTGATGCTATTTTAAGAGAAACTGTTGAAATAAAGTTAAAGTAATCAATAGTACAAAAGTTAATGAGTCTAATTAAAGGTAGGGAGAGATGTTTAAATTATTTAAAAACTGAAACATTTGAAGAACATAAATTCTCAGAGCTTTTATTTCATCTTAGAATTTTAACAGTCAATGTTATTGAGCAATTTAAAAAATGGAGAGATTCCCTCAATAGATGTGTTAGGTGGAGAATAGACGAAATAGATTATCTCGTGAAATTAAGAACAGACATAGATTTTTTAAAAGAATACTATTAAGATTACTAGAGAGACCCATTTATGTTGTGGTTGTATAAATTAGGCAAGTTTGACTCAGTGCATTCGAATTATCATTAATTATAGAAAGACATGATGAAAAGAATTCGTGATTGGTAATCATATATTATATTTTCAGTGAAATATTACTCATAGAGAATGATTACTTTGACATGTAAACCAACATTTTATCAAGAAAGGAAGCCTAACTGATAAATAAATATCTAAGAGAATCTACAATTCAAATGGAAGATTAACTAAAAATTTAAGAGTTAAAACCTGTTAGTCCCAATATTAAATAGACTAAAACAGTTTAAATTTAGGATAATCTGAATATCGTTCCATAAATAGTGAGAAATAAAGATTAATTTACCTAGCTATTGAATCAAGTTAAAAATGATAGCGATATTGAGAGTTCATTTCCAATGAGAGACAATTTATTTGAAACAATTGATTTTCAGGATTGTCATATTTTAGCATTTATGCAGCATTAAAAAATTAAAGGCTTTTGCATTAGTTAAAGCGAACAGTCTGAATAATATCGTAAAGTTATTATCGAATAAATAAAATTGGAAAGTTTGCAGCTGTTTCCTCAATTCATCTAATAATTAACCAATTATTTAATTGGAAATGAAATAACAATCAAATTGGTTCATTATATGTAAAATGAAAAACTAATTGACTGTGAGTAATTGAAAGTTGCATTAAAACAAGAAGGATTCAGATGGAAGTAATAGACAAATGATTGTGAAAGAAATATCAGATATACAATTTACTATAAGAAGAAGGAATATCAAAACTAAATAATGAATCAATTTAAATTTAATTTTCATGTTCATAGTACAAAATTAAATTAATTGATGCAATTGGTTTATAATAATATTCATGAAACCACTGATATAGCTTAAAAATTTAAACGATATGCTGATTCAAGGAAATTTGAACACAATCCTCCTCAAATAAAATTGAAACCGCAAGTCAATGATGACAGAATAATTTTGTTGGATCTAAAAATTAAATTACCAGCTTTTAAAACTGAAGTTAGAAATGAATATAAATATTACAGAATTGTATTTAAATTATTCATAATTAGATTTAAGAACCTGAAATAAGTAATATTTCTTTTATAGAGGTAGATGGACAAATTATATATGCCTTATCCTTATTGGACAATGATTATAATATCCTTATTTCTAAAGATCAAATCAATCATGAAACAATTTAAATATCCTAATTTTAACCGACCTAGGAAGATCTCTCAATTCCTATGTTTTGTTATAATGATGAAATAGCAGACATCTTTAATCATCACATCAAATTGCAATTTGAACACTTCATGATAATCAATAGAAAGCCTAACACTCAATAATAATCAATTGAAGTTAAGCCTGAAACCTTTTATTTTTCCATACTCTATGAAGGACATATAATAAACTCATTTAAGATACAGCAGCATCATCTGATCAAATTTAAGCCATTCAAGTCATAACTCAAGATAAGTGATGATGTAAAAATTGATACATCTAAATTTATTTTACCGTGCTTCCCATTGATTTAGAAAACTCTTGAATCTGAGCCACTAAAAGTCATTATCAAGAATTATGAATGTATATGTGCTTTGGACAATTATGCGAGTCCTAGAAAATGGATTATTTATACAATAGTTGGATGCCAAGAGAATCAATTCAAAGATGTGCTTGAATCTTTAATAACTTAATTGACCATAATTGATCCGAATATTTAAGAAGTTGGTATTGCGTAATTTATATGGATAATCTAGTTTTTATCATGAACTGGTGAATGGTGAATATACTGTAAATAAAAATGTTTAGAAGCAACTTACATCCCTTGGGTTCAAGTGGAAAATATAGATTAATGAAGCCAATGAACACACAAGATTTACTAAATATTTATTAAAATTGCAGAGAGAGACACAAGTTGTCGACAATGTAGTGGTTCAGTATTTTTGTACTCAAGACTTTGCAGATGTCAACGTTCAGCCCTTAATTCAATAGTTTTCAATATTTTATTAAACTTTGACTCAATCTCAATTAGTTGTAAAGAGGGTATCACATTCAATATATTGATAGAACAATCTAATTCCTTTTTCAAAGTATTACACTAAGGATATTCCTCCTGAATTATAGACTGATTCAATGTTAGAAACTAGAATTTCATAAATTTTATAAAATTGCAAGTATGGAACCAAGAACAGCATCGATTACATCATTTTTAATGTAAGTGTAACTATTAATACGAAGAACTAAGTTATTACAAGTAATAAGCATCCTGAGTTGGGGACTATTTACTTTATTCAACTCTTTGACATCGTCTTATGTTTCTATCAATTGGAGAAGGAGATTAATATAGAACGCATTGCGAATTTGATTTAATAAGTAAGTACTTCACATATGATAAGTCTACAAGTGATGAGAATGAGCTATAGGAAAGCTTAGGGGTTGAATTCAGTCAATACAGCAAAGCGGGTAGCAACTACTCCATGGAGATCAACTTAAGTATGGAGAAGCGCATCGCCATTGAGATGTAGGATTTTAAAACTATATCGAAACCTTACTTTATTGGCTTGATTGAGCCTAATTGGTATGAGAAACATAATTAGATGATAGCATCTATGATAATATTATGAAATTTATTTTATAATGCTAATTAATGAAGAAGTTTTATTTTGAGTTTTTGGGTATTCATTTATAAAATTCATTTAATTTCTTTTAAATCCAAGTATTTGTATTTCCAATCATTTGACATTCGATCAATTTCTGGAACTTCCAAACATACAATCCCAAATACAGAAGATAGAATGATGGAACAAATCATAAATGGACGAGCATATCTGAGACCCTTGCCAAAGGATAAACTATCAAAATCATGATAGAAGAAGTGGAAGTCCCTCAACATTCCTTTCCCAAGTTTCCAATTATCCATAATTAATATTATTAATTTTATGAATACTTATGACAATCAATAACGAAATGTAACTTAAGTTAGGTTTGGAACCGAACAATCAGTTGCCTCCTCTATTTCAGCCTTTCCAAAACGAACCCAAGTTGAATTATTTTGTTATCGTCATCCAGACAGATTTATACATTAAGGATGCACAGCGTTGAACTGTTAGAAAATGATTATGTGTCCATAATGTAACACCGATGATGACATCCATTATCAAGAACACAAGGAGGACATCGTTGAATTCCCTCATTTTTTAGAAATCCTGGCATCAGAGATTAAAAAAGTCAATAGAAATGATAGCATGTAAGCATTATCCATAATTAAGGTTATACAATAAGAATGTTAAATAGCTATTAGAAAAGGAACACACTTATTTACTAGAATACGATAATCTATGTAAAAAATAGGTGAAATACTTTAATCAATTAATTGATGATCAAACCTCCTTAATTATGCAACATTTCTATGTCTTAAGACAAACCATTAATGCATTCTTTGACAGTAATTACTTTAACAATAAATAGATAGAGCAATTCAATACTTTTTCAAATAATATTCATTTCTTTAAAACCCAGTACTAATAAATTAACCCTGAAGAAACCTTGGCTCGATATGGAGATGTGCCCCAAATAGTTGCTAAATTATATGCCAAAAATCCTTAGTAATGCTTTCACTTCTTAAATAATTTGAGAAAATCAGCCAATATGGAAGGCCAATTACTTTCAGACCTAGACTATATTTCTAATATGGTTTTGAGAAATTATGAAGATTCGTCTTTCTTTCTCTAGGAGTTTGCCTTAAATCAATTAAAAAACTCTGTTGCTGATATGATAGATCAAACCAAAATTGCAGTCAATGACAGCTTGAAACAAATACCAAAACTTACCTAAGATGTTCATGCTAGTGTTGTGTCTTAAGCATTTATCTCTTACAATCGTCATCAAGTGAAATTGGCTTAACCTGAATTATTTGAAAACAGAAAATTTAGATTCGCCAACGTAGCTCAGATACAAACTCATCACTCAAATAGTGTTACTGCCCTGGTAGCACTTTCACATGACATACTTGCTACAAGTTCATATGATCGAACAATCAAAATCTGGAAGATTTCATCAGGTGAACTTCTGAAAACAATTTATGATACATGTTGCATATCTAGCATGATTAGTTTGAAAATAAAGAATGATAAAAACACATAGGCTGATTCCTATACAGATGAGGAGAATTCACAATTGCACAATCAAATACTAAAGGGTAATTTGAGTAATTCAGGATTTTATTTGATAACTGGAGGGTTTGATAAATAAATTAAAGTTTGGGATTTTGACATCATGATTAAGGATAATTAATATGAAATGGATCGAATTGCTAAATATGAATCCTCGTTATTGAGTCAATCTTATAACCTATCAGTCTTCCCTATTCACACATTGAAGGGTCACAATAGTTGGATTACTGCTCTGCTCTCTTTTAATGATGAAAGAAACATAGCAGCAGGTGATGACTCAGGAGAAGTGATAGTGTGGGACATAATCAATCAAGTCCTATTGTATCGATTAACTCATATAAGAAATCCAGGAATTGTTCCATTTCTCAGTCTCACTATTCCATTTTAATAGTTTTGCTGTTCTTCTGGAACTTATTTAAGAATTTACTCATGTAATTTTTTGAATCTATATGATTTTAGTGTTTTATAAGTCTCAAGAGGAAATATATCCGAATCCAAAATTTAAAGAAAGACTAGAAGCTAAATTTGCTCCCAAAAAAAATCCTATTTAGATCGCTCCACAACTATCAAATGTCTAGTTGGATAAGGAGATTGATATTTTTTGGGGAGTCACAGGATGCATAAGTCCAAGTAATTATCCGAATCTTCTTATCGTTTTTGGTAATCAACCAAACAAATTAAAATATGTTATGCTTAATAAAAATAAAGTTGTTGAGATTAACACGGATAATGAAACTTATTGTGGGCAATTACTTTTGATTGAAAAACATAGAATTCATGATACTCAGATGGACTAATTTTATAAGAACATAAATTTCATAATGATGGGAGATAAGAGTCTCGCAGTATATGATGGCTATGGTACAAAAATCCGAGCATTGGAATCACAGATGGATGATCTTTATGCTAGCAATATTTTATGTTAAAGGAATATGTAGATTCTGAAGCTTGAGAAAAGAAGTGTGAAAAAAACACTGAAATTTGCTTGCGTTTCACAATACGGCACCCAAGATTACAAATACAAGTCAGCCAGAATAACCCTTTTTGAAATTTCTTATGATACCATATGATGTTGTGATCAAAGTAGCATTTTCAATAAAATCTTTATATTATTTATAAAATTAGTAGTTCATTGATTTTAATAATGCTTCATATATATATATACTTTTATAAGATTATTAACTCGAAAAGAATACAATGGAGGAGGTCTTAAATTTTAAATAGAGAAACATTGAATTTGAATTAATGGATGAGATCATTGTTAAAGATATGGAGTTATGACGAACTTATTCGTACATATCTTTCGAGCATAATAAGGTAATTACGCAAATATAAATTAATTAAAAATCTTATGTTTTAATTGTATGAGAATGCCGAGAATTCAACCTACTCTTTTGAGTTCAAGTTGGATCTAACGTTGTTGAATGTGTTGCGATCATTCACACACAAAGATCATGAATTTCAGGAGGGTATAAATTGATATGATTTAAGGATATTTGGAATCAATTTATGCGTTGTTGTACTACTATCAGGGGAAGCCAGAGAGTGAGTTATTTTCAGAGTACTGTGCCTAGAAGGGAAATCACACAATCGAGGCTTTAATATTTTAGGGTAATATTAATTGAATATACGTAGTGCATTATTATATTGCATCGCTAGCAAATTTAAATTAGTTGGTGGGATTCCTGAAGGCAGACGAGAACAAAGTTATCCCATTATCGAGAAGTGATATCAACAAAACAAATATCTTGTCAGTGCATTCCATCACAGATCGAGTGGGTTCCATAAATAGCACTGTATTGGTGAGCAAGTCTTAGACTGTGAAACCAGAGTATCTCGATTTAAGAGTGAAGATATGCACCTATGAGAATAAAGAGGAAGGAGTATTTTCTATAGATTACAATGTGCTTTCATTGGCAATCTAAGCCAAGGGTAAGTTGGATCCATTGGTAGGAAGTCATTTGGCCAATAAATTGAATAAGATGTTTAAATTGGAGTTGTATCACATTCTATTGCATTTTGCTGATAAGAAAGGGTAGGTGACAGAGAATTATGATGAAAGATGCATGATCATTGTAAATGGAGTCAGCAATTTCTCATTTCACAAAAAGTAGTTCGCTGATTTGAGAGATAAATTCATTAGACTCTCCTATGGAAATGTGGAGAAGAATGTCGATGAAATAACGAAGTTACTAATGGACTTAGACTAAGATGTCGGTAAATCAATTATAGCAAGAGATACAAAGAGTAATCATTATTTGGAGAAATTATTGGTTGGTTTGTTGGGAAATCCATTGTAATTGATAAGAGATCAAGCAATTATTTTATTGAATATTTTATATGATGGTGTGGATTGGTAAAAGAGAATACCATTCAAACCTAAGATAACAAAGGTTGGATCTAAATTTGATATACAATACTTATTTGAATATGATTCATCATATCCTTTAAGTTCAATTGTTATACTATTGAAGAGTTACATATTTGATTCTGGATGCAAACAAAACATAGTATCATGGCACAAACCTAAATTGAGTGAGTATAGTAATTAGGGAGATAAGAAGTATATGGCATTTAAGATGGACTTCGGTAGATTCAAGAGATGTGGTTTTTATGATTGGAAGTTAATTAGAATGACAAATTCTGGTAAGTTGCAGAGTATTCAGAAAATTATGAATTTGGACGAATTAAAAAGCAATGTTGAAATTACTTCTCTTCAGATGATGGAAGCAAAACCAATACAAGGAAGATTCATAGTTCATCCTAGAGATTCTAAGAACTTACAAATTCATGAGATTTATGTTGATTTATTAGATGCTAAACCAGATAATCAAGGGAAGTTCACAAAGAGGGGAAATTTCAGAAAAGTTCGTGAAAAAATACCTGATTTAGTGTAATCAGGAATTAATTGCGTTTATTTAATGGGTACTTTAGAGAGAGACAATGGATTAATGATTGATTAGGACAAATAGTAAAAGTTGTTTAAGAGACCAGATGTCAGTCCATTGGCCATTACTTGTAGATTAACACCTAATTAAATGTTGGGAGGCAAAGAGGAGTTTATGCAATTGAATAAGGTTGCTCAATAAAATAAATTAAGAATAATAGTAGATATGGTTACACGTATCAGTAGTGCAAGACCTCATCGAAAATACAGAAAGGATTTGGTATATAGATTAGATGAGTAAGGAAGATCAGTTGCTATGTTTGGTACTGATGGAAGATCTATCCATTTTGAAGATACAATTATTTTGAACAATAGAAAAAAGAGAGTTTGGGATGTGTTATTGGAAGAAATGATAGAATTGACAACTTAATACAATATTCAAGGAGTTCATTTGGACAATGGATCTTCATGGCCATAAATCTTTTCTCTTGATTTGGATGAGATGTATAGAAAGGACAGTGATGGAAATCAAGCCTATTCCAATAAATAAATCTTTAGCGGTGAAATCTGTTTATAAAATGAGGATTGTGGTTATTGGGGTTCGAGTGTCAAAAACCTATATCCTAATCCATTTTTAGTAAAGATTTGTAAGTCCCTATGGAGTAAGTTTCCCAACTTTTTGATTGTGGCAGAAGCTTGGGGTGCCATGGGAGAATAAGAAGAAAGAGAGATCAATCTCATTTAAAGTGGTGTGATACCTAGATTATTCAAGTTACCAATTGCTATTGCATCAATATTTGGTGAAAATTTGAAGAAGGATGGTACTATGGTCAAGATGGAGAGAAAGAATGTTAATGCAATTAAAAAGTGGATTGAATACACAGCCAAATAATATCCAGCAGGTAGTATCATAGTTTAGAGCACAACATATAATTCATGGCCATATCCTGCTTTGATTTATAAAAGAGGTACATGGGCAGCTGTAGATTTGTTCTTTACTTTGTAAGATATCCCAATGACTTTTATGGGAGAGGAAGAAGGATTCGCATTTCGAGAAAAAACAACTAATGTGTTCAATTATGTGACAAAACATGAGAATTCAGAAATCAAATTGTAAGATCCAACTTAATAAAAAACACCCTAGAGATCACTCAAGAGAGCAGAGTCTTATGTTTAAGTTAATGAGGATTATGGATTTGGATACAATACATTAACACATCAAGTCTAATTATAGATAGCATAATCACCTGCCAAATCCAGTAATAGTGGCTAACCTGTACGAGTACAAAGTGGTTCATCATTGTCATAGATGGACATCTCTAATATCGCAACAGCTTAGGAGAATTTTAGAAGAGAAGTAGGACCACAATTTGGATTCGATTTATAACAAATTGGAAAACATTATGTTCACATTAGACAAATGAGAAAACAACATAAAGTGCTAAGAAATGGATAGATGGTGTCATTGTCTGCTGAACATATGTATGGATGGCATACACATGTGTTGGCATTTGCCAGATACTCTAAAGATGAAATGGCCTTGATTGCTATCAATTTTAATGATGGTGAAATTGATATGTTTATGAATCTCAGAAACTTAAGATATTATTTCCCTAATTCAGAGAGATCTAATATTGTTGTAAGATTACGAAATTGGTCATATCCTGATTTGGAGAATGAAGAGACAAGTTACTTTTATATTGGCAACTTTTTGACATCCAGATTAGAGGTTCATCTTAAGAACTTTCAGTCTTAAATTTGGGGAGTTGAAATCTTAGGTAACTCTTAGGAAGTCTAATAAAAAGCTTAGAAAAGTGCATTGATTCGATTGTAATAAAAGATGTCTTCAAAAATACCATTAACTATCTATGGAAATGATGCCGCCAATAAGTTGACATTATTAACAGACAACTTGAATTCCTTGTAATAATTTATCAATGGCTTTTCTCACTATTATACTCAAGTGATTAAACCAAATAACTTTGATTTGAATAGGTTGATCAGTTAAATGAAGGATTTCCAATCTAATAAAGTGAGATTGTGTAAGCTTTTTGCATTCTTCTAATCAATACTTGGAACTCAAGATAAGAATTTGCCCTTCTATGACACCCTCTAACAATTGATTAATCTTAATAAATTAGGACCCATGTGTTTCTGTACTCCAGAGTTGGGCAAATGGACTACAACTGGTGGATTGGGAGTTATGGTAGATGAATTAACATAAGAATTAGCTAAAATGAATGAGGAAGTCATCTTGATCACTCCTTATTATCATAGAAATAAAAAAGGGGAAACAGGATATATTCTTAGTGATGGATTCGAGCACATAAGAAATATCGAAATTTGGATGTAAGGTGAAAAGATAATAATGGGAGTTTTTGAAGGAGTTTTCAATGGAGTAAGATTGTTTTGGTTACATAATGAACAATATTTCCCATCTGCATATGCTGGTGAAGATGCAAGTTATGTTATGAAACAATTAACAGTTTATGCTAAAGGATGTTTAGAATTATTATGTTAAATCAAACTCATCCCTTCATTAATTGTCACTAACGATTGGTTCTGTGGTTTAATTCCAGGATATCTCAGAGTAAGAAGATACGGTGAAGCCTTCGCTGGTACTAAATCGTTTCACATTGTTCACAATTTGGATCCATTATATGAAGGAAGACTTTATCCAAAACCAAATGAAGGAACATTAGATTATATTCATGAACTCCCTAACGAATTCTTTGTTGATCCATTCTGGCAGAATTTAGTTATTAATCCATCCAGATGCCCATTGATTACATGTGATAATTGGGGAACAGTTTCTTAATCTTATAAATATGAATTGTTAGAGTCATCCCCATTAGCAAGTGTGTTAAGGAGACATCCCAATCCTTTTGCTTTTCCTAACGGTATCAGAAGAGAACAAAGATTCAAGGTGATTATGGATAAAACCAACAATGATCATTTGAAGGCCAAAGAATAATTGTAAAAGAAATATTTTGGTTGTTCCTAACTTGAAAATCATATTGTTGTACTAGGCTTTGTTGGTAGAGTCACTAAACAAAAGGGAGTTCATCTCATATTGGAAGTGGCTGAAGAACTCATCTAAAGAAGTCAGGGCACTGTGCAGATATTGGTTGGTGGACCTGCTGACATGAAAGAAGAATACAGTGCATATTGTGCTTAGAATATGATTAGATTGAAATCTATTTATCCAAGAAACTTTTGGGCTGATCCATCTGCATTCTTTATGGATGGTACCTTAGTGAATGTTGGTTGTGACTTTGGATTAATGCCATCATTATTCGAACCCGGAGGTATAGTTCAACATGAGTTCTTTATCGGAAGCACTCCAGTTATTGCCTTTAAGACTGGTGGGTTGAGAGATACTGTTCATGAATATGATCAGAAATAATAGAAGGGATCAGGATTCATTTTTGATAGTTACAATAGAGGAAACTTCCTATATTCTATAGACAGAGCACTCTAATTATATAAGAATCAAGACTAGTACACTTAACTAAGAAAAAATGCTTTTGATGCAGCTATTGATGTTGCTGATGTGAGCAGAGCATGGGCTTAAGAATATTACAGATTATTTGAAAAGAACTTTATAGATAAAGAGTTAGTTTAATAAATGGTGGGACAAATTCAATAAGATTATAAAGAATTAAAGGAGCAAGAGCTTTTTACTAAAGAAGAAGGAAGAGTAATTAATTTAATATCTATATTTAGGTATTTTCAAATTAGGACAAAACCCTCAAGAATTTTGAAAGGATTTTGGCTCATGCAAAGAGATCCAATTTGAGATTACATTAATTTGTGTATCGATCAACTAGACTGTTGCAACCAAGACAAGTAGCAGTTTCTGGTTCATTTGATGAATGGAAGGAGAAACATAAACTCAAATTTGATCATTTCTCCAAGGTCTGGAATGTTACCCTGAAACTCCTTCCTGGAGAATATTAGTATTTAATTCTTATTATCCTTAGTTATAAATTCTATGTTGATGGAGAATGGATTTGCACTGACGACGATCTTAAGGATAACGACATATATGGAAATATAAATAATTTTGTTATCATTTAATGAGCGATGGAATGATATTAATAATCAAATAACAGTAAATATCAGTTAAATAATTTAATTCATTCAACTTCCATTTTATTTACTATTTAAGAGATCAATTTGATTCAAACTTTGGTCTTTTTAAATAAAATTAATCTAGCCTTACTCAATTTTCACATATATTCTTACCAACTTTTGAAATACCAAATTATTCTTTAATGAATTCATTGAACAAATTCTATTAACACTTCTAAGGTTGGTTCCGAAGCTAAATTGCATTTTATAAACAATCATTTCTAATTGGAGTAATATTAAAGAAATTTCTTTTTTCTTAAAAATCTGTGGCCATAACATCTGTGGGTATTAGCCATTTTTTAAATGGAGCCTTATATTAAAAAGCTATTAGTAATGCAGGCTAAACAGAATCTTTATACCTAAATAATAAAAAACGATAAGCTGCTATTATCTGTTGTAAGCTCAACTTAACACTAAATCGGATTTTAAATATAAATTTAAAAAATCGACCAAGGCTATGTATTCAAAAGATTCATAGAATTAATTGTTTAATCGGTAACCAAATTCTAGCTATGGTTAGTATTTAAATCTTAAAATCTTAAAATCTTAAATACAAAGTTCCAAAAGATCCTAATCAAAATTTTTAAATTTAGGTCTAAAATTGTAAATTTAAAAGTTGATTCAGCAAATGCAGAGGAATTTTTGTTCAGTTTTGGTTAATTATGAAATTAATATGAAGGATACTTCTTTAGGACGAAAATTAAAAAAAGCCAAAGTAATGTGCTGAGCAAGTAAAAGATAGCGTAGCAATTAAAAATTAATAGAAAAAAAATAATTGTTTTAGTAATTTGTCATATTTCATTTAGAAAGGAGAAGAATGAGAGTAAAGATTAAAAACAATGATGGTCAATTATAGAGGTAAAGAATAAATGCATTTTGCTTATTATTACATCCTCATTTAAATTTAATTGCTATTACAAAATATTTATATTAATAATTCAATATTCAAAATTTTGTTAAATATATTTAGTAAAAGAAGGGTCCAATTAAGTTTAATCAGTATAAATATAAAATATTAAGAATGTCTTGTAATTCTATAAACCTTATTAATATATTGATTAAATTTAGATAGAGCTTTAAGGGCTAAGAATCTTCAAAATGATTCGATTCACAATGCATTCAATTTCAAATGATTTTGAAGAATCTAAATTAATTGATTGATAAAATTATGATTCTATATCTTCAATTTGATCTTTATGTTCAAAAATATAAGAAAACTATATTAGTTTAAGATCTTGATTAGGCTAGTCATTTTTATCATTTGTCGAACTTTGTTAAGCATTTTATTTATCAATTGATAATTGAATACAGCTCTTAGGTTCGGATATCTTCAAAATCTTATTAAAAATATTAATTAAAAGCTACGTTAAGAGTTTGCTATTTAATGTAATTACTTATAATTCTAAATCATTTGAGCAGTTTAATAAAAATTACTTTCGATGTTATTAAGTATAATATATATAGTAATCTAGCAAAGCGTCGTTAAGTTTTTCAATTGTCAGTGTTTCAAATTATTACTTTAAAAATGATATCCTACCTTTTTATAAATATATCAAATGATTCTTTATGTAGTTTAAAGAAAATTAAATATTACTTTAAGATTTCCTCAAAATTTCATTTTCAATATATAAATGATCATTAAGATTTAACAATGATTTATAGAGCTCTTCAAATTTGTTTCCAATTACCAGAAGTACTGATTTAAAACTTTCATTTAATTCCTTTATAATATTTTCGTATTTTTCAATTTAATGTCTTGCTTAATTTTCTCTAATAGAGAGAAAGAAATGAGTTTAATGATTTTCAAATTTCAAAATGTCAATTAAATATTTTTCTTTTCCATTATTAGTTTCAATTTAGAATCTATCTTAGTTGAAATAATCTTCCTTCTGTTAAATCAATTCAAAGAGATATTCTTCTAAATTTATTGTTTTATGTATTTATTTATTTAAACTTCGATATGAACTTTAGTTATTTCGATTTATTATTGATTAGCTTCTTAAAAATTCCTTTACATTATTCTCATTTAAATCAGTTTTATATAGAGATTCAAATTTCTTATTAGCAAACGAAAGTTGAAAGCTTCTTGAATTCTCATCATACATAATAGAAAATAAAGAATCATTTGTAAACTCATACAAAATCGATCTAAGTTATACACAAATTTTACTTTTATATTTCAACTTATTTGCTAAGAAAAAATTATGATCTTCGATTACTTTCATATATATATGTCTATACGCCCAATAAAAAAAACATCGATAATGAACAAACCATATATTAAATATATGCAAGTTCAAATGGAACAAAGAAACCTATTATTATCCAATTAGTTATTAGCACATATAATACTTTCATTCTATTATCGCTATGTTACAAAACACAAGAGTGCAGTACTCCGGATGTAATACCAAAATTATAAAGAGGACTTAAAATCAATAAAATTCTTACACTTAAAATCCAATATAAGCTAGGGCTACCCCTCCTGCCACATAACTAACATATAAAATTGAAATAATAGGCTTTAAACAATTTTTAAATTTCTGGCTAAAGAACAATATTATAAGGTGCATAATGAAAAAAACAGCCAACAAAATACTCAAATATGCAGATTAATCTTGAATTATAAATACCAGCATTCCAAAAAAGCAAGGTAACATAAGAGTAACCAATAATGCTCTAAAAAATAATAATCTTTGATTATTAAGATAGTTGTCATATTCTGTTTCTTCAATAGGATTAGAAGATGAAAGTGTCCATACCTTAAAGAAATTTGTCATCTTTATGATATTTATTTGCAATCTTTTTAAAAATAATTATTATATGATCCAATTAATTTATAAAACATATGTACAAAAAATTTTAGAGTTAAATGATAAATTATGTTTGAGGATGATTTTGAGTGGTCGAATTTGAATTTTACTGATATAATTACAATTTACTCTTAAATATATCATAACACCATTTTTCTCAACTAATTCCTAATTTCAAGCTTGTTAATACGAATGAATATTAAGGAAATGGTTTGAGATGTTTAAAAAATATGGGTATAAAAAACGTGAAGATAATTAATTAAAAAGGAATTTAGTATTTTATAGCTTTTTTAATTTAATTCAATTATCAAAGTTTATATAAATCAACATATTTAGTAAAAGATGGATCCAATTGAGTTTAATCAGTATATATATAAAATATCAAAGTTGTCCTGTGATTTTTTAATTTTTCTTAATAAATGGATGAAATCTAGATTGAGCTGTAAGGGCTTAGTATCTTCAAAATAATTTAATTCACAACACATTCAATTTAAAATGATTGTTGACAATCTAAATTAATTGATTAAGAAAATTAGAATTCTAAATTGTCTATAAGATCTTTGTGTACAAAAATGTAAGAAAACTACATTAAGTAAATTTCTTAATTGCTAGTTTAATTTGTAGCATTTAACAAATGATATTGTATTAGTTTTCTATCAATTTATAATTAAATAGAACTCTTCTCATCCGATATCGTTAAAATCTTATTGAAAATATTGATTAAAAGCTAAGTTAATAATCTCGTACTTAAAAATATTGATTAAAAGTCTACTTCGCTCAAGTAAACAAATTAAAATTATTTATGGTATAATTTACTATAATGATGGAAGTATTCAGACAATGCTTCAATTAACTTTCGTACTTTAAATTAGTCAAATTATTATCTTAAAAATGACATTTTTTCTTTCTATAAGAAAATCATATAATTTTTTAAATATATTAGAGAATATTAGATGTTGCATTGCTATTCTTTAATGAGATCAGAACTCTCTTGAAGATTATCTTTTAGTTTTAGTATTTATTTATATAATCTTTCTAATCTATGCGAAATTATTAAAATTACAGAAATAAAAATCGTATTTAAACATTTTATTTTATTTTCGTATTTTTCAATTTAATGTCTTGCTTAATTTTCTCTAATAGAGAGAAAGAAATGAGTTTAATGATTTTCAAATTTCAAAATGTCAATTAAATATTTTTCTTTTCCATTATTAGTTTCAATTTAGAATCTATCTTAGTTGAAATAATCTTCCTTCTGTTAAATCAATTCAAAGAGATATTCTTCTAAATTTATTGTTTTATGTATTTATTTATTTAAACTTCGATATGAACTTTAGTTATTTCGATTTATTATTGATTAGCTTCTTAAAAATTCCTTTACATTATTCTCATTTAAATCAGTTTTATATAGAGATTCAAATTTCTTATTAGCAAACGAAAGTTGAAAGCTTCTTGAATTCTCATCATACATAATAGAAAATAAAGAATCATTTGTAAACTCATACAAAATCGATCTAAGTTATACACAAATTTTACTTTTATATTTCAACTTATTTGCTAAGAAAAAATTATGATCTTCGATTACTTTCATATATATATGTCTATACGCCCAATAAAAAAAACATCGATAATGAACAAACCATATATTAAATATATGCAAGTTCAAATGGAACAAAGAAACCTATTATTATCCAATTAGTTATTAGCACATATAATACTTTCATTCTATTATCGCTATGTTACAAAACACAAGAGTGCAGTACTCCGGATGTAATACCAAAATTATAAAGAGGACTTAAAATCAATAAAATTCTTACACTTAAAATCCAATATAAGCTAGGGCTACCCCTCCTGCCACATAACTAACATATAAAATTGAAATAATAGGCTTTAAACAATTTTTAAATTTCTGGCTAAAGAACAATATTATAAGGTGCATAATGAAAAAAACAGCCAACAAAATACTCAAATATGCAGATTAATCTTGAATTATAAATACCAGCATTCCAAAAAAGCAAGGTAACATAAGAGTAACCAATAATGCTCTAAAAAATAATAATCTTTGATTATTAAGATAGTTGTCATATTCTGTTTCTTCAATAGGATTAGAAGATGAAAGTGTCCATACCTTAAAGAAATTTGTCATCTTTATGATATTTATTTGCAATCTTTTTAAAAATAATTATTATATGATCCAATTAATTTATAAAACATATGTACAAAAAATTTTAGAGTTAAATGATAAATTATGTTTGAGGATGATTTTGAGTGGTCGAATTTGAATTTTACTGATATAATTACAATTTACTCTTAAATATATCATAACACCATTTTTCTCAACTAATTCCTAATTTCAAGCTTGTTAATACGAATGAATATTAAGGAAATGGTTTGAGATGTTTAAAAAATATGGGTATAAAAAACGTGAAGATAATTAATTAAAAAGGAATTTAGTATTTTATAGCTTTTTTAATTTAATTCAATTATCAAAGTTTATATAAATCAACATATTTAGTAAAAGATGGATCCAATTGAGTTTAATCAGTATATATATAAAATATCAAAGTTGTCCTGTGATTTTTTAATTTTTCTTAATAAATGGATGAAATCTAGATTGAGCTGTAAGGGCTTAGTATCTTCAAAATAATTTAATTCACAACACATTCAATTTAAAATGATTGTTGACAATCTAAATTAATTGATTAAGAAAATTAGAATTCTAAATTGTCTATAAGATCTTTGTGTACAAAAATGTAAGAAAACTACATTAAGTAAATTTCTTAATTGCTAGTTTAATTTGTAGCATTTAACAAATGATATTGTATTAGTTTTCTATCAATTTATAATTAAATAGAACTCTTCTCATCCGATATCGTTAAAATCTTATTGAAAATATTGATTAAAAGCTAAGTTAATAATCTCGTACTTAAAAATATTGATTAAAAGTCTACTTCGCTCAAGTAAACAAATTAAAATTATTTATGGTATAATTTACTATAATGATGGAAGTATTCAGACAATGCTTCAATTAACTTTCGTACTTTAAATTAGTCAAATTATTATCTTAAAAATGACATTTTTTCTTTCTATAAGAAAATCATATAATTTTTTAAATATATTAGAGAATATTAGATGTTGCATTGCTATTCTTTAATGAGATCAGAACTCTCTTGAAGATTATCTTTTAGTTTTAGTATTTATTTATATAATCTTTCTAATCTATGCGAAATTATTAAAATTACAGAAATAAAAATCGTATTTAAACATTTTATTTTATTTTCGTATTTTTCAATTTAATGTCTTGCTTAATTTTCTCTAATAGAGAGAAAGAAATGAGTTTAATGATTTTCAAATTTCAAAATGTCAATTAAATATTTTTCTTTTCCATTATTAGTTTCAATTTAGAATCTATCTTAGTTGAAATAATCTTCCTTCTGTTAAATCAATTCAAAGAGATATTCTTCTAAATTTATTGTTTTATGTATTTATTTATTTAAACTTCTATATGAACTTTAGTTATTTCGATTTATTATTGATTAGCTTCTTAAAAATTCTTTAACATTATTTTCATCTAAATTGGTTTTATATATAGATTCGAACTTCTTATTAGCAAATGAAAGTTGAAAGCTTCTTGAATTCTCATCGTACATAATAGAAAATAAAGAATCATTTGTAAACTCATATAAAATCGATCTAAAATATAAACAAATTTTACTTCTGTGTTTCTATTTATTTGCTCAGTAAAAATTAAGATCTTCTATTATATTCATTTAAATATGTCATGATACCCAATAAAATAAACATTGATATTGAATAGACTAAGTATTATATTCAAGCAAGTTCAAACTGAACAAATAATACTAAAGCCATCCAATTAGCGATAAATAAAAATATTACTTTGAACTTATTGTCGCAATATTATATGGCACAGCTGAACAAAATGCCGCAAGCAAGCCCAAAATCAAAAAGAGGTCTAAAATAAATACTTTCTTACACATTAAATCCAATATAGGCTAACGAAAAAGCAGCTGATATATAGGAAGCATATAAGATCGTCATAATAAACTTTAAACAATAAATTAGTTTGTAGCTAAAGAATAAAAATACCATATGCAAAATGAATAAAACTGCCATTAAACTAACTAAATAAGCCGATTAATTTTAAACAATAAACACAAGCATTGCAAAAAAGCAGGAGAGCATTATTGTGAATAATAATGCTCTTAAAAAAAAGAGCCTTTAACTATTAAGAAAATCCTAATAGCCTGCTTCATGAGTTGGGTTTGTAAACTAAAATTTCCATTATTTAAATAATGATGCCATTTCCTTTATAAGTAATAATATTTATCAAAACTAATTACAATCATTATTACTAATAAATATAATAAATTATCTTTTTTAATATTAAGCATAATCAAAAATTTCTTGTTTTTCGTTGTTATTTAGGAGCAAATTTTAAATTTCAACCATAGTTTAATGTTTTCAAGAACACTTTTACTTTTTTACTTAATGATCTTAAAAAAAACTTTTTAATTCACAATTTAATATATAAATGGTTAAAATAAGTATATTAAAAATTTCACATTTTTCTAAGATTTTTCAACTTAAATTGCAAAAAGTCCATGTTTAATTAATATAGCAAATATTTACTGTTAATTTAGAATGGGTAGAACTTTTTGCTCTTTTTTAAACTAGGATAATTATAAAATTGAGAAAAATTAAGACTTTTAAGGTTCTGGTAATCTTTTCAAGCATATAGTTATACTTATAAGACAAGAAACTTTTATAAAAAATGAGATAAAAATATTTTATTCTTAAACTTTTTTTAATTAAATTATCAACGATTATATAGATAAAAATATTTAGTACTGTTTGAAATAATGGATTTATATTAAAACTAACTTATTTCTAATAATTCTTGAGTTTCACATCTATTATATCAATAACGGTGAGTTTATTTAAAATTAATATATTCTCTAGTTTATCAAAAATATTAGTTTGTTTTAATGAGATAATTAAGGTGCTCATCATTTAATAATAAATGAGCACGTTTAAAATAGAAATCTTTTTACTTGAATCTAGGAATTTAAAAAAAAATATTAATTAATATTTTTATGAAAAACAATGAATGTAAATAATTAGTTTTGATAATTAGAATGAGGTTTAGTAAATTTATATTAAATAATGTAAATTTAAAGCAAGAAAAATTGATTACCTATAAATGATAATAAATTCAATTGATTGAATGGAAATTTAACCAGAGTAAAAAATAAATTTACTAATTTTAATTCTGCAATAAAAACACAAATAAATATAAATTTTTTGCTATATTTTTAATATCGTAGCTAATTGTATAAGATACTAAAATGGATCCCTACCTTCGAAATTAATAACATTTAAAGTAATCCTTTATCAGAAAAAGTATATAATAAATTAGATTTGATAAATATAAGGAATTTTAAGTTACATGATAAAAATAATAAATTAAATTAATATTTCTTGATCACAAAAATTAAAACTCATGATTATTGTAATGTTTGCTAGGATTAAAGTTATTATTGTTATGATTCTGGGCCCTAATTCAAGAACAGCATTTCATTAAAGGCAAGGAGAAAGTCTTTTAGATCTTCTTATTTCAGAATGGTTGTCTTTTCTGGCTATTTTGAATTAGTATTATTGAGTTTATTGATCTCAAAGTCTCTTAGTTCACTTTCAACGTATTCAAGCCATACTTTGTAAGCTTCCTCTTCATTAGCGGTCGCCGGCATATTCAATTAAGGTGGAGGTGACATATATGGAGTGTACGAAAATTAAGAAGATGCCACTAAAAAAGTGCCTACTAAAATCACCCATGAATGAAACACCAAGGGTGCATAAGTGCGGTAGGAATCAAGAATCAAGATTTTGAGAGTGTGAAAAGTGGCTTCTTCAAATTTTTTTGGTACGCATTTTTTACAGATTACTTCAATGTAGTCATTGGGTAATTTGATATCGAATTCATATTCAATTACTTTTAAGATTCTGCTTTCAGCTATGCAGAGCTTGTTTTATAATGATTACATTAGAGCCTCATTTGCCATTCTTGTTTGTTCAATTGATTACATAATTTTGTGAAAGCTGATTAACAATTTTCTCATTCTTGGATCGCCATCCTTGATTTTTTAAGCTAACAAGAGAGAGGCAGCTGCAACAATCTATGATAAATATCAAATCTTACAAATCTGTCATATTGTAAATAGCATTTATGATGAAAGAAATAATTACACAAATGGATAGCTAAGGATACTGTAGAATATGAATTCAGTTCCAGATTAATGGCCAAATCAATAATGAACTGTGCATTTCCATTTAGTAATTTTCTTTGTACTTAAGCAGAAATGTCATATTCTGTGTTAATGTTCTGAAAAATGTCTTTCTTCTTAATTAATTTCATATTTATTTTTATATTTATTAAAATCATATGTTTTCAAGAATTTTTAATGGATGACGCAGTCCTTTTTTAAGATGATCGAGTACTCAAAGGGCATGGACTTTTTTCAGCCAATTTGAATGTACTCTTTTCAATAAAAAGTTTTTTTGGTTTAGAAATCCGCGATGTTCGAGTGGATTTGATTGATTAATTTTCTTCCGAGGGTTCAGATTCTTATTTGAGAATGTTATCATGTGGGGAATCGACAATCATTAATAAGTGTTCATGCACTTATTATTCATTATATTATTTCAAATTAGTTAATAAAGGAGTCATTCGATCATCTGTTGTTATTAGCAAATCTACAGTCATAAAAGTAGAAACCTTTTAATCTTCCTTTTCTTTCTTAACTTATTAGTTAGCGTTTATGCAAAGTGTAGATGCAATAAAACAATCTTCCAAATTCGGTATCGAATTGTTACATGAAAAAATAAATAAATTAATACTAATTTAAACATTAAGAATTTTAAGTTATTAATGAATAGAATCAAATTGAACAGTCTCCAACAAAAGGTACATGAATTAATTAGAATGTAGGTGATTCCAGTTATAAGGGATGGGTTGAATACGATTATATCAACTCCTAGTGGAACAGGAAAGACTCTCTGTTACTCAATTCCAATTATTGAATAGAAAAGATCAATCGTTCTGACTCCAACGAAAGAATTGTCAATCTAAACATATAAGACTATAAGAGAATTGGATCCTAATATCCGAGTAACCAGAATAGGGTCTATTGGGTTGATTGCTCCAGTAGTTGAAATGATTGTAATCTGAGTAATTAAAAAAGAGCGATTTAGAAGCAAAGAAATTATAGAATTATGCAAAGGAAAGATTACAGAGAATGAATGATTCTTTGAGAGGCTAATTAAATTGGGATTTGGTTGATATTTGTATATCAACTCCAGGTTAACTAGCTCAATTAGTAAAATTAGGGTGTCCAATCTAAGAAGTAAATTGTTTAGTGCTAGATGAAGCAGATTTAACTTGGGGGTATGTTTTTGATGTTAATCATAGTGATGTAAGTTTTCGAGAGAGTATATACACTATATAAAGATATCTGAATATAAATTAATTTGTGCTTTGCAATTCAGTCAACACAATTAAGGATGAGAATGGGATGAAATCTGTTGATGGCAGCAAATTTACTTCCTATGTTTCTAAAGATTTCATGTAAATACCAAAAAGGAAAATAGAATTCATGGATAAACCTCTTTAAGAATATTTAGACAACCAGAAAACAATTATATTTGTAGATGGTGAGAAGGAGTGTTAGGAAGTTTAAAAAATTGTTGGACCCAGTAAGTTTTTCAATTCAGGATAATCAGTAGAAGAAAGAATTCGAAATGTAGAAGAATTTAGAACAAATGATTGGAAGTATTAATAATTAATAATAAAAAGAACTTTAATATGTACAGGTCTTGGAAGTAGAGGGCTAGACTTTCCAGATGTCACTTAAATTATTATGTATGATCTTCCAAGAAATTATGAGGCATTTCTACTCTAGTGTGGGAGATTAAGACAGGAAAATGGAAGAAGTATGTAATATAGTAATTATGTAGTTATTGTGAGATTGAAGGATTCATTTGAGTCAGCTATTTATAGTGAATATGAGAGATATAAATATGTATTCCCAAACAGTTGTGTAAAATTGTGAATAAATGAATGCTAGAAATTATTATTATGTTAATTTTTAGAAAGTTGTATAAATTCTCATCATGTAAAATAATGGCGATTAAATCATAGAATTTAAAGAGTCCACTCTGACTGCTATTTCACCTCTGGATGGAAGATATGCCAGTTAAACAGGTGTAATCAAAGATTATTTTAGTGAATATGCATTAATGAAGTATGATAATTCTTGTCATTCTAGATACCGAATCAAAGTGGAAATTGAATGGTTAAAGTTCTTGCATTCTAAGAATATGATCAAGTAAGGAAATTCAGTTTTGAATTTGACTGCCTTAGATTTAACTTATTTGGATTTGATTTATGATAAATTCGATGTAACAAAATCATTCAGAGTTAAATAAATAGAAAGTACAACTAATCATGATGTCAAATCCATCGAATATTACATCAAAGAAGAATTGGACAAGAGTATCAAACTGTTATTACATATATATAGATCCAATATTGCATTCAATGAAAGAATATGTCCATTTTTGTTGTACAAGTGAGGACATAAACAACATTGCTTATAGTTTAATGATGACTGATGCCAAAAACAATTTGCTAATGAAATCCTTAGAAGGAGTTATTAATAAATTAGTGTAATTGTCGCATGATCATCATAATGTCCCCATGTTGAGTCGAACTCATGGCTAAGTAGCATCTCCAACTACTGTGGGAAAGGAGTTTGCTAACTTTGCCTATAGAATCAGGAATCATTCAGAATTATTGAGAAATCTTAAATTTGAAGCTAAATTGAATGGTGCTGTTGGAAATTACAATGCTCATTTATTAGCATACCCAAATTATGATTGGCCCATTCTAAGCAAACAATTTATCGAAGAACTCAAATTAAAACATAATCCCTTCACTACTTAGATAGAGCCTCATGATAGCGTAGCCCTCTATTATTCTTATCTCAATATAATCAATAATATCCTAGTTGGATTATCAAGAGATGTTTGGAGTTATATCTCAATTAATTATTTCGAATAGAAAAGTATTAAATCCGAAGTTGGTTCATCCACTATGCCACACAAAGTCAATCCTATTGATTTTGAAAATTGTGAAGGCAATTTAGGACTATCCAATTCCTTGGCTCAACATTTTATGAACAAATTAGTAATCTCGAGATATCAGAGAGATCTATCCGACTCTACTGTTATGAGAAATCATGGAGTGTGTTTGGGATATGCAGTGGTTGGATATAGGAGCTTAATCAAAGGGCTTGATAAGATATCACCGAACTATGACACAATTTTAAACGATCTAGAGAATGTAATATAGATTGAGTAATTGAATAGCATTGGGAAGTCTTAGCCGAACCCATTTAATAGATTATGAGATAGTATGGTGTTGCAAATCCATATGAATAACTTAAGGAATTGACAAGGGGATAAAAAATAACCAAGGATTCTTTGAGAGAGTTCATTTCTAAATTGGCTTTGCCTGAGGATGTTAAAAAGAAGTTGCTGACCTTGGAACCAAAGGATTACATTGGAAATGCTGATAAGATGGCTAGATTGATATGATTGGTTTTTAAAAAACAATAATATATAAAATATAGTTCCATTAAGTTCAGCAAGATATTTTCACGGTTCTTAGGAATTTAGAATTTTCACCTTGGAGTGGGAAAACGTAGTTAAAAAAGATTTGTTCATAAATAAATTAATATTTTATATAATTATTGATTAGAATATCTTAGCAATTATATATTTCAGAGGGGGGAATTTGGAAATTTAGATTATTATTAATATCATAAATGGATTAGAAGGATTTCATCATTGATACTTAAAGCGAATTCTTCACGAAGAAATTTCAAGTGAGTCTTACAAAAAGGGAACCAATCAATCATGATTCCTATATGTTCAGATTTGATTTCAAAAATCACCAAGAGAGATTAGGCATGCAAGCTGTTTAGCATATCAAAATCTAGTAAGTTTTGAATATTAATATTGAGTGGTCTTAATATGAAGGGCGAGATTGTTGACAGAGCATACACTCATGTCTTTGAAGAGGATGGATACTTTTTAATACCTATCAAAATTTATAGACCTAATGTTCATCCTCAATTTCCAAACGGAGGTGAGTTAACACCATGGTTGGAGAATTTAGAAGTACTTCTTTGTAATATCGTAATAGCTTCATTCTGATTTGACAATTAAAAGGTGTGTAGGCAAGTTGCTTTATCATAATAATCAATTTATTGTTAGGCCAAAACTTAATAAGACATGGTAACAATTCAGTACAGTATTGCTGATATGTGGAGGAAGTGGTATCACTCCAGCCTATCAATTAATCCGAACCATCTGCGATAACCCAAATGATAACACCAAAATGGTCCTTTTGTATGCCAATAAAACTGAATAAGATATTTGGTTATTAAAAGAATTAAATGAATTATCGGACAAGCACAAAGAATAATTTACAGTCCATTACACCTTAGACAAGGTATTTATATACACTATGGTTTTTAAGTCTGAGGAGAATTGGAAGGGTCATAAGGGATTTGTGACTCTAGAAATGATGACATCAATATTCCCATAGCCAACTGAAACTACAATAGGAGTATTATGCGGACCTAAACCCATGAACAAGTTAGTCCTATCGCTTTATGAATAATTTGGATTAAAGAAAGAGAACATAGTCAAATTCTGAGTAGGATGTTGTATTAAATAAAAATCTAAATAATTAAGAGTTTTCTCCTTTGAACTCAAATTATCAAATCATGACATAGTCTTAGACTCTTGTTTGAGTTTGCCAGGCCTTAAGGTTTCAATAATAGCCTCTATAAAATCATAAAAATAACATTAACAACTTGAATATAATCTCAATACTAATTTTAATCATTTATTTGTTTGGCATTTGATAGCTTTGTCTATTCTATCTTTCAGATTCGAATCAATCAGATTATTCACTTGCTTATTTTGACAAATCTATTTCAATCTTTGATTCAATCTAATCATCTCCTCCTCCTCCATAATTCGTTTTCTAAATCAAATTCATTATGTGTACTTATGTTATTCTATTTTCTCCTTTATCAATTATTGTTATTATTATTTATATTCAGCTATTCTTAGATGACTTTCATGTCTAGCATCCTCTTTCCTGATTTGAACATCTATTTTCGACTTAAATTTTTCATTCAACTTAGCTTACTCTTTTTGTTTTTCCATTTCTTTTGTTTCTTGATTATATTTGACCTTCTAAAAATTAATTTCATTTATTTCATGCAATCTTTTGACTTAATCTTCAATCATCTTTTTTTATAATTATCTTATTTGATACTTTTTACTTCCTTTCAGTTCTATCTTCAGTATTTGATCGGATTGTCGGTTTTTTTATTTTTAATAAATTACTACTAGATTTTATTTAAGGAATGTCCTTCATCTCCTATTTCAAATGAGTGTGTGATTTTGACAACCAATCTTCCTCATTCCAATTCAATCTTCTCATTTCTTCATCTTAAATAAAATAGGCAGGATCTTCCCCAATCTAATAATTTAGATTAATGAGCTAAAATACTTCTAATAATTCTTAATGGGTTAATTACGCTTTCAATTTTTATTGCATTTCCAAAGGAGTTGGAATATTGATATTTATCCTTTAACAATGACGCCTCTCTTCTTAAGTAAATTTCATAGGTGGATGAACTGGCAGCATTTATATGAAATTCTGATCTTCTAACTCGAACTCAGTCTTCCTCGTGTCTATTTCTGATTACAATCTCTCTATTTTTAAGAATTTGTTGCAATAATTCTAAAACTAACTGTTCAGTATCTTAACGATCTTCGATCTCAAAATACGTTTCTATAACCTCATAATATGAATGAACTGTACTTTTCATTTATTGAAACTGAAGGAAATTTTGTATTAAACATAATAATTTTAGATAATAAATTAATAAATAGAATTCTTCCCAATATTATTCATGTAAAAATATCAAATGTCTCTAAAGTCCATTGGCTCTTCAAATTTAGTTACTTGCAATTTAATGTTTAATAATAAAGAAATAAAGCAGCATTTCAAAAGGAAATAGAAAATAATAATAATTAAAAATCTGTAAATAAGAACTATGAAAATTATAGTTTTGTATTTCTAAATTTATAGTTATTTTGTTTGATTGTTGAAACAACAATATAATTTTCGTTTAAATGAATGGTGAACAATTTCAGTTTTCAAATTATTCTAAAGGCATATTCTAGATTTTTCATTTATTGGGAATAGTCAAGCAATTATAATCATTGAATGATTAATCACTAGAAAATATTTCATGAATATAACAATTAGATATTTTAATAGAAAAACAACCATAAACTTGAGATTTACAAATAAGAAATATTTCAGATTCCATATCATATCTTCGTCGTTTTGTTATTTCAGATAGTTCATAAAGATCAAGCTAGATTTCAAATAGGTAAGGATTTTTAAAAATAGCAGTTTATATTAACAATGCTAATTTAAAGATTTTTAATAATATTTTTCATAAACTCTTTTTAGAAGGTAATTTAGATAACTTATTAAAGTTATAAATATAGGTGTTATAATCTCCTTTTCCTTCATTTCTATGATTGGTTGAAACCTACTCCTGCAATTACTAAAAATTAATTAAGGTAAAAATTTGATTTTTGTGAAAAGAAGATTGGAATACAGGATTGATTATAATCTTATAAATTCATGGGATGAGCATAGTCATTGTATAATAGATAACAGATGAGAGTACTTTATAGGCAGAAATGATCAAATATATTAATATTAAATTAAACTATTTTATTTATATAAATTAATCTAATTGAGAATTTTATTAAAATTTGTAAATTATGATACTTTAAATTAACTGTTATTTATTTTTACTCCAAATTAGATTTAATTAAGTTACAATAAACATGTTTTTAGTTAATCTCAGTTGTGTGAATTAAAAATTTAAAGAAAATCTGTGTTTTTAAATCATTAATATATTTTTTTCTAAAAACTCTTCTTTACAAAAAATAATGAATAAATTTAATCAAGATAAAATCTATCAAGCCTCACAGCATGAAGAAATTACATCATTAATCTATAAAATAACTGATCGGTAGACAAAATTTGCAGAACTTCATAATTAGGTTGAGGAAAGCATTCAAAAAGTAATAAATGTGAGTTAGAAATAATTTGAAAAAGTTATGAAAAGGAAATAGAAAGAATTCAGGTAAATTCTACAGGATCATGACGAAAGGATAAAAAAAATCACAAAGGAATATCATACCTCTTAAAACAACTAAATATTATACTAAAATCAAAAGAAATCAGAATATATACGGATCTTTGAGTCCCTGTATTATGAATATTAATAGTTTATAGCATTTTTTGATCATGATCAATAGGCTGAAAATAGTAATTATATAATGATGATCTATGAAATATTAACAGAAAGTTAGGTATTTCACGAAGACTAGAGATTGAATGAAACACTTCTAAATGAATACTTAAAGTAACATAAAATGAATAAGATTTTATCTCTTCATACTTCTCTTAAGTTGATAATACCCCAATTATAGAAGGTTGAGGAAAACCTTAAATTATCAAAAATCAACAGCAAAAAAGGATAATATTTAAATACTCTTAATGAAAGGTTGAAAGTATTCATAGAAAATCTCAAATATGGTTTAAGTTAATTGGAGATGTTTTTATCTTAAATTCAAGAGAACAATTAAGTCCAAAAAGAATTAGATACTAGAATTCATTCGAATTTGATCCTAATCAACTAATTATTAAAGAATCATCAAGATAGAAAAATGACAGAATACGAAGATCTAAGCAAGACGAATGAGTAACTCATCAAAATTATTAATCGACTCTCTGATATTAACTATAAACTTAAATTATAGTAGAAGTAGAACTATGAAGATGTATAACAACTGATGGAATTGTACTACCTTTAAAATGATAAAGCACCTTCCTTATAGCCATTATCCAGAAAGAGTACGATAAAAATAATTAAACCTATATCTTATTAGCGAACTAGAATCTTTTCAGAAACAAAAAAAGAAGTTCATTTTGATTTATCTTCTCGAAATTCAATAAAAGAGATCAATCTTGAATCACAAATCCTCTATCAATCTCCTCTTATTATTTAACCTCAAATAGTCAATCAACCTACCATTACAGATGTATCTCTCTTTACTTCTGGATAAAGTCTTAATAAAATCAAAACTTAAAAATATTTTGATAAAAATTGGACCTCAAAACATCAAACTAATGTGGATAAAAAAACTGCCATTCCAATTAAATGTCAATGTCCTCCCTAATGTTCATGCTAAGCTTTATTAATTATACATGTCCACACATGCAATAAGCAATTATATATCAATTCAATAGGTTAGCTTTTATGCTAATAATGCCTTTTCACCTAAAACATTTAGGACTATAGTTTCTATTGTCCTCATACAAGAACAAAAAATAAATTTAAAAGTAGCAAAGATTTCTTAGAAGCGTTTTGGTAACACATTAAAACTTTGACTATGAATTAATAAATTGTTGATTTTTGGAATCACTTGTAATCAAGTTGCCAATAAATGTTTTAAACAAATCCATTTTCTACTTTGGAAATTCAAAATGTAATGAATTTTATTGCATTCTGTCCAGCATAATGTAAATGTAGCCATTAATAGAGCAGATAACAGTATCATTTATGCTAAAACTAACTCTATATAACATCTGATGGACTTGTTCATTGTAAAAAGTGTAATTTTAATGGGGATCCTAAGTAATATATATGTTATTGTCCAGACATGAAAACATTCAATATTTTTAGAAGCGGGGAGGAGTTTGTATAGTCTTTGGATCTAATTCTTGAAATAGGAAATTAATAGTAATAATAGAAATTACAAAACTAATTTATTCAATAGTTAAGATAAAAAATTCCTTTTATTTTGTGGGAATGATAATGCCTTATGTTATTTGAATTATTATTCTTATTATTTATATAGAATCTAAAATTATTCTCACTTTTCTATCTTAAAATTATCTCTATATACCTTTATTAGTATATGTTCAAGTTTTGGATATATTTTTTTAGTTTTGAAAGTAGTATCTTACCAATTTTGATCCTTAGTTTACTTGTCAATATTATTTTATCGTAATTTAATAAGAGAATAATATTCAAATATTTGAATAAGTTTTAGTTCAAGCTAATGTATAATTTCGACTTATTTTTATGATAATTAAAAAATATACCATTAAATTATTTAATATTAAATTAATCTCTATCTAGTTAACAAAAATGCAAAATTTGCATTATAATCGTTCAGTAAATTTTGAGAAATTTATTCATATAATTCATCAATCATTCATAAATCGCAAGATGCTTAGCGTTTCAAAAATAATTAGTTTGTTATTTATTCAAGAAAATTTCAAAAATATTTTTATATAAATAACATTTTATTTATTATATTGTTATTGAAAAAATCTTATTTATACCCCACTATAGTATTAATTATTATCCATTACTAAAATAGCCAAACATGAGCTATTAATATTAATTACATGATAATCTTTATGAAATAATTAATTAAATGTGAATAAGAATTACAAAATGATAGAATTAAGAAAATTCAAATTCTATCATTTTAAACCTATAATTTCTTCTTCCAACACAAATGCATTTTAATGAATTACTTTGATTAAATTAATTTAAGATTTCATATTTCTTTTACATTTTAATATTGCATATCATTATGGGGGTCTATATTACTATTAATTTATGAATTTATTTATATTCAAATTATCAAAATAACATCAGAATAATAATAAATTCCTTAATTAATCAATAAAAAATCACATTATATTGCAATCTTCCTATTTTTTATTATCCGAAGTATTTATTGATCTTTCTTTATCATTCTATCCATCTTATCCTTTGATTGAGGCTTCTAATCTTAAAGATTATTACTAAGATTATGCTGAATGATGATGCATCAACTTTTTATCAGTATAATTTTCAACCTTATCCAAGAGTAATCTCATGGCTTTTTCATGTTAAGCACTCTGAAAATAACAATTATAAAATTACTTCTCTAAAAAGTTTATTTAGTTATTCTCTTTTTAACAGTTAATCTATACTTCTGAATTGAATTTCTTTAATTAAATCTTCAATCTTTTTAAATAATTAGATAGCCAACTATTCTTTTTCTTTATCCTCATTTTCTTTTAGAGCCTCGAACACATCAAATTGTCTCTCTAAATCTCTATTTTTAAATTCTTAAGATATCTTCTCTTGCTCCTCATTCAAATACTTTTATTTTTCATATTCTTCCTGTAATAATTTGATTAACTATTTTTATTCTTAACACAAATCTTGAGAATCCTTTAAATCCTTCTTCAACTAATCATTTTCAGTCATCAATTTATCATTCCTACCATAAACAATTTCTAAACTTTCATTCATTTTCTTATATTGCATTTCCAGTCTCTCCCTATTTATTTCCACATTTTTCTAATTGATCTACCTTTCATCTTACAATTATTATTCTAAGGAAGTAATCTACAATTGCAATGTGCTTATTGTGAACTAAGCCTCTTATTGGAATCTTTTAGAACGAACTAACTCTAATTCTTATTCCCCAGTGGTTAATTTTAATTCATCGTAAGTCTCTTTTAATTCTTCTAAAGACTTTTCTGTTCTCCTTAACTTTTCTTCTAACATTTCATAAGATAGTTTTTCTTCATTTTAAGTTCTGGATCTTGTGCTGGTTCTTGATCTTCCAAGATTAGATTCTAATTCATATTATAAATTATGATTTTCAAAAGCTAAATCAGTCAAAGTTTTGCTATTTTCTCTAACATTACTTTACAGTTTTCTAATCTCCACATTCTTAATGGAAATTTAAGTTTGCGTTATCTATAATTCTTCTTCTAAGCCTTAGTACTTAGCTCTTAACTCTTAAATTTAGGCTTATAACAGTGCGATAAATTTAGATTAGTCACTTCCACCTGTATATGATTAATTTGTTTATACATTTTATGGCAAATTTTGTAGATCGAATAATTCTGATTTGATTTTAGACATTTCATTTTTTAACTATTAAATTTATTGGTTTTGTTATTAATTTTCAGTTAATGTTAATTAATAAATCTTGTTTTGCTCTTCGATTTATTTCTTCAATCCATTTTTTTCATTCTCCAAAATTTCATATTTATATTAGAGTTCTTTGTATTGATCACTTGACAATATTTTATTTTATAGATATTTATCATCTAGAATGAAATTTGCTTTCTGTTCTTCTTAAATAAACGATTTAATTATCTTATCCTAAATCTTCTAATCGACTACTTCAAACATCTTCAATGATTCTTGCAATTCCCTAAATTCAACATTTCTTAGAATCTTTACAGCAAGTTTCTCATATGAAACATCAGCATACTTCTTTATCTCTTCAATTCTCAAAGAACAAATTGCTGTCAACCCTTTGGAGAATTCTAAAAAGTTGCCTACCTTAATACAATTATCAATCAAGAGAAAAGTGTTTTCAAAGGTTAGCGAATTAATTGATAAAGTCAATGCTAATTTCTAAAAGTCATGTTTTAAGTAAGATTATATTTTTTAGACATCTGAAGATTGGAGATGGAACACTGAATCCAATAATGAGAGTATGAGTTTTGAGTATTTTTTTATATCATAATCGTTTGATTTAAGGAAAGTGTAGTAAAGTTCTCTAGGGTACACTAATTCATAAAAATAGGACAGACACATAAAGGCTAATGGTTCAGAAGCAAAGCTTAAAAAGAATTACACCACAAGAATGAATTCATCATCAAATCCAAATTTAGGCTAAATCCAATATATACACTTACATGTTTGTTAAGAAATGCTTTAATGATATTGCAAATGGCATTTTAAATAGATGTGGCATCCTTCTTTTGAGTGATGTGATGATAAAATTCCTAAAATGAGTAATTGTATGCTTCACAGTAATCAACTAATTTGCTGTACATATTGTTCATGGCATTTTTATATTTTGTAAATGCCATACTTTCAGAAGCATCTTAATTCATGAATTTATATTCAAATTGAGGATCATTTAAATTATCATAATAATCTTTTACAATTTCTTCGTAATTCTTTTTGTTATTCATCTATTTAAGCCATCTCTCGCACAGTGTGTCTTTACCAAAGGCAAGACTATTGGATTGAATGAATTATCTCATTCTTGAGGATTCTTCATGACATAAATCACATTGTCTATGAGGTTTCTGATCAATGCTGGAAGCAGATTTATATAATCCGATCTTATAGATTATTTCTTTATTTTGCGAACACGAATAACAAACAGCCCTTTTGCATCTCTTACATTGATGCTCCTTCTACAGGACACTAAAGTCCTTTTAACATATTTCACAGGACTTCTTTTTGCCTCTAATGTCTTAAATATTAATTTAGAAGAATGCTTTTTTAAGAGTAAATTATTTGTTCATTATTAATAATATAAAGTGTGAAATTGAAATAGGTAATTTGATATAATATTTCAATTCTAGGTAAGTGAGACAAGTACTACAATTCTTTTTGTGTAATAATATTCTTAATCTGAATAATAAAATAAAGATATTTGCTTAATTAAATTTAATAACTTTGTTTTAGACTTAATTTATTGTCCAAACTCAAATATGTGCTACGTTTGAATCCAAAGTTCAAGCTATACAAGGGAGGAGATAGAGAATCTAAGCATTTTCTGAGGAGAGTACTTAGTTAAGGCATGGTAAGGAGGGGAAAGAAAAACCGATATCAATTATTTATAAGAATGACGAAAGTGATTTAATTTCAATAATTCTAATAATTTATTTTCTTACAAATATTAAATAAGCATGAAGGAACAGGTTTAAAGACAAACTAGATTTTAATCCAAGGCTGAATAATGTGGAATATGTTATAATGCAATTGAGAATTAAGTAAGAGATGTTTGAAGGTTTAGGGAGCTCTGGATAGCTGCAATCACTCATTTTGTTCAGATTGCATCAAAAAATGGTCTAATGTATGTAACCCTTTTCATTTTAGATTGAAAATACATGTCCACTATGTAAATAGAAATTCACTTAAATTGAATTCAAGTGGAAGAGAGTATATTTTTTAAATTTATTCAGGTTCATTACAAAAGTCATAAGATCTCAAAGCCAAAATGTAAACAAAACAAGTATCTGCCATAATATTGTAGGATTTATGTTAAAGATAAAAGTCAGTCTCAAAAGGAAGATCAATTTAGTGTCTTACTAGATCTTCTTATAGATTTCATCCTTGCTGATAGTATAAATATAATTAAACCATTAGTAAATGATTGAAAATGATGTGAAAACCTTTAAATTTTTGTATATTATATATATATCTTTATTTAACATCATATTGGATAATCATCATCAGCTTCAGGATCAATTATTTTAGCACTTTCTCCTTTCATAATGTGGCTGATGACACTCTGATTATTGGCAATCTTGTCTTCATAAGTTTTCTTAAAATCTGGATAATGATATAATAGTATCTCTTCGTAAATCATATCTATTAGAATATTATGTAAATCTACCTTTAAGTTACTCATTTGTAAATTCATACATTTCAAACTCGAACTCCATATTAGAAACAGGAACTCTAGTGGGCTATATCGATTACTTTCACAATGTACCTCATCACTTGGGTTGTGGAGTTCCTTTAAATAGGGGTGTTTTAGGGCTTCAGCTGCTGTGATTCTCTTCTTGTAATCAATTTCTAATAGCTTTTCTAAGAGATCATATCCTTCAGGGGGTAATCCTTTCACTACTCTATCCCATGGAACTTTCTCCAAAGTACCCAATTCCTAAACAAGTTCAACTAATTTTTGTGATACAAATGTATCTTGAACTTACATTATTTTAGTCTTAGAAGGTGTTCCAAGGGTTTCAAATATCATTTTAATTTATTGTTTGGCTAGTGATATGAATGAAATGGAGTTTACAATTTTGGCCTCTCCACAAAGTTTTTCCTCTTACAATTTCTGCAAAAATGCATCCTACACTCCAAATATCCACTGCTTGTGTATAGGTTTTAAGACCCAACAATAATTCAGGTGCTCGATAGTATCTGGTTTCAACATAATCTGTCATAATATTTGGATTTTGTTATTGTGTTTTGGTTGTCTATAGCAATGCTCTGGACAATCCGAAGTCACAGACCTTCAACATACAATCCTATTTATTTAACAATAAATTTGTTGGTTTCTAATGTTTTATAGTTTTCAGAGTCATACCAAATCTCTATGTAAAATATTTGCAGAATGCATGTATTTGAGTGCTCTAAGAATCTGATACAAAAAGAGTTTAAAGTGATCCTAATTCAATTTAGCATGTTCCTTATCAATGACTCGCTTTAGATCTGTGTCTAATAATTCAGTAACACAATATCTATTTAATTTAAGATCTACATTTTTACATATCATAAAAATTCTTCCTGGATTTAGGGAGCTGTATTGTGATAAGATTAACTATCTAAATTGATTGTTTTGATAATTACATTTTCGTGTTTTAAATTTCTTAAGATTTTCAACTCTCTCAATGTTCGTTTAGCATAAAATCTATGCTCAAAAGTTCTCTCAATTTTTTTGATTGCTACCATTTTTTATTCTGGTATTGTTGCTTTTGTATCTTCACAACCAATAACAATACCGTATGCTCCACTTCCCACTGAAAAATTAATAATTAATTTACATTATTATGTTGGCTTGTATCTCTTCTCAATAATAAATTCTGATTCATCAACTTTAAAAACATTGGCTGAATATGCCTTTTGTGCATATTGATCGTAATTATAATTTGAATCCATGAATTAATTTATTAATATAATAAAATATATCTCAATCTAATAACTAATTGGCAATCCTTTCTAATTTATCAATGGCGTCACCCGTTTATTTCTTTTTATTTTTACCAGTTTCAATTATCTATTCGATAAATTTAATACTGTTAAGTTCTAACTATTAATTTTAACTCTTGCATTCATTGGGTGAAGAATAACTAAGATTTCTGATTTTGCTCCATCTCTTTTATGGAAATTGCTGAATTATTTTTTTCGCATCTAATTTTTTCTTCACTTCATTCTATTAAGTTTTTTTGAATTTTCTAGTTGTTTGCACTAAGTCTTAATTGCACTCATACCTTCAATCTCCAAAGAAGAAGCTTCGCTGTTTTCTTGATTCTCAACCTCAACTTTGATTTCCTCATTGTTATGTTGTACTTTATTATAAGTTTCATATTTTGTGATATATTGCTATCTCTCCTATGATCTTGCTAATTGTAGTAATCAAATACTTTGACTATGATTGTTGAACTCCTCCTACATTCTAACATAAGCTTGATCAATCAAAGAGTTTATTTTGTCTTTATTTTGTTCTTACTTCACATCATTGACTGTTTTTAGTAAGTGATGTTTCTACTTTAAGCTATGCAAGAAAGACATCATAATTACCTTGAAACTGGAACTGAATCATCGAACACTTTGCCCTTATCAAACAAACCTAAATAATTAGGAGATTTTATTTAAATTGATGCCAATTAATGCCTTTTAACCGTCTAAGGTTTTTCAACAACCATTGATTTCTAAACAGGTTTTTTCCTTCTTTTTTGAAAAGCAGCCTATAATTATTGATTATATCGTTGAATATTATTCCTTAACGTTAATAATTCTATTGCTCGATTTGACTTAATTTACTTTGTTTGGACTTTCTCGATTGGATTAGGCACTGAATAATTTCTAATTTATTAAATGTGTTTTTCATAAGTCTTGCACTCAAAGTCTAAAAATTCGTTTAAGCTACCAATGTTCATTATTATTAATAATATATAAATATTTTTATATATCAATTCCATTATATTTTTTGATGAATTTCATACTTTCATCATAAGACAAGTAGTTTGAATTGTATTCACCATTAAGCTTATACAAACATTTTTTATTTAATAATCATGCTATTACAATGCGTTTAAGATTAGATTTCTTGAAATTTTATTAAATACTATCATAATATTACAAAGAATAAAATGTTGTCTCATTGAGTTAATATAAAGATTAATGAATCAAATAATTATTTATGAATTTCTCATCAAATAAGACATCATAGGATGATTAATAAGAAAATTTATATTATAATTAAATGCAAAGTAATTGTATTTTGAAGCCACTGTAATTGCAACCTTAGGTAAGACCAGTTATTGTAATATAGAAACCACTGAAACCTTTGGCTGGAATGCAGCAAAATCTAAATGAGCATTTGAACAACATCAAGAACATCATTCCTTATCAATTTGTTGATAAAAGCAGTCCTCATATTACAATTTGTAAGATAAATGAATAAATTTGAGGTGGATTGACTCCTAAGATAACAGAACAATCATTAAGACTAGTATGTGCAGAATATGGAAATGTTGTGAGTATCTCTTTACGAGCATACTATAAAGATGTTCAGGCCTAAATTGTAGCTAATGTTACATATGAAAATACCTCATCAGCATAGCATGCTTATATGGAATTGCAAAAGAAGGTAGAAAATGGATTTCATTTTCAACTTTAGTAAAATTTTAAATTGAGTGTAGTTATGGAGGTCCATGTTATCAAAGTACATCCAAAATAGTGAAAATAAAGTTGCCTAATCCATAGATAAGGGGAATAATAGATAAATTGGCTAGACAAGTAGTGAAAGAAGGAGCACAATTTGAGCAGATGATTAAGTAAAGGGAGATAAATAATAATAAATACGCGTTTTTATATTTGGTATGTGGTGATAGAGATGATCTTAGTAATCTGAGGAGAATGAGTATTACAAATGGAGAGTGTATTCATTTCAGAATGGTGATGATGAGAAGTAATGGAAGTAGGAACCCTATTATTTCAATTTGAGTGAACGCATTTACATTCCACCTGCAATAGAAGTAGAAGAGGCTCCCTCATTTGCCAAGAAGGAATTGGAAAAGGCTTAAAGTAAAGTGCAACATTAAAATCATAGTTACGACCAAAAATAAGAAGGCTCAATATTATGTGTTAGAGGATTAGGATAGATTGACACTTAGTCAGATGTTAAGGGAATTGAATACTTAGAAGTAATTAAGCAATTTAAGGATAGACATACAATAGGAAAGGCAATGGTGTTCTGTATTGACCATCAGAACTGCCCAGCAGATCTGATGTTGATTTTAGAGGATTCACTCTTAAATGATTCTCTGTGGTCTATGAAAGTATTTAGCTTATATTAATGTTAGCTTGCTCGTTTGTATTTGATTTCAGATATTTTGAATAACTGTAATCAGAATTTCAAGAGCTACATATAGTGGTGTTTGCCTAAGATTTTTAGTAATTTGGATCAGTTGCTGCCTTATAAAGAGAAAGTAATGTGTTATGCATATGATAAATAAAAGATTTTGAAATTGTTGTAATGTTGGCGAGAGTAGAATTTGTTTGACCAAAAGTACTTGAAGGGATTAGAGTTGTCCTTTTTGATGAAAGAACAGTCAATCCAAATTGAGAGCATCTCCTCATAGCTTTATAAAGTCGATGGTTATTTTATTGAAGGAAAAACTCGCTCATGTTGATGATGAGACACTTGATCGAATCTGCCGAATCAAGGGACTGTGTTCTTAGGGTCCTCGTGATACCCTAATCCAACGTTTAATTGAGCATAAGTTCTATAACCGAGCCAACCACGACGTCTCGCTTGAACAAGTGTCCAAATTTGTTCAAGTTTATCGTTACATCGTTGATAAGGTATTTGTGATCTATACTATCATCAAATCAAAGGATCACTAAACTATAATATCATCCTAGAAGCAATCATTTACTACATAAATCCAAATGATGCAAGAATTTCTAAAACTCTTATAGAAGAGGTTAACATTATATTACCTTTAGATATAAAAATATTATAAGCAGAGACGGAGAGGAAATAGATGCAGTAGATGAAAGAATTTATGAGTTCAACAAACACATTGAGATCTAGAGAGCTGAGCGAAATCTCTATCTAAACATAGACGGCAAAGATCTTACTGAAGAAGACATCAGAACAATCGAGGATAAGAAGGTTCAGGTTGTCACCAATTATGAACTAACTTATCTACAACCAAAACCTCCTTTGCCTCCTCCTCCAACAGATCCAATTGAAGTAATATTATCACCTAGATTCCAGATTGAAGTCTAATAATATAGAGATATTCTCTTTTAAAGTGGATTGTATGATCCTTTCAAAATAGAGGAATTCTCTAAATCTAAAAGAGCTCAATTGATTAAGGCTGATCAATTGAAGAAGGAGAGGGAGAAACAATTGCTACTGAAGTAACAATAAGAATAGAGAGAGAGAGAAAAAGAAAGAGAGAGGGAAAGGGAACGAGAGAGAGAAAAAGAGAGAGAAAAGGAAAGAGAAAGAGAAAGAGAGAAGGAACGTGAGAGAGAAAAGGAAAGAGAAAGATAGCGACATCATAGTAATTATATAGCATCTACGTTATCATAGGTCGTAATAACAAAAGAAGTAGTTCAAGTTCTGGATCAGACAAAAGGAATTAGAAGAAAAGGTTTGAAGGAAAATATGACCAAAAATATGATCAAAAATATGATTAGAAACATTATAAGAGAAGATCCAGATCAAGAAGCAATTCAAGAAAAAAGAAAGCTCAAAACAAAAAGAGATGAGTAAAATATAATAAAGCATAAAAATATAATTACAAAATATATTTATTCATCAAACTTATTAATAAATTCTTAATTTGTTTTAGAATAGCTTACTCTTGGTAAACGAATAGATGGTCGAGAATCAAGTCTGGGGGAAACTAGAGTATCATCAAATTTAATTAAGGTATTCACTACAACCAGTGCCTCTATTATGACACCCAATCCAATAAGACCATCAGAACGATTCCTTAAATTTTATCTGAATTTATAGGTATTGAGAGATATCGGTTATATGCACAATCCAATTAAATTAGGCATGAAAATAGAAAAAAGTAATCAAAGGATCCAAGTATCAAATTTATAAAATGAAGAGCTCTTGATACTGAATCTTTATGTATTTTTGTCTGAAAAAAATGTTTGGTCAATAGATGTTATTGTAGCTTTAATTAATAATGATGGAAATCTCTTAGATGCCATTTATTTATGCTTCATTTTTGAAGACCTTAAGTCAGGTGATTAATTAAAGCAATTATATAATTGAATTCTTAAATGAAATATTAAAAATAGTCATTAATGAAAACAACTAAATTGTTTGAGCATTTATAAATAGAATGTATATTACAGTGTTATTGATTGATTAATTAATATAATATATGATTTAATACCCAAGTGATATCAATATTTTTTTAATTCTTAATGATACATAAGATATATAATAACTAAAAGATGAAATACTACAAAAATACCAATACTTTGCATTAGATGTAATCATATATTTTCATTATTAAAAAGACAACAAACACAACCAATCAAAACTCTAGCTTTCTGATATACTCAAAATTCTCTTTTAAAAATTACTATTAAAATTTATCAGACCATTTCAGTTCTTTAGCCATAATTTAAAACACCTTTTCATAAACTGTAAAGATAGCATTCTAATCTAAAAACCCTAATCTTGTTCTCCTAAATAAAATATCTTCTGGTTTTCTAGCTTATTCATATCTAATCTGATACAAGATCTCTCCAACAGTGTGTGGGAATTGTGGATGTAGACTTTCCTTATTTTCTGGTTTTTCATAAACTAGTTTTAATACATCATATGCTCTATCTCCATATGTAGTTAAGAAATATGCCGCATAAGATTAAGGTAAATCAAACATTTTCATCATAATTTATATTTCTTTTCTATGATCAAATTATGTCCAATCCCCAACTAACTTTGGTAAATTCTCTATCCTTTTTTAGTTGCTTCCAATTAACTATTAAATCTTGTCTACTGTTTGTTCACCCATCAACCTGAAGATGGTCCATTTACCACCCATAACTGATATTAAGCCACTCTTCGATACCTCTATTTCGTGGGTTCTTGAGACCTCCTTTGTACTGAGAGCATTGCTTGAATATACTAAGGGTCTCACTCCACACCATTTAGATTTTACATCTCGAGCTGCTTCACTTGCATCAACAGTAAATTCATCGCAAAATGATTTCAATAACCACATGTATTCCTCATGACTTACAGTAGGATCATGAGTAGGGCTCTCTAACTTTCTTTCTGTGGTACCCATGATCATGTTTCCTTACCAAGGTACCATGTATAGAACTCTGCCATCACTAGTTTTTGGTATCAAATATCCCCAATGACGAGATCCGTATTTTTGGGGCATAGTCAAATGACTACCTGCCACTGAGACTATTCTCTTGCTAGCAGTTGGATCATCCATCAAACGTAAATTGTCAGCCCATCCACCAGTTGCATTTACAACGCATTTACCTTTGATTTGAAATTGTTTCTGCCCAATCTTATCGAATGCTTAAACTCCTGTGATTTTATTTTATTCATTTTTTAATAATCCCTTAACCTCAACATAATTGGCCATGTTCTATCCTATTGAAATAATTCATTAATGTACCTTTCAGACTAGATGTAACAAGTAATTCTTAAACCATCCTGGCATCATTGAATTACCCATCATAGTATATTACACCATAATTACATTTAGCAAATTTAAAATGCGATTAAATTTCTTCTTTGCCAACTATTCTTGGAGGTTTAAACGTATGTCCTCCAGTTTAGTAGTACAAGTAAACACAATGATAAATCAAGGACCCGAAATAATAATAGCCCAAATCAAATAAATTGTTGCATGGTATTAAAGTTGGGAAATCCTATGTCAAATAAGAACACATTGATAAAAAATTAGATCTCTCTCTTAATGATTCTGCCACTAAACCCCACTTTTCTATTCTGTTTTTTTCAGACAATTGAAATACTTGTTGCATATACCTTACACCTCCATGTACTAATTTTGTCGATTTGCTTGATGCACCACTGGCATAATCTTGCGACTCCAAAACTATTGATTTCAATCCCCTGTTAGCACAAGCAAGAGATACACCCGCCCCAGTAGCTCCTCCTCCGACTATAATGACGTCGTATTCATTTTATAGTGCGTCAGCTAAATGCTCCTCTCTGCTCTTCAATTTATAATAGATTTGTTGAGAATCTCCAGCACTCTACAACTATATTTTCCTTTGAGTCAATAATGAAGCTACTGTAACAAAGGCCACTTTATTCATAAATATTATTTTAATAATAGATTTTTTAAATTCAAAAATAACTAAAAATAATCCAATTAATTCTAATCTCATAAATTTATGAATTCATTATTACTTCAATTCTACTTACAATTACAACTTTTAATTATCATTCCTAAGTAGAAACATAATTTTATATGATGAAAAATAGTTAAAATCGCTTTAGTTAAATTGATTTAGATCAAGAACTATTCTATATAAATTGATATCATTTATTATTATATGTTTAATAATTCATTTCGATGTTTAAATACTTTGAATTTTGTTAACTGTTAACTTAGATATCCTTTTTTTTACAGAGTAATCGAAGAATAAGGATGATGATAGAAAGCAATATAAACAATGCAATTATATAGTATATGATATGAATCCCTTCCTCTTAAATTGGCCTATCCTCTAGATTTAGTTCAGTAGTAGGAAAAGGATAAGTGAGTTCATTTAATTCAATTCCATAATCAATTTCTACTTTACCAAATATATTTAAGTAAATTTTAGATGAATTTGCAATAAGTTTCACCTTAGTTGTCTGTTCTTAAGGTGATTATTGTACAATTTTAAGTTATCTTTAATCGTTTGTTGTAACATTTTGGTATGAATCATAAATACAAACAATTTCATCTTGTTAGAATGTCTAAACAACAAAATAGATTGTAATTTAAGGGTTGGTTTAAAATTCATAATCTTAAATTAAGTTTGGAATCTCAATAGTTACTTCATTTTAATTATTATTCCAATTTAAAAAAGTACTCTGAAACCTAAAAGCAGTATAGGGTATAGGGTCAAATCTATGAAATATCTAGTGTCTAATATAATAATTAGATATTCGATTCTGATTTTCATCTTTGACTTAACTCGAAATCAATTTAACTAAGAAATAATAGATTCCTTATTCTAGTTTGAGGTTAGCATTGAAATATTATTATGGTTTATTCATTATTTGTATTTCAAATATCTGTTTATTCAAATTAGAAGAATGTTATGTTCCTTGAATTAACACAGTCCCTCTGCAGGTAAATACTTCAATGAGCAAAGTAGAATTTTCTTAGATGAATATTTGGTAAAAATTGGGCTGTCCTACTTTTGTTATTTAATATTGTGGAATGCCATCCATCAATGTATTAATATTATCATCTGATAAGAGTATTCTCATAAATGATTAATTAATTGTTGGAGAAATTATTAAATCATACTTACCAAATGCTTCATACAATTTATAATAGATTCCTCTCTTAAATTTTGTTACAAATTACACTATTTGGTTAATAGTTGAATGACTAATTGAAATGTTAAATGGTTCAATAGGTGAGTAGAGAGTCTAAATTTACAAAGTTAGCAACTTTGAAGAGGAATTTCCATTATATAGAGTTGATAAAGATTAATAACGGAATACATATTCTTAATTACCCAATTATAGATCTAATATCTTACCAAAAGGAAGAGAATTTATTTTCTAACTCTTTCGGTTTATTATAATCTAAAAACTTACATCAGGTGTCAGACATTCAATTTTTATTAAAAATGTTTCAAATTTAAATGTTGACCTATTAAATTCAATAGTTTTCTTACTTTAAACAATTTCTACTTACTCCGAATAATTATTATGCTTCTCTTTCACAGAAACTTAAAATTATCCAAAAACATCATTGAATTTGATAAAAAACTAGTTTGAAGATTGAAATATGTATTCTACAATCTCGTTTTATTTCATTACTTCATATTGAGGTGAATTTTCATATAACTCATTTTTTTATTAATATGTTTAGATTTAAACAGCACCTTAAGTCTTTTAGTTCAAACTAAAAATTTTAATTAGATATTAGCATTATACTTATTAACAAGCATCAAATTTATACAATTTATATTGTTAAGCAACATCCTCCAATATAAAGGAATCTGTAAAATCAAGTGTGTATATTTTATTATAGAATCGCTAAACTCTGATTGAGAGTGTGCCAGTAAACAATGCTAATGTAATTTTAAATGCTGATAATTATGTATAGTGATATATAACCGGGATACTCTCTTCTGATATTTCTAGAGGGAGAATTCCATTCGGAAAGAATAAAAATCTTATGTTTTCTGTTTAATAACTTACTTTAAATTCGCAATTCTCTTCTCCCTCTATTCCTATAATGTAGTAATCTTATTCAAAATAATCTTAATGAACTTAAAAGATGTAGAATTAATCTATCTATAATTAAATTTATATGGAGTTATTAAATTTGTCTGGCCTACTGTTCTTACCTTATTGCAAAAGCACTATTATGGAGTTTTGACTTCCTAATACTTGAACTTTAACTATGATTGATTTGGCAATCTTATCTAAAGTCAAAATATAGTATTTTATTTATCCTTATCTTACATTATCTTGTATTTTATCTATTGGTGTTATAGTCCTAACTGTTTCTTAAACTCCAATTGAATAGTTATCATCTTCAAAGTGCTTAAAGTAGGGATGAACCGAAATATACAAAATATACTTTTGGTTATTCTCTGGAATTATGATTGTTTGAATAGTATTACTATTCTATTATTTAGATTTAAACTATTCATATTTGGTGTTGGAGTTATTGAGGTAGCCCAAATAAGCTAGTATCTCAGCCTGGCTACCACCATAAGAGAACCATTATACTGTGACTTCTTTTTCACTTAAGACATAATAGAACAGCATATCTTATTTGAAGTTTAGAATCAAAGGACATCCCTCATGCAATTAGATTTTATTATGTAGGTATTGAGTAGTGATGGTGTAGAAGATGAGTCCTTTTACTGAAGTAACAGACATGTATATAAAACATTTAGTTTTCCTCAGATCTTAACACCTACGACATATTAGTTCTTATTGAGGTATTGTCAATGTTGAATCACTAAAAACATAAGTGTTTTAATTCTCATTTGGAAATTAATTGGTTTGATTTAAAGATATATAGATAATCAAATTGTTTATTTAGTTATCTATGTATATTTTTTTAGTGAAAACTTAATCTCTCTCAAGCATTGGCAATTTGTAATAATTCACTTAATTTTCGTTTACAGAATCAATTATCTTTTCACCAAATTCGTAAAATTATATTTTTTAATGTATGTTGTACTCAATTACAAATTCTCCTTCAGAGTTCAAACATTAAACACCTATATAATAAGTATTTGCTTAATTATCCTTGTCTATGTTTATGTCAATTTGCATAGAGTCTTTCCATTCAAAAGAATTACTATCAGGTATCTCATGATCGGATATTTTTGCTTTTACATACATTATGAAATCACCCATATTGCTTTATAAATAAATAGAAAAGTTGGCTTAAATTTCCAATTAAATTATAAAGAAACTGTAGAGTTCCTATTAATAGAGCGAATGAGAAATTCCGTTTGATAATTAAATGAATTGAGTTTGTTGAATAGTCTATTGTCTTTCCACTGTCGCATTTATTTGGTATTTACAGTATGATGTTCCATATACACTCAAAAAATGTGCTGAAGTCTTGTTAGTTGTTATTTGATGATTGCCTTCAAATTCATTATTCATCTAACTGGGAAATTTGTTTTCTGAACTTGCATAGAGTATGCAGTTACCAGTAATTTAATTTAATTGAAATTTTATACTTTTGATATTTGTAAAATCAGATGTGTTATAGATATAGTAGGTTATAGATCCTTGGTCCACTTGAAATAGATCATAATGCCCTTCTTTTAATTTGATATGAGAGCGTTGGCTTAATAGTATTATCCTAAAGAATTATTTAAATTCACTTAATAAACCTAGAATGTAGTAACCTTATAGACTAACAGAGTTCCTAAATGTATAGGTATCCTTCTCGATAAATATTCCATAGTCAGTATTTTTATAATCAAGTTTTGTAATTAAGCATAGCTCTTTCAAACACTTTTTGAGATATCTTAACGTATTTTCTGCTTAAATTTCTATAGTAATTTCCTCATCAATATAAGCTGGTTAAACCTTGAACTAAAAGATCTCCTAAGGTTACAATTCCCCACTTTATTTAATCAAAGTATAATTACATCAGAGGGAGATTGTATTCTACAAAATGAATTCCATCTAAGGGGTAAACTATAAATTCGTAGTTAGAAGATGATTCCGAAAGAAATACTATATAGAAAAGATGATCAGAACACTATCCTAAATTTCTTTGCAGGTATGAAATATTTAGCTATTAAGTGTACTAGAATTGCCATTAATATGAATCGAAGAATGTTGGTCGCCTAGTGGAAATCAATACGATTTTACGTGTCACAATTAATATAGACTTTTATGCCCTCCTATTGTGAAAATAGAGATAAGGCTAGTTATTGATGTTTCAAATCATCTCTATTGGTAACTTTCAATCTATATAGATTAAAATCAAATTGAAATGTTTAGTCTTAAACAATTTCATTTAAGTTGATGTCCTTCACTCACACAATAATAATATAGGATTACATGTTTCTTGAGTGAATATCACAGAAATCATCATCAACATAATCATGTTAATTTTAATAAATTAAAAGGTTTTTGTACGAGATGATTTGCAAATGTAATGATATACTCATAACTAATATTAGTCTTGCGCAAGATAGATATGTTTGGCCAGCCAGTCTCACTTAAATTTAATGGTCATTCTAAGCACCAGACTGAAGTAGGGGGCATTGCTTCTATTGCTACTATAACAGTAGTATTTCTCTTCTTCTCTTCGAATATACTCAGCTTTATTAATAAAGGTGAATTGCTAGCAATAGTTGTGAATAACTTCGAGGAAAACCCTGAAATTATATCACTTACTGGCGAAAGAACATTTGCAGTCGGCTTTGGTAATCTCACTTAGGCAAAGTACTTCAATATTACTTTACAATAAATGTATGATAGACCTCAATATACACTTAGAACAATCGAAAATCAAAGTGTTACAAATGTCACTTTGATTCCTATTGGAAAATGTTTACCTCAGCATTTTTAATTAGCAAATGGGGATTCTCTCTAAAATGACTTGAAAGATCACTTTTTCTGTTTGGAGTACTTATTTAAGTAATAAAATTAGATAAAATTAACAATTATACTTCGGATAAAATCAGTCTAGTAAAATATATTTATTTAATTTAAGAAAAGTATGAAGTTCATTTAATAATATCAAAATGTTAAAATAATTAATCAGTTTGTATTCCTGATCAATATTTAGATGGTTAAGTTTTTAATGTTTAATTGATATTCCAAAATCAAGTAACAACACTTTTATTCTAAGGTTGTCAATCCTATGGATGTGTCAGAATAATACATTTAAACCTATTTAGATGACACTTACTCAATCAAATTTGTACCTAACACACTATCAAAAGAACAGCAACTTCTAATCACATAATATGATCTAAATAATGACGACAGTCTCTTCTATTAGAATGTCCAAAAAAGCAAGGCTTATGCAGTAGACTCGAGAGATTCCAAATAAATAGTTAACATTGACAATGATGTCTATGCCTCATTCATCTTCAAAAAGAATAAACTCAAATACACTGTAAATAGATCATACTAAAAAATAACTGATCTACTTGCTCGTTTAGGAGGATTCCTCAAGATTTCTTTCTTCATTTTGGGATTTGTTATACAAATCTATAATAGATTGTAATGTATACTTATAACATCATTAATTAGTGTATCTCATTTTAGCTAATAAGATCTACGAATTTTCATTTGATTCAGTCAAAGAAAGAGAAATTCAAGAAAAACAATTTGAAGCCTTGAATTCTGCCATTCAATCCAAAATGTCTAAGACCAACATCCAAAACATTAATGAAGAAGGCAGTTAACAGAAGTTGCCAATCAGCCGAGTAATGCAGAAAAGCAATTCTATCAAATCCAAATAGAATTCATATTCTCTTCTTCCCTTCTCCAGCTAGCAGATACCCATATATAGTAATGAAACCAATAAAAAATAAATTATTACTGAGGAGGAATGCATCATTTCAGCAAATCTGATTGATCACCATATCCATTTGGCTAAGAAATTCAACTGTTTAAGTGGTTTGGATTATTTCTAAAAATAAATCAATAAAATAATCAATAGATCTCAATCTTTAAACTTAACGATTAGGATCTTCTTAAATCATCTATGCTGCTCTAAATTGTTTAATTCAAACATACATGTAAAATTATACAGAAAATCTATGAAAGAAATATCTAATCATCTTGATGTCTATTATATTCTACAGAAATTAGAAGAATTAAATAAGCTTAAGACTATTTTACTTAGTCCTTAATAACTCTTAGTGTTTAATTTTACTCCAAAATAAATGATTGCTCCTGATAAAACTGAATTAAAATTCAACAGAAATTTCTTAGAAGAAAAAGCCAGAATCAGACATACTACTCTTCTTAGTGAACCTCAAAATTCTATTACTGCTGCTGTTCTGCAACATAAAAAGAGAGCCAGTCAAGAGAATGAGAATCTAATTTACTAACGGATTTATAATGCATATGATGATATATTGAAATAATATGAAGGCGAAAGCCCCAAATAGGATCACGATATTAATAAATAATTAATTGAAAAATTGGGCGCAGAACTCAAATCAATCTTTAGAGCATCAAAAATAATAGACTTCCAGTAACTTCAATCATCCAAACAACCGAGAAAAGTTAATAGAAGACATGCATAAATTGATAATGAAATTCAAGTAACTAAAATGATGTAGTAGTTTTATTAATAATGATAATTTTTGAGTCTTTCTAAAAATAAATTATTTACTTAAATACTAAAGAGTAGGAATTAATAAATTTTCAATAATTGAAAACAATTTATTTTATACTTTTCTAATTGATTTTCTTAAACTTTAAGAGAAGAAAAGTATCCAAAAATTCTAACTCATGTTTCAGTAGAATATAGTGATATTAAAATAGAAATCTTTAAAGTATTGATTTTAATTTTTATAATCAAATTTAACTTTCTTCCATGCAGTCCTTTACAAATTTTATTGAAAAAAAAAAGTATAAATTGTCGGAATTTAACTTCTCTACTCCCCCAAACAATTTTAATTTAATAAGCAACACTAAGTTTTTCTCTATTAAATTATCAAATTTTCTGAGTTAACTCAACATTATGAAATTGTTCACTTAATGCATCTCTTTGGCTTTTAATAATTTGCCATTTTCCTAATAATAGGCTATATAATTATAAAATACAAGACTTTTAAAAGAGAGAAAAAAGAAATTTAAATAATATGCTTTTAAAAGCCATATAAAACCTAGAGATTACCATAATCTATCCATTTCTTCAGAATTGCCTTAATTTCATTTTTCATTGAGATATTTATGTGTTCATTATCAAATATACATCTATACTGCTAAAAACTAAAAATAAAATGAAAATCTAATTTTGCTTCAAACGATGCTCCAATTTTATTAATGACATATCTGAGGTAGGATCAGGACAATAATGCAGTTAAAAATAATAATCTCTAATCCAATTTAATAGCTCTTACCATGAGATCAAAGATAAAATTTTCATTTCACTGCTTGTAAAGATGAGTCAGAAACTCTTTGATAATAACACCTTATTCAATGTCAACTAAATAGTCTTGAACAATAAGAAGGGACTTTAAATTAATATATGATTTACTATAATTTGTCCATTCAGGCAACAATCACTAAAAATACTATAATCGAAGCAAGGCAATCATGCTAATAAAAAAATTCAGCTATGCAGCATTTTTAAATATGCAATTTTTGATCAAGAATACCAGCATTCTGCCATGAAATAACATTAGACAAATAAGGGGCTCAAGATTAATGTTCTAACATTAAAATTAATGGGCAATAACTGTACATGTTGGAAATACGACTTGCAAAATCAAAGAGAGCAAGAAAAAAGATCCAAACCGAAATGGCAGAGCTTAGAGTTCTTGAAATCATAGGAGCACAAAATAGTTAAAATGCAGTCTTGGATTCGTGGGTGGTAAGCGCGTTAACGAGTTTGGAAGATTCAATTGCAGAAATATAATGACAGCGTCAATGAATAGTTGAGAACGTAGCCTCACTTTTAACAGTAGATATTCCGCCAGCGTGATCAATGTGGGATCTAAACAACTACCTCCATTTGATTTTGGAATTGACGATATTAATGATTCTCTAGTTCATTAAAAAGTACTCAAAGCACCAATCAAATTAGAAAACGGGGCCACCTATTTTGGAGAATGGATCAATGATTTAAGACATGGCAAAGGAATCCTGATCTGTGATGTAAATTCCATTTAATTATAATAGGATGGTTCAAAATATGAAGGCTATTTTTACCAAGGAAATGCCCATGGGAGAGGCAGGTTAATACATTCGAATGGGGAAGTTTATGAGGGACAATGGGAAAATGATGAGGCACATGGTTAAGGAACCTATATTCACGAAGATGGAGCAACTTATTTAGGATAGTGGGAACACAATTTGTAGTAAGGAAAGGGAAGTGAGAAATGGCCAGACGGAAGGTTAGGTTCACTTTTAACTTTAGTTATTTTGAGGGAGCCTATAAGCAAGGCAAAAAGGAGGGATTGGGAAAGTTTGTTTGGGCAGACGGAGCAATCTACGATGGAGAATTCAGAAGCAATAATATAGATGGGTATGGAAAGTACTCTTGGCCAGATGGAAAATAATATATAGGTTATTGGTAAAATAACAAAAAGTAATTTAAATAGTAAATTAATAGAAATGGCAAAGGGAAGTACATCTGGCCTGATGGAAAGGTTTATGACGGAGATTTTGTGTTTGATTAAAAGCATGGTTAGGGAATATTGAGATTCCCAGATGGAAGAGCTTATGAAGGAGAATGGTAATAAGATAAACAACATGGAAGAGCCATATTAAAATTACCTAATGGCAAAACTTCCTTTGGAGAATGGAAGAATGGAATACGTATCAATTGAAATACTTTTAATCATTGGTTAAAAATTATTCCCAAGTTTATCTTCTCAATTAAGAAATGTTTGGCCTTGGTGTGCTCGCCATTCTTGATTAAATATTAGATCTATAATCGTCTTCCTTGTATAATTATTGATACACAAGTTTTTTATTCTTAATAACATCTTCAACAATTTAAAGTGGACTTCGTATATTAAAGGTATTCCTTCTTGCTGATCTCACCCGTTTCACTTAATATGTGAGATCTCTCTTTCTCACATACTTCATGTCTATCATTAAGTTCTCGTCCTGGGATACTTACTTTTATTGTCTATCTAATCTCACTTATTCTCTTTATAGACAAATATTTTTCAGTTGATCATATAAATGCATTTCATTTGTTGTTTGCAATCTCTAAATTAAGCAACTTAATTATATTTTAAGAGCTACTCCATTCTCAGAGTTGCAAAAGACACTTTGTTATCTCTTATCAATATTATTGAAACTTTCAAGATCACCAAATATCTGTCCTTTTTATAATAAGGCAATTTGAGATGTCTGCTTTTTTGGGCTATAAAATCCATCATTGCTTTGACAAATCACAAATTCCCCACTCTATACTAAATATATCTCTTATTTGCTTAATTGTCCCTAATAATAAACAGCTTGTCTAAATTGATAATGCGAACTCTAAAAAGCTAAAAACAAGATATCTAATAATTTCGGGGAAAGCTAATGTTATTTCAAGCAAGAGTGAAACTCCTTTATTTATTGTCTTAGTTTATTTTCTTAAGCCTTTTATAGGACCTCCTTGTAATCCTTTTTACTAAGAATCGCTAGTATGCATTCGCTATCACAAATTATGCTGGCAGATCTCACATTATCATTCAAAAATGCAAGTTCTCCAAAGCTCTGCCCCATGGAAATTTTCTTGGTAAAAAATGATCTCTCTTATAAAAACACTGAATTTACCTCCTCTTTATTTTTTCTGTCTTACTCAATTCCAATTCTTTATGATCGACCAATGGGGTCTTTAATATATAGACTGAAACACCTCCGCTTAATATAATATAAAAAGATTATGGTTTATCTCCTTACTCGAAAACAACGTCATCCTAAATATAGCTTGATACATACTTCATCAAACATTTCTATAGTCATTCTCTTTAAGCACTCTTTGAGCATCAATTCCCCCTGCTCATTATAAACTTATTAGAAGAATTCGATGTCTTTAGTAGCGGCTTAAATAATCTATTAATCTAACAAAAATTCACCTAGATATCATCTATTTTTCTTTACTCAGGATTTTTCTATAGAATTTCTATACAGATTGGCATCAGTTACTCTTTTGACAATCCATTAATTAATGAAACTATGTCCGATTTTTTTCTTTTATTTTCTATAAAATGTTTATTTGGAGATGTAATCATAAAATAAAAATAAATATTTTATAATCTTTTAGATGTTCAGATCATTCATATCAGCCCTTTTAATTGTTATATTAATTTTCTCCTCTTGTTTTTTTTAATAATTTCACTAATTAAATAAATTTTCACTTAATTTTAGACAATTAAGTGAGCTGTTGATGCCTGTGGAAACTTTGTCTATTCTATACTTTCTAATACACGAGCTTCATAATAAGAAATGATTTGTCGAAAAGATGTAAAATCTCTTGATACATAATAAAATTGTGATTTTAAAATATATAATCAAATAGTAACTTGTACAACTCTCTATCTTAAATGTAATCAATCAATAGTCCCTCTGCCATTAAATGTTCTATGATGTTGTACAAATGATTGAAGTTTTTCATACTTCTCTGAAGGGGCCAATCTCATAAATCCGCCCATTTAATTTGGCATTTCTCCATATCTTCTAACATGCTATCCGTTTAAAATATAATTAAGATCTCTTTGTAATTATAATTTAGAATTGTTTTATGGTTTATTACTTTGTTCCTCTTATATTCGTCTTTCTAAGACTTCGCATAATCTTTATCTATCATATTTTGGAGTATCCAGCAAGTCAAAAATGTCGTCAATCAATTATTATTTTATTAATTCGTCTAACAAATAATCTCTCTCCAATGATGGCGATGCATTCACTTCCAAAAGCCAACACTTTAGGTTCGTATCAATAATTATATCATAGCCAAATAATTCAAAACTATTAGGGTTATTTGGTATTTCAATCTAACAAGCCACTAATGATTTGAGTATTATGTCTTAAACCTACTCCCAGATTTAATTCCAATTTATATTTTTTGCTTCTAACTTCTCCTTTAATTACTTAAGCGAAATCTTGCAGCCTCCTAATTATTATTCTAAATCCTAAATTTATACATGAGTCTTTTAAACTGCAAAATTTGTCAAATGGATTAATTAATTCTTTAGATCATTGATTTCTAAACTAAACTATTAAGTTGTTAAACGAGCAAACCCTTCCTTGTATAAAAAGACTTCCAATGGATTAAATGAGGTAACCAACACATAAATTCGCATATCAAATTTACGCCCATTCAACAAAAGAGGATTTTTCAAATATTTTTATAATACCACAGGTTCAGCATACATTACTTCAGATATATCATTGAGCACTGTTATTCCTCTTCCTCTTGATTTTCCAGTTGGTTTCATAATCCAAATATTTTATTGACCCTCTGTCTCAGAATCCTTATAGAACTTTTCCATGAACTAAACATATTCTTTTGGCAATAGATAAGTAGCAGGTATTATGTCAAAAGTTTAATATGCCTTTCCTCCTTGCCGCTAGCATCTTTCTATATTCTTTTTTAATAAATCTTTTCTTCCAAGATTTTTATTAAAGGGAAAATGGTTTACTTTCTAAAAGTAGAACAATTTATTCAAGTCAATTTGTGGTTTAGACCAGGTCCACAATATATTCCAAGACGTTCGAAGACCAATGCCATGCGGTAATTCACTCCATCCTTGCTTTCTCATAAATGATCTAGTAATGATATCTATATTATCAAATTTGTATACCATATACCTCTTCTTTTGTTTTCACTACTCTAAAATATCGTTCATCTTTTCCTAATAGTGCCCCGTCATTTTAAAGTCTTTTATTAAAAACCATTTGTCTTTAAATATACTGTTGTATATCTACGCCTGTTGTAGTCGAAAATTAAATCAAACGCTAAGGATCATTTATGTAGACTAATTCATTTGGATTTATAACTAAGGAACTAGATTTATACTTGCCTAAAAGTGAATCAACATTGTCAACCTTTTCAATATGTTGACTAAAAACGCTGTGAATCTCTTTCATAATCTCAAGATGATTGTAATGAGATTAATTATTAAAAAATCCACTGAATAAGTTTTAAAATGCAGGAACTAAGTCTGAATAATCTACCAATTTTTTATCATCAATAAATTTAAGCATTCTTTAAATTTATTTTGATTAGATATTTTTAGTTTTATTTTCTTATAGTTTTTAGTTTTATTATGATTATTATTACTACTATTATTATTATTATTACTATTACTACTATTATTATTACTATTATTATTATTATTATTATTATTATTATTATTATTATTATTATTACTACTATTATTATTCTTACTATTGCTATTTAACTTTAAATTCATCTAAGCCCATCTATTTACAAAGATTATTTATTTCCTCTAATTTTTCTTAATCAGTTAAGGCTGGCTTTTACTTAATTTCTATCACACCTTTATATTTAGGCTAATCTACTCTCCCAATAACCTTACCAACCAATTCTTTAAGAGGCTTTTGTTTGATTGGCACAGATGCCTCATTATCACTTTCTACTTCAATAAAATCTTCAATTATTTCTAAATAATATTAATAATATTACCTTCATCTCCCTTTATTTATTCTACAACTTTATGATTAGATTAATTGGTAGGATTTTTTTTAATTTCTTACTTTTGAGGCACATTTTTATTAATCTTTTCGTTCTGTTTTAATTTCTAATCTTTCTATTAAACTGGTTAAACCGGCTTTATAGGTTTTTTAACCATTTGTTATTACTCAGGCTTAGTAATTTGTTCCTAAGTTTGAGGGATAACTTATTGATTGTTATTTGAATTTGAATTTTAAATTATTTTACCTTCATCTATTTATTTTATTTCATCTTCTGATTAAAAGCTATCCTCATTATAACAATCTTAAGAATCTTCATTATTGTTAATTTAATTCTGTGAATTTGGTTAGAAGTTCTATTCAAATATTTAGGTATTTTTTTCCTCTAATTTTTTATTTTGGGATTCAATTTAATTTTATGTCTATTTTTGAGTAATAATAACAGTATCTAAGTCTTCTTGTGTCTTCTTAGTTTAATGTGATTAAATGCTTGTCCTTTTTAATGTATTTAATTCTTAAGCTTAACCTAAACTATTTTTACTTGAATCTGGCAGATTAGTTTGAATTAAAGTTTAGGTTGTATTATTTTATTCAATTTAAATAATTTATTATTATGATTTGTTTTATTGATATTTTATCCTTTCTTAAGATTAATTTTTAGCAATCGAGGGTATTTTTTATGATTAAGCATTATTAGCATCATCTATTTTATCTATGGGATGTGATTTGTGTTATAATTCTTTATGTTCTCTCACATCATTATTAGAATTTGTAATTTGGCTCACTTAACCTTATTGAATTTTAACACTAGAGGTATATTATTAATTTTCCAAGAACTCATTCTCCTCTAATAGTTTAGTTTTATCATTATAATCAATTTATTATTTATTAGCAGATTTTTGAGACACTTAAGAATTATTATTTATTTACTATTTTGCATTAGTGAATTATTTTATTTATTAACTTTCTTTGTCTCCTTCCTCATACTAAATAATATTTTTATTTTCAATCGCACTTTTAAAGATATTTGGGGTTTATGAATGCATATTTGATGCTTCCATCTTCTATTGGGTTGACTATTTAGGGATGTTCTTCTGCTGATTGATTTCAGGTAAATGATCTTAGGAGGATTTATTATTTTCAAGTTTAGTTTTCTTCTTTTTCTTCTTCCTTAATTATTTCTCTTGTTTAATTTTTTCAACTGTGGATAACTATGGCTTGGGAGGTGGAGGTACATACCTATAATTGATAGCCGCTCCGATAATAAATTATTGATTTGTAACTTCTGTCTTTTTGAGCACTTCCTTCATCATTTCCAACATTTGATTGGGCTTCTTAGCTTATAATCGAGTGTTGGCATTGCTGCTTCTGGTTACAGTGCTTAAAGACATAGCATCAGATTAGCAGGATTTCTATTGTGAAACTTTCTAATAACTCTGTTAATATAACTATTTAGATTGTTATGGCTGCTGTTCTTATTTTGATTATTCATATCTTGGGAGTGGTGGTTTAGAATACTATTAATCTAAATAATTTGCAGGTCTCTATTTAATATCGTTTAATATAGATTAAAGAGCATTGTTCTAATAGATTGGTTATTGAATAAAGTCTTGAAATTAAATATTTGATGCAAAGTTTTGAATAGCCAATCTTTCTTTAAGTTCTACATCTATCAAATCGAGTATTTTTTTTGCCTTTTTATTCCACTGAACGTCATCTGTGTTTTGGGATTTAATATTCATCTATATCTCTTCCAATCTCTCTACATCCAAATCATATATCTCCTCATATCGTATTAATGATGGAAGTTATTGCATTAATTAAATTTATAATAAATTTAATTTAAACAAAATGCTTCAAATGTCTTGTAAATAATTAACCTAATCTATTGATTAATCGGTGTAAATATTTAGATATATATAATAACACTATTTTTTAAAGTATCTATTTAAATATCTGATTTGAAATGTATTTATGCATTCAAAAATTGAGTCTTCATACTAAATTCCAAAGATTCCATTTGATCCTTAAAGATTTAATCCAATTTATTTATAGAATGATGAAGGACAAAAAGTAATCGAAATTTGATGGCTTATGTGAGCACTTATTAAAGGAAGCAGTAAGTTTAATTGATTTCAAATTAAAGTGCATGAATAAGAATATTTATAAAATACTCAGTTATCAATATGAAAACGGATTAATAAAAATATAATAATGAAAAAGCTAAGTCTTTTATTATTGGCACTCATTTATGTCAATGCCATTGATCCAAGTATGGTTTAATTAGGGGTATAGAAGTTAGATGAATTGAATTAAAGCAATTTGGGGAAAATGATTTTAGAATTGGCATAAACTCATGCAGAAATGAGGGGACCCTTGGGTAATGTTCTTTAATTGTATTAGGAAATTAGATGATTTAGTGACAGCCATCGGTGATTTGGAAAATGAATTAACTGCTGAATTACAATAATTAGATGATGATTACACAAGATCAACCAATTAACATGCTGCTACACAAGAGAACTTAGATATTCAAATCGGACAAACAGAAATTAATATCTTTAATCAAAAAGACTTTATTGATGCTATTCTTTTACCAAGCATTGATCAAACAAATTAAAAGATTGATAGATTGAATGGATACATAAATGACAATAGAGATAATCTATCAAAAGAAACAGTAAATAGATAAAAACAACATCAACAATTTTTAGATAGAGGTAACAATATATCCTAATTTTCAAAGTAAGTGAACATCAAAGTGCAATAAGTGCAGTTGATGAAGCTATTTAATTGATTAATGCCCTCATAAATGGAAACATTTCATTTGCTGAAAAGGGAACTATAAATCAAGCTATTGAAAGAATCAATACTAAAACACAAAAGACTAACACAGTTCATCCTATAGTTGAGGCACTCATGTCATTAACTTAAAATTTTTCAGATCAAGAATAGGCTAAAAAAATCAGAGACTTATTGTCAGATACAAGAAACCAATTGGTAGCAAGCTTAAACTAAGAAACAGCCGATGAGAATTAGATTGAGTAGACTTGGGTTGAAAGATAAAAAACTTTAAATACAGAATATTAAGAATTCAAAAGATCTGTATTGGAAGCTACTTACGTTTTAGCTACTTATTAGAGTAATCAATTATTTAATTTAGGTAAATTAAAATCAACAAGAGAAGCATTGGCTGAGAATGAGAATGACCTCCAAAGTTATAAAGATTCTTTATGTAAATAATATTGAGATAACTTTATTTAGAATAAGACAAAGATGCTTAGGCTTAAGAAACCCAAATTTATAATGAATTAAAGAGCCAATACTAAATATAATTGCAAACAACTAGAAATGCCAAAGAATTTGTAAACTCTGCTGAGTTCAGTAGTGTTATAAGACAAAAGTTAAACTAAGGCGGATTAATCTGATATAAATATGCATTTAATATCATTATTTTAATATTAAACACGGATATATTCTTATAATTTTTAATTCTGATATTATTTTTCTATAATTTGCTTGTTGTTATATGTTAAAACAATTAGACACAATTATTACTCATTATACATCGCCTTCATTTTGCACAGGGATTATAACACTGAATTTATAGGATTTTCGTGGAGTCTCCCACTTTCTGACTAAGTCATTAATTTTTGATTATTTCTATTTCATATTTTTAAATGATCTTTTTCTTTTTTGATTGAGCAATTTTAGTTTTTGAGTTTTAATCCTTTAAAATTTCATAATAAATTCATAAGGAAAATACATGAATTATATTAATTAAGTTATTGGTTTTTTTAATAATAAATGCTGCTTCTATTCTAACTATTATACTATATTTTCAATATTGTTTTATGTCATATAAAAAGTAAAATTCTTAACAATTTCAAATTATTCTATTTCTTATTATGCTTTTTATTAATAGTATAGGATTTATAATTGCTAGACTGATTAATCTTATTTTGAGATAACGTTATTTTCATCATTAAAGATCCTATTATACAATTATTCCAAATTTTGAAAATAATATTCTTATAAATCAAATTTGAATGATTCCAAAGAATCGTTCTGATTAACCTTAGAAACCTACTATTAATACAACTTCTTATATTTTGATAATTTTGCTGTCATAAACTTATTCGTATTTAGCATTTGTTATTACCTTGTTGATAACTTCAAATTTTGAATAGAATTGTTTTCACTAGAAATAACAGAATCATTAAGGCAAAGTTATTTATTCATAGACAGACATTCACAACTCTATTGAGAATACCTTGGAATTGAAACTGGAACTGAATCTTGCCTTCTGAATTTGAAATTCTTAGTTAACTGAGATTAATCATTAAGTTCAGATTTTACATCCTCACCTTCTTGCTCTTAAGCTAACTATTTACCTAATTGAATCTAAACTAACTTTGGCTGTTCATTCTAAAAATAAATAACAAATTATTCAATAATTTCTCTATCACATAGAGTAGAAAAAGAGGCTTTCCCTCTTTTATTAGATCTATTATGATTTTTTCTCTTTTGCTCAACAGTGTATTAATGTCTCTTGATTATTAGTTCTCTGTCTAGTGTCATGGATAGATTTGCACACTCTTTCAATCCATGAGTATTATTGCCACATGCAATACAAAACTAACTATATGGTAAATGATTTTATCTGACGGATAGTATATATTAATCCTTTATATGACAGTACTTTTAGTAATCTTTTGGATATTAACGAATAATATTCATAAAATCAGTCTAAAAATTATTGAATTAACTTACTTTGCTTAGAATCAACAGACTAACATAACCAATTGCTTTAAACGTTTACACATTGTCATTTTCTTCGATAAATTCTGATGCATCTACAAATTAACCTTGGGATTAGACACTTTTCAAGGAAACTTTTAAAAAATTCTAATATTGCAACTATCCTTATTCAACAAAACATAAATGTGGCTAATAAGTATCACTTAGGGTGTAAATTGAAAAAGAATTTTATGGTTAGATTATCTTTCGTTTAATATAAGGGGAGAGTGAGTTTTACAATTCTAAGCTGAAATTTTTAAATAGGAAATCACAATGTTTAAAGAATACATTGTTTGCTTGTTTTTTTAATTCTTGTTTCAATTCTTCTGACAGTTCATTTAATAATGTTTCTTCTTATTGAAGATCTATTTCAGATTCTTCTTTCCATCTAAATGTTAGATATTCTCTGATTTTATATTGCAAACTGTAAGGAATATTTCTTTAATGCATATATCTATTTATGACTCTAATCTTTTTGCTTCTTTCTACTAAGTTTAAATTGATCTCCTTAATTATGGTTCCTATTGTATTAATACTGTAGGAGAACCATAGACAAGCACTTAAAATAAAGAATATAGCTATTATTTTCTCGTTCCAAGATTTTGGCACATTATCCCCGTATCCAATAGTCAACATCGTTACAATAGCAAAGTAAAATGCTTCTAAATATTGGACTTACCAAGTTTAATGGTCTAGTTCCTTAAAAATGATCCATGAGTTTTATGTGTTTAAGGAACTATTGTAAAACCATATACAAGCGAATAGATGTAATACATATATTAAGTAAGTTAAAAGTTTGAATAAACTGATGAATGCCTTCTATTTTTTAGTAAAGTATGAGGATTCTTCGCTTTTTTCTAAGGTGATATTAATTTAATAATGTTATGTCAAAGATATCAAAAGCACTAAATATTAAAATTGATTTCCATCAAATTAAATAAAATATATTAATATTAAAATTAAAGCAATATCTGATATAAATTAGAAACGCAAATTTTATTGAATGATCTTCCATCTATCAAAAACTGCATGCCCATGCTAATAGAAGATCGTATTTAATCTCAAAATATTATCAATAATTAAAATGATTATGATTGTAATTGTTAAACCAACTAATTGGTCAAATAAAATTTTTGGGTTATACGATATTTCTAATGGAATAAGTATTAATAAGATTAATCTAAACACAATGGTCCAATAATCCCAGACTATTTTTTTAGGTGTTTCTGGATGAATTTGAGGTATTTTAGAAACTAATTCGTGAACATATTTTCTGAATTGCTGATTTTTTTCATTTAGATATATTTTGAATCTGTTTTCTTATTTACTAATCGTGTTGTCTCTAAAAAGCATAGTAACATTTCGTATTTAGAATTTGGGATGACTATTAAATTTTAGAAATGACATCATAACTTAACTAAATCAATTAACTGATACCTATCGCTAGAGTTGTCATTCACTAATTTTATGTGGTTTTCATTCACATTAGTTAGCTTTGTTCGATTGTTTCTGATTCTTTAAATAAATCTCTTCAAATAAAAATATTTCATAAAATTGACCCCAGTTGTTTTCTTTGCAATCTTATTACTTTCTTCTTTGACAATAATTAATGGCTTTATGATGAATAATGCATTACTTCACAATTTCTGTGTGTATCAATTTGGATAGTTGATTTATGTGTAAAATTGTTTGAACTTGGATTTCTTGTTCTTACTCTCGAACCTAAATCAGCCTCCAAATATTCTCTTTCATATTCATTTTATTATTCTGCCTATAATTCCATTTAAAGATTTTCTGGCTATGAACTTAGTGCCGAAAATAGCATATCAGTTCCTTTCATTAAATATTTATATTATCATTTAAATGCAAATTTCTCCATTTTCCTCCTTATACTTCACTTCACTGACTGCACGTTCATTTTCAATATAACCTCTTCAATTCATTTAGCTTCAATTAAAATGTACAAAAACTTGGAAACTTACTTAACTGTATTTATTTATTCTTTGATTTAAGAATGAGAAAATAATGTTTCTCGAAAGACGAAGTAAAACAATAATGAAGCAACACTAACTTTCACTATTTTTTGAACATACAATTAAGAATCCAATAAAGTTATTAATATAAAATTATAATCGCAAAGCAAAACGATTGAAGTTATTTTAATACTTAAATATTACATCCTTATTCTTCATGACCTTGCCCTTAAATAGCATTCATGACTGATAGAATTGTTAGAGAAATTCATTTGATTTTGAATGTTTTTTTTATATATATTTTCTTTTAAGACTATCTACCTAATAAAGTTAATATTTTTATTTAAAATATTTAAATTTGCTAATTTGTGGATTTTGTACATCCCACGTATATTGTCTTTTTTTTTGTTAGGAACTTAATAAATAATTTATAATATAATGTTAAATTAAATAAAAGACAAACCACTTTCTTAACTCATAGCTGAACTATAACAAAAGTATCAAGAGGACAATGACTAATCGAATATATTTTAATAAATTTATCAGAAGTAACAGGAACAAGAGAGTTCAACAGATTCATCTCACTTTTTGCCTGCCTTGCTTTCAGGTTCTACAGGTTCATAATCATCAAACTCTCAGGAAGATAATTAAGAATAAGCATATTCAAAGGTTCAAAAGAATATCAAAAAAGAAAAAAAAAATAAAAAGACAGGAAAGGTGTCTTAAGATGATAAACAGGACTTTACTTAAACCACTGATAAAAAAGCAATGCAAATGATCAGAAATAGAATATCAGCTTAGAATTCTAGAGATAGAAAGAAGGCTTACCTTTAAAAATTAGAGGAAGACTTTGTTAATCAATCAGCTTAATTATCTGAAATGCATGGATAAGTCATTTAATTATAATAATAACTAGAAGAAGTCCAAAAAATTAATTAGCAATTACAACAATAATACACATTTCTAACATGTTTAAATTGTGGTAGTAAGCATTTTGGATATGACGATGAAAATCCAATCTCTGTCTCAAAGAACAAAAGTCTTGGAAAATTGGGGCTTTCGTTTTTATTTATCATTGCAATTATAGGATGTATTACAATCGATTTAAATCCTTAAACTTAAAAATTAAATACTATTTAATCAAATGAACTACATGGAAACTAAATTCGAAATCTAAATGCAAGTGATCATCAATTTGGGTTATTCGATCGTGTTTCATAGAGTAGGATTAAAGGCATGACTGATATAATGGAATACAATTCAGAATATAATTATAAATTTTTTGATACAACATATAAGGCTATTTTACATAGTGAGGAAAGTCTAGTTAATGGATTGATTAATTTTAATAAAGAACGGGCTAAAACTAATAATGGTAAAGCATTGGCTCCACTTAATTATCATCAACCATAAGTTGACTCTCTCTATTGTCCTTCAATTTACAAATATTAAAATTAAACTTAAGGGTATGACTTATATTAATATTTTATTAGAATTCGAGTACATTATCAGGATAATCAATGGTTGCACTTGATCATTCCAAAAAATAAAGTTAATATATTCTATTAAACAACTGACAATTCAATTGTTTTGAAGGAGAGCTTTGCTGATTCAAAAACTGAGCATAGATAAGTTTATTAAGAAATTTGGTGCTAAATAAAGAGCGTTAGTGATTTCTATGTTTGATAATGTATCCTTTTCTTTAGATTATTACCTCATCTTATTTATTATAATCTTAAGTTCAATAATATAAAATTAGCATATATAAAGTATTATTCAATCAAATTTTAACTAATAGCAATTATTGTTTAAGTTCTGATATCAGACCATCTATCTCAAATTCATTTTGATTAATTTCGAAAATAGCCATGGAAAGTGATGTTTATAATTTTTCCAATTGCCTAAAATTGGAGTTCATTGCTAAGATTTGTGTTCTAATTTTGCTTTCTTACTTAATGCTTTCAAGTTTCTATTTTTACTTTTTGCGTTCTTCTATTTTTTCTTTCTTTATTTCTTCATATATTTATTAATGAAATTTCCCATAAAATAAATCAATCTTATTTACATCTATTTTTTCTTTTTTCTGTAATTTTGTAATATTTCTAATTATATGTACTAATTTCTTTCTCATTATTCTATCTATAGATTCTTACTTGCTTTTTAATATGAAAGATTTAATATTTTCTTCATCATCACAAACTTTGACAAAGTTACTTAATAGTTTTCTGCCAAACTTTTTTGATATTTATTTGCTCCAAGTACTATTAACAACCCTACTATTTATTAGGCTATGTATGATCCGATAATCTGGATCATCCACAGAAATATTTTTAAATTTCTATGATTTTTAGACATAATATCTAACTTTAGATATGGCCTAATTATATTTATTGACAATTACATTCACAAACTTTTCGCGTATAATTTTAATTCTAGCTTATTTTTAACCCACAACTTGTAACATTAGATCTTATTAAACACTTTAGTATGGACGATTATCAAACTTTTATTTCAAATTGTCTAATTGTAAAGCTAATGTATTTTTCCTGTTCATTTGTTAAGCTTCATTAACTGCATGTCCTCTTCTAATTTTGTTTAATTTTTCTTATTATTAATGAAAACTTACATCTTTTCAACTTTGCCTATTGAAATAATATTATTTTTCTTCTCTTGTACATTTATTGCAACTCAAAAAATTAAGGGGACTCATTTTGTAGATATTATGAAAAGAAATGTGCAGAACACATCAGAACAATGCTCTCCTGCAATGCCAAGGCACTCCAACATCTTTGAGTATATTCAATAGATTCAATTTCACCAAAGCATGTTCCTTCCATAACTCTTATAATCGATTCACCACTGGCATCACATAATCTGACATCTCCTTTAATAAGAAAATAAAAATCGTTAGCATTCTATCCTATATGATAAATAGTTTCAAATTGTTTATAACAGCCTAAAGTGCAATATGGTAGAATAGCTGCAGAAAAGTTGATGTCATTGGAGATAAAAGGAATGGTTCTAAATATATCTTTATGGACTGATGCCATCATATACAAGATTAATGGATGTGGTAATTCAAATAGGATCCTTTTAGCATCATCAGCCCAGAAAGGATTGTATTGAATATTATACTTAGTAAATCTAAATAGATCATCTTGTATCCATTCTGGCATATTTGCACTTATGTCTTCCAAATTAAAAAGTTAATCATCAAATTCTTGATTTGGATTGGATTGAATCAAAATAAAAGTGATATTACCAATAGTGAATGAATAATATCCAACACCTATTAGCATCCAAATTATTACAAGCAAGTATTCATCAAAATTATGAGCTTCTATATCACCATAACCAATGACTGTTATTGTTTAATATGCCCAATAGAATGCACATATTAATTGTGTAAATTAATCCTTTTCATTCATTTTATAGTAATCTAACCAATTGGTATCCTAGTTAAATCTACAAATCCACAACCATAAACAAGCAAATAAATGATTGAGCACTATCATTTCTAAAAATATTTTCATTAACTTCTTTAATCTTAAATCAAAATTATATTCATTCCTAACAACCAACTCATCTTTAATTGCCTTTTGCTACTTTAATAAATCAAGAGATTGATTATATGCAACTCTTCTTTCAAATAGAAAAAATCTTAATAATCTAATTAGTTTTAGAATTTTGAGTCCAGTTATACCAAAATCAGGTATAACTGAAATCAAATCAAATATAAACCAGCTACCTACATAATGATATGCAATATCGCGAAAGTTGTAAATCAAATCTAATTATTTGTTGACATGACAAATCAAAAAATTCATGATCAGATCCATCCAAAATATTATTTAAATTATCAAGGTCAATTGATTTCCAACTCCCTCTATTATACTTTATAAATTGTACTTCAAAATCAAATGCAATTTGCAAAGGAAATAAAATTGCTGCAAAATCAGTGCATAAATTTATAATTAATCCCCAAAGAATATAAGGGATATCATCTGGAAATAAGGGTAACAAATTCCTCCTTTTGTAAGCATAACGAATATTCTAGCTTCTTAACTAATCAGCATAATTCCTGAGCTCTTCTATAAAGTGCTGAGCATTGATAATCTTTCTGATTAACTTAGAAAATTATAGCTTTTTATCTATCCTTTAAGAATTCGTGGGAGATATAGTTGTTGTTGAGGCCATCTGTATACTTTTAAATAGGATTGATATTCTTACAAATTTTTTACTGTTTTAGCTCTATATTTTCTCTTGCTATTTTTTATTGGCTATTAAAACCCACTGTTCCCATGAGTTAAAACAACCTAAGATCCCATCTCAGTAATTTGTCTCTAACTGCTCCAAGTATGTAAAGTCTCAAAATCCTCCTTATGTTTAAAGGGATGAATTTTCATTAATTTAGGTTTTAGAAAATACTTATTAAATATAATTAACTGCGTAGTAATTTAAAAATACTTAATTTTTCAATGTCATTATGATACTAAGAAGGAATAAGAGATAAGTATTATCTAATTACACTTAAAAAATAAAATGAAATTAATTGTCATTTTCTAAATTATTTCATTTAGATAGAGAGATTTATTTGATTTCGTTGATTTTTCATTGGATTAATTTGTGAAGTGCATATATGAACTTTTGAATTTAAAAAAATCCGAAAACTCAAAAATATTCATAATTATTTAAATAGAAATTAACATCATTAAAAAATCCAACAGAATTTTATAATAGTTGACATTCATAGAATACAAGTAATAAACACTGTTCATATCAATTTTCATTATTTTAGGAATTTCATACCTAAACCATAATTTTAATTGTCCTTAATGATATAAGTTAGGTTTTTCTTTTGATCCCAATTTTGAATTTTCTTCTCATATCAGAATCAACGTAGATAATCTCCTTAAAAAGACATTTAGATTATTATAGTTTTTCAATCATCCTCTCTAAGTAAAAATTCTTGAAAAAAAAAATTATTTTTCTTCTATTTTTTCTAGCAATCATATTTGACTCATATGGGTTTCAAAAATTCCTCTAATGTTTGACTCATTATTTCAAAGTAAGTTACCTCATTTAC